TCGGAAAGTACAGGGTACGGGGCTGTACGCGGCAACTGCTGCGTCTCCCGGGTACTCTGTACCCGCTTCCAAACTTAGCCCGGATCCGGCTTCACCGGTCTTTACATCTTTTTATAGTTCATGTCAACAATGAGAGATAAAAAAATAAGAATTCAAGTTATAGAGTTAAAAACTATTGAGATATTGAGCATTGGCGTATAAACAAAATACTCTCGCAAATATCCCTCCGACGCCGTTTGCCCCCAACCACCACAAAGAATGTGACAGTTCGGGGATAAGACAGCCTGCACACCCTTTCTCAGGGCCTTGTTTCAACTTGAATTGTTGGCCTGTTTCGTGGCGGGTGCCAGATGCCAGAAAAATGAAAACAAAACAATCAACACCTTCGGCCGTACACGGTCATGACATTCGTGATCCTCGTTCATCGCTGGAGACAAAGCTATGCGAAGAAAGGTATACACCAAAGACAAGAGCAAAAAAAAGAAAATTCAAAAACAGGAGATTCCAAGGAAAAATGAAAAGGTAAATATGACAAAAGACAAGAACCAAAAAAAAAAAAAAAAAAAAAAAAACAACACGGCTCATAAAAAGTTAGATCAAAGGAAAGTCGGTTCGCTCAGAGCAACAATACAAAAAAAGGGTAGAACCTCTCTAGGAGGCCCGTCGGATGCTTCGTTAAAGAGCGGAAATAGATGCGCTCACACATCGTCACGACAATGGTTCGCATATTCTCAGTGGTAACATTTAGTATTCAAAACGAAATCGCGGAACTGTACTCGCTGCTGGAAACGATGGTCGTGGGAAATATCATCATCATAATGCGTTTGCGCATCGGGGTCGTGGTCTAGTTGGCGCGAATGACCAGTCGTGACACAAATTTATTTGAAAGGCAGTCGAAGTCACCACGGTTGAATTTGGTGCCGGTGCGGCTGCGGAGGTAGGTTTCTGTAAGAAGGGGGGTTAGTTTCGGAGATCGAAGAGGAAGATTTGGGAAGAGCTTTATCTCTTACCATGTTGTTCGACATGTTGGCGGACTTCGGTCATGGTATTGCAGACATCCGGGTTGGAGTACAACAGGTGGTGGTGCTTTTGCGAGTCCCACTCGGTGAACGGGGGCAGCTTCTGTGAGATGGCCTGGAACAGTCCGACGATAACGCCCACCGGGGTAGTTTCCATATCGGTGCAGAACTTGTTAACAGCAGCCTCGTCTGGTGTCCGGTAGTGGCTGTCGAACTGCATCTCCTCCCAGACGGCTAGCAGAATGGAGGCCAGGATGAAGATTGTTGGCCAGTTCTTCAGCTTGTCACCGCTATACACACTCGAGTAAAGTGCTGACAACTCCTCCAGTACATCCTTCTGCAGTTCACGCCACATGCTAGCCATGGCACACTTAATCTGGAAGTTGATCATGACAGGGGCCATGGTTTTGCCGGCGAACTTGGAGCCCATGTGGTCGATCTTGCCGAGGAAGCCTTCCTCCTCGCCAATGCCTTCGACCATGGTGACATGCATGGTGAGGTTGTAAGCAACCACCAGCTTGAGTGCCTTCCGGATAACGGGCAGCTTAGTGCGGAAGTAGAAGCGGAAGGCGGTCTTCAGCATTTGCGTCAAGAAAGGAGTGCCCTCGAAGTAATCGTCGACAAACTTCTCAAAGGTGCCATTGCCGTCGATGTGGCGGTCAAGGTAATCCGACAGCATCGCATGCGAGATGCCCTCCATACCAGCGGAGAGTTTGGCAGTCTCGACGTCGTATTGTGTTGGCTCACGCTGCATCGACTCCATCCAGTCAACGGTGAAGCACTGCTCGTCCCGGACATAGACCTCGCGGGCGTTGATGGGCAGGATCTGTCCGTAACCGTGAGTAATGAACAGAGTGCGTTCCTGGTCCGAGAATCCGGTGATGTTGCCGACAGAGAAGCCCATGGTGATGTGGCGCTCGTAATCTGCCTTCCAGTCCTTCATGAAATACCCAATCTCTTTGATGTCGATGCGAGTACATGGCACCTGCCATAACCGGGCGTGGGACGGTTGACATCCGGCACAAGGCTCGCCCTTGTCACATGTCTTCTTGAGGAACTTGCAGCGCAGACACGCGCGCAGCTTCCGGATCTCGCTGGCCTGTTTACGCTGGTCGGGCTTGAGGGGACCCTTCCTCTTGCCAACACGCTTCTCGGTCTCGGGCTTGCCGGTTTGGGACTGCTTGCGAACCTTGGTCTCGGCGGTCTTGGCGGCGATGGGGCTCTTGCGGGACGGTTTCCGGCTCGGTGGTGAGGCAGATGCCTGAGAAGACCCAGCTGATCGAGCAGGAGACGTTGACTTCTTGATCGGAACCGGGATCGGTCGCACCATTCCGATGGGGCTGACTGCGGAAGGCGAGCGAGAGCCTGGCGAAGACTGGTCACGAAGGACAATGGCGCTACTTGTCGGGGAGGTACCGTGCATTCCAATGGAGCTGCTGTGACTGTGACTATGGCTGTGGTTGTGGCTGTGAGTATGGCTATAACTGTGACTATGGCCGTGGCCATGGTGATTATAGCAAGGCAAGTCCATATTGTTCTCGGAACCGGGAGAACCGATCGGATTCGTGATATCCACAAAGCTGCCGTATGATGTGGAATATGAAGACTCTGAAAGACTGCGGTCGTGCAGTGTCTGGGTGGGGTTGACAAAAACACCTTGTTCGGGATAACCAAAGTCGAGAGAGCGGCGGTGGTCGATAGTACTCCAGCCGTTGTCGCTGCTGGACAGGGAGCGAACCTCCAGATAAGTATCGGTGGGGGAGCTGCTTTCCAGAACTGGGTGCGGGGCATAAGAAACGTCCGGAAGTCCGTTGGGGAACGTCATCAGATCCGCTTGGAAGTCCTGATAGGTGAATGGTACCATGTCAACCGGTGCCGACATGGGCAAATAAGAACCATCGAGCAAGCCGGCGCTCATCTGGGCCTGGCCAGACATGAGATCGACGGGCGAAGACTGCATGGGCATGCCATAACTAGTGGTAAACTGGGGCGCCGAGGACGGGTCCTCGGAGGAATATGAGAGATGGTGGTGATGAGGGGCGTGTAGTGTTTGAAAGTGCCAATCGACCATGAGATTTGGATCCTGAGTCACCGACTGTTCCAGAGGGTGACCGCCAGTTTGCAACGGGGAGAGACCATGGGCCTCTTCTGACCGTGGGGGCGCCTGATCAGCCGCCATAGGCCATGATTGATGCTGAAGATAGCCTCTGGAGTCGTAATCGACGCCAATCAGGCCATCACTGGATATATCGACATTGGACATGACTTTTTTGGAGTCAAAACGATCACGGGAAAGTAAAAGAGAAGGGGAAGGAAAGGACCAGCCTGGATGAGAGGACCTTCTTCAGAAGGGTGACACAACTATGAAGAAGAGGGAAAGTGAGGCGGTGGGGGGGACAAAGCAGCGGTGAGCGAAGAAATGCGCTAGGGGAGTTGATTGTGGAGAGTGGAGAGGCTGGCTGATGGCGTGGAACGTTGATCCAGTGCCGAGCGATGAATTAATGCCACGATGATTTAGTTTGCAGTAGTGTCGGGATAGGAAGGAATAGGAGAGAGAAATAAAGTACAACATACGGAGTAGTTCCGTATTTTGTACTCCGTACTCTGTATGTATGTTGTATGTTGCGTGTTATAGTGGAGGGTTCCCTGCCGGGAATCACGGTGATCCCATGATCTCCCTATTTATTGAATTCTTTCCTAAAGGGGAAAAGGTTGCCTTGTTTTTTTCTTTTTCCCTCGTTTTCTCTATATTTCATATACTATTCCATATACTATTTCAGATCTTTATTCCATATCTCTATTCCATATCTCTATTCCATATCTCTATTTAATATATACTTTCTTTTTTTCTACTCCTAGGTTCTGACTGAGATCCTTATGACCAACAGAAAATCATCGGACCGTGAGACCGAACCCGGAAGATCAGTGGGGGAGAAAGAAAAAAAAAAAAAAAGAAAACCCAGGTTAAGGCGTCAAGACAGTGCGTACCACTGCGTGGCAATATAAATTGGTGAGATCTGACAGTCGGATCGTGCGATGTTGTATACCAAAATTAGTAGTTGCCCTTCCTAATCAGATCCAATCAGCTCCCTGTCTGCTCACCACCATGCTCGTGATTCGTATCTCACAGCGGTTCCCTGAATGCGCCATACCTCAAAGGTATTTAGTGGGCCAGTTCAGGATGCTGACCATGCACTAGGGAGTTCCCCGGAGGAAAAGAGGGAAATAGGAAAATAGGAAAATAGGAAAATAGCCAAATAGGAAAATTTAAATCCATATTAAAATGGCAAATACTAAATAATAAAATAGTACTAAGGCTAAGGTATATTGCACGGACTATGGGATCTTGTTGAGAGTGCCTCAATATCGTGAACCCTGGCAAAACAAGAAATTGGACACGTCCAATTCTTTTCCCCAATTCTTTCGCACGGATACCTGGGGCACACCTGGGCACATGCAGCAAGGGTGTCATGTAAGCCAATATACTTGCACACTGCATGGCGTCAGATTCATCACATATATACCTCTTGACTTTTGTGACATGCAGCTTCTCAGGAGCACGGAATACGGAGTACGGAGTAATAGTACTCGAGATATGTTGTATGCATCTCCAGACCAGAAACCTTGATGCTGACTGTGTTAGGATTGTTAATTCTCGAGGGAACGAAAATATCAAAATAGTCCATGTTATGATGTCGTCAAAGATAGGAACTCCAGCGGTAGAGATCAAGTGGGGAAACAAAGAATAATTCTAGACCTTTTTTTTCTTACATTTGCATTTACATTTACATTCCCATCTACAGAACAATAGTAAGAAAGTTCAGTTTACATTTCTTTGAGCTTCAAAATCTACAAAGTACCTCAAAAATCCCATTGATGCCGCTCATCGGGAAACCTCGAAAAGTTCGATTTCCGAACGCACAAAAACCCACCAAGAACCGCCCAACCTCAACATTATTAATTCCAACAGCCAGGACAACCATGACTACCATGACTACCATGAATACAGACTCCAACCAACCACGCCCGGGGATCCCGGCCTTGTTCACGCAGCCGCCGCCCATCCGCGACCCGCTCATCACCGAGACAGTTGATCTGCAGAACGCGACGGTGGAAAAATGCTTACCATTCCTGAAAGGCATCCATAGTTCTCAGAAGGATTTCAACGACCATGGTGTACCCGCTCTTCAACGTGATCTCCACACTGGGTTCCTCTACGATGCCCTCGAGGATTATCCTGAGGGGTTCGTCGCCATGGACGCTAGCCGCCCGTGGATTCTGTACTGGGCGTTGGCGGGACTCGCCATGCTGAAAGAAGAGACGACTCGATTTCGTGAACGGTGCGTGCATGCTTTTACATCCTTGCTTCTAGTTTTATTTTTATTTTTATTATACTTTTTATTATTTCCCTTTCCCCGCCTCGTTCTTCCCCCCCCCCCAATTTGCTTTTTTCTATCTGTCATATATACATCCACAGAATGGAGAGCCTCCGGAGAAGATATACCCTGATTGGAAAAGATCATCTCATCTTTACAACGTGAAACATGAAAAACCATTCTAAACCATTCTTTTTGTCTATTTTAGTGTGATCGCTACCCTTCGGCCGATGCAGAACCCCACAGGTGGCTTTGGCGGCGGCCACGGCCAGACATCCCATATAGCGGGAAGTTATGCAGCTGTTCTGTCGCTGGCTATGGTTGGAGGCGAGGTGGCCTTTGGATTGGTGGATCGACACGCGATGTGAGTTGTCAGCTTTCTGCATGTGCGTCTTGTGTGATCCTGTGCGTCTAACCCGGTTTCTACCTTTCCCAGGTGGCAATGGATCGGCCGATTAAAGCAGCCAGATGGGGGATTCCGTGTTTGTGAGGGCGGGGAGGAAGATGTGCGGTAAGTGAAACTCCAGGAAGCAGGTGCTTGCTTGTGAATCCCGTTCCTCTTCCCCAATGCAAGATCTGACATGTCCATTAATGCAGTGGCGCATACTGCGCTATGACTCTCATTTCGCTACTTGACCTGCCACTGACGCTTGCTCCGGGCTCTCAAGCGCGGGAGGCAGGATTGGAGAGTCTGACGAGTGGTCTTCCTGAATATCTCTCACGATGTATGAGTCACTGGTTTGGTTTATAGCAGGGTTGACATATGCTGACGCTCGCCCTTAGGCCAAACCTTTGAAGGAGGTATCTCCGGCAGCCCTGGGTCAGAGGCCCATGGGGCATACGCCTTTTGCGCTCTGGCATGTCTGTCTATCTTGGGACCCCCTGAGGAGATCTTCAACAGGTGCGAGACTACTCTAGCTCAGAATACTCCGTTTAATACTTGTATGCTAATGATTCCTGGCAGACACATGGACATCCCCATGTTAGTGTCATGGTTGTCTGCACGCCAGTCCGCCCCAGAGGGTGGTCTTTCCGGACGAACAAATAAGCTGGTAGATGGATGCTACAGCCATTGGGTTGGTGGATGCTGGCCATTGCTTGAATCTTCTCTGGAGGGAAAGCCGGATAACACCGAGCCACCCACCAACAGTCTATTCAGCCGCGAAGGTTTAATCCGATACATCCTTGGATGTTGTCAAGGGAACGATGGTGGTCTTCGTGACAAACCGGGCAAGTATGTTCACTCCTATCTGTAATGGTTCTTTTTGTACATGTAGCTGACCAACACTAAGGCACGTTGATTCATACCATACCTGCTACGTTATGGCAGGATTGAGCGCGACTCAAAACCATCATTACCGGACAGACTCGAGTGTCACAAGCAACAACTTCTCATCCTCATTTTCCTGGAAATCTTCACCGAACCGTGATCAGGCTAATGTGTTTTCAAGAGGTGATCGGCTAGAGCCAATGCACCCTTTGTATGTGATCCCGCACAAAGCCGCCGAGAAAATGCGGCTCTGGTCCGAGGCCCAGCCCCTCACTATCTAACCGAGAGGGGTATGAGCCGACGCTATATCAAAAAGGAGACACGGGACAAAGCGCCACGACGGATGAGTTTCCCTTCAAAAGTCTCTCGAGATAGTAGATTGAAGCAGGGTGTCATTGGTCACCAGGGACTCCGAGCGAGTGCATTATGCATGATTAGTCTTGGATGCTTGAGACTGCAAGCCCCGCGGTCATAGCAGCGGTCATGGCATGGGAGCCACGAGGATGATTTCGACCAAGCCAGGATGCTGTGAACGAAACCGAGACGCAAGGGGTTGAGTTCGGAGGCCCGAGTATGACTCTACAACATAGGTCATAGCACATAGCACCAATTCCTTCTGACTTTTTCCCGTGCTGGCAGTTTCACCGATTTTCTGAAGTTTACAAAAAAAAAGTTCCTTTAGCGCGAGGGTGAAGATTTTACTTTTCCCGCCACTCTCGCCGATCAATATGAAAATGTTCCTATGTACTTTGTACATCACAATGTGTTTGCCACTAAAGAGACAAGCTGCACGAGGCCCAAGAGGGCAAAAGTAATCGTCAGTACCAGAATATGCAGATAAATCTAACGCCTTTCCCCACTGCAATGCCAGCTCATCACTGCGTCCGATGCCTGTCAAGTAACTGAAGTTTCTCGGGGGGCGCATGCATTTTCCCATTCTCCGATATTGGATGTTCCAACTCAATTACCCACTTTGATCCTTTCTACTTTGATTATTTCATTGACTCATAGTCTTTTCACAAGCAATTGACCCCTCTTCAGACGCGTTCTGCACAACATGAACGGCCCCTCCTTGGCGCCAATCACCATTCGCAGAACTGCGCGTCTCGAGAACCCACAAAGGCGGCAAATTTAATTGTACTGAATGCATCTGCGGGGCCAAAAATGAAATACAAAGGCCATTCTGAGAAAACAATGTCAACGTACAAAACTAATCCCGTGGGTGGAGTACTCCGTATAGTATATCATAACACCACTATAGCACCTCCTATTCCATTCAAATCACTCCGGAATACTAGGATCCATAATCTTCAGATATTACCCTTCTGCAAGCAGATTGCAAGGTCTCCCTTAGTCCCCGAGAATGTTTATGTTTCGATCGGCGAATTGCAGGGGGCATAACCAGGCAGCTCACGGTGACTCCCGGTGCCTCAGACTCGGTTCGATTCTACTGGCGAAGAGATATGCCAGCGCATCAGTAAACCCGCCGAGAAAACGGCACACGAAACACGTCGAACACCCGTTTAAGTTAATGTTGCCTTTATTTTTTGGGGCCTTTTCCGAGGTCCAATGCGAGTCTAGCGTTTACATGCATCTATCATCTCTTCTCTTCTTGTATTTGTTTACTTGATAGAGGTAGTCTATACCCAGATTCCAGATCCATGTCCTATAGTCTTTTTTGAGATTTGATTGTTTACCATTTTTTGCTTATTGTTTACTAGTCCTGTTACTACTTACTGTTATTGTTTACTGTATCCTTGTCTTTCTTTTTTTTACCTTCAATCTTTCAACGGTGGGTATTAGAATCTTCGTAGTTTGACTTTTTAGTTTAATACCTTTTTCTTTTTCAGGTCATCTGCATTGATACCAAATGTCTCCTTTTTTGTCTCTTTGTGCGCTGTCGCAATTGCAACCGTTTCCCTTCTCTATTGGTACTGTGTACACCGGCCAGCTCACGGTATGACTTGGGAAAGGTATCAATGCAAAAGCCCCACCTGTTTTCCAGAAGTAATCAAGTATATGGCAAGCAGTAGCTCTGTTCCCCTCATTAATTTGTTTTTCTTTTTTTTATGTTGTACGAAGGGGGGGAGGGGGACTCGGCTCTAGGAAATTGTATATCTGTAGATGGGTGTGGCATCTTTCCGAAGTTTCTTTCAAAATTGTGATTTAGTTCCCAATCCCCTCTCTATTGTTTTCTTTTTTGTGCTTTATATCCTACCCTTCTTTGGGATTAGACACCCTTGACCTTGGCTAGTATTACAATTGTGCTTTTGTTTGGGACGCCAGCACATCCTCCCCGCTACTAGCAAAGCAAACGCGGTCCCGCCAGCCGTTGGGCATCACAATCCGCATATTTTCTGACTGCACACCAGCTAGCAGCTCAGCCTCAGCCCTAAGTCTGTCTCACTGCAAGCCTGGTCCGTCCAATGCGTTACTAGTAACCGTCGCAATTCGTTGCAGTTGGACAAGTGGCAACGCCGTCTTCCGTCGCCCGTCACCAATTTTCCCGTCTTTCTTGTTCCTGGCTTGCGTCCAGTCCAAATCCCAAGATGTACTATATCCTCTACTTGACCAGTATGTCATAACTCTCCCCACTATCACTACTACCACCACCTCCTCCTCCTTGTCGAGCGATGCATGTCATGCATCATGCCAACACAAACCAATCCCCCAAACATACATCCGATGCAGACAAACAAGCCTAAGACTCAACCTGTTCTCTCCCCACCCTAACACCTAAGGCCAACCCAACCAATTCCACCCGCGCAAAAGCCCAAACTAACCAATTCCAAACCAGGCCTCTGCCGCCGCCGCAACTGGCCCGAACCAATCTACAACGCCTACATAAGCAACAGCGGATATACATGCACCGTGCGGGTCAACAACCGCGAGTACCGAACAGACAGTATCTGCAGTAACGAGACGCTTGCGCGCGAGAGCGCCGCCATGCGTGCCTACCTGATCTGCCGCAACTTCTCCGTCAATGACGGCATGTACCCTGCAGGCCATGAGCACGGCGGCGCTGTGCAGGGTATGCGTGTTGCGATTGGTGCTGGACGGAAACCTGCTAGTGAGGATGATGTGCTTTCTTTGGGATCTGCGAGTGGGAGTGGGAGTGGGAGCGATAGTTCCCGGGGTGGAAGTTGGAGTGGGGGGAGTAGTCCCGTTAGGGTTGGGATTGAGGGGGATGGGAGGGGTGGATTTGGGGGGAGGGTTTGATTTGGGATATTTTCAGGGAAAGGGGAGGGGTTTACGACTTTATGATATTATGGATGATTATGACTACGCCTTTTCTGATATATTTTAGAGGGAAAAGCTGTGGAATTTTGAATGACTCTTGTGGTTTTTGTTGGCTATGGTATATTTGAGCTAATGACTCTTTATTTAGATGGTGGATCCTTTGTGTTTCCAGGATTAACAAGGAATCTCATTTTATAACGTGTCTGATTTTAATAGCTCTCGGGATTGTAGGTGATAGGACTCGCCAACTTGTGTACAACTGCGTGCATTGGTAGAGTGCGTAGACCCTCTGAGGTGTCGGAAACAAAGACATTGACTTACCTGTTAGTAATATTCTTTAAACTATTTTTCTAGAGATCTGCCGTGAAAACTTTTATTCTTCTTTTTGCATTCTTACTATTACATGCCTTTGATTGCAATTATGCTAGTTGATGGCGTATGTCTGGGCTGCTTTCAAAGTGGCAGCTAGGGTAGAAAGCATCTGGCAGACAAAATATGGTATTTAAAGACCCCAAAGATATAGAGATTTAGATCTGACACACGAAAGGAGCAGGAAAGGATAATGTTCTGAACTCTTCATAAACTTTAAAAAAGCAATATATCTTCAAAGCCCTATAAGGATAAGCAGGAATAATCTGACCTCTATACCTGTTGCATCGTGTTTTATGCCCTTGATCAGTCTCATGCTCGAAATAGTTGCTCTGAGCTGGAGCAGTAAATGGGGTATTGTCACTTGTGTCTCTCCCACTTCGTTTCCATCCATTGCCGGCTTTTGCGAAAAAATATGTTGAATGGCATCAGGATCTTGTAGTCTCTCTCTCCCTGTCTGCCCCCACATATAGGGAATGCATCACTTTCCTTCTCTCTATATAGATCCATCAATGACCAGTATACCGTAGAAACCCCCATTCAGGTAAGACATACATCCACGCTGGGTCGTTAGCTCGCTTAAATTGGATAAGATCATACAGACGTAAACTAAGCTCATTTTCATCTGGCACATGGTCCCTTACAGCCACTGGGATATACCAAATTTGATAGTGAAGCTCTAGCAGAAGTTCAGACTTGGCAGATTGAAAGAATGTGCTGGGCATGTTTCCATCAAAAATGAAATTATTGTGGATAGGAGCGTAGACTTGCTCAACAATCTTTAAAATGCAGGCTTGATCGTCGGGTCGGTTGAGGATACCAAGTGCTTCCCATGCCTCTCTCTCAATTTCGAGAATCTTCCGTGCAGCTGAGGACATGTTGGAAGATGATAAGAGTGAACAAGGTGAATAAAGATGATATGCTGAATTATTGAGTTATTACTTAAAATGGTGCTTGGTGTCGAATATCATAAATTGAGGTGGAACTTGTCGACTATTTAACCCATAATACTCGGTTTACTCTTTTTACTCGAATAAAATAATACAATGGGGCTTCGAAGCTCAACATCTCTTGTTGCATTGTTTATATATTTGTATTAGTTCCTGACAAAAGGAGACTGCAAATAATAAAAGAAAAGAAGACTTTAAGAGATTGGAGGAAGTCAGAGCCATTGTTTAGAAAAAGGTGATGAGTTGACAATCCGAGCGTAAGAAGCTCTTTGTTATTGATATTAACACGACCGCAGGAAAAGAGGCAGGGTTTCAAGAAGAAATAACGAAAGCTTGCTTTCATCTAATACAAAGAGATGAACTATGAATCGTAAGACTCACCAAATATGTTCAAGGCTTGGTCTCCAGTTGTGGAAATCTTCCATGAAAGAATTTGAATCATAGTCCAGCTTGACCCCTCCTTTAACCGGAACGCACAACCGACGTACCATGTCTGAAGGTTAAAATTGCTAGCTGCTCTTGATTCGCTTGAACTATGCTCGCTAGTTCTTGAGGGGCGCTCAGGACACGTTTAAGCAGGTTCTTGAGCTAGATAATCTGAAGATTCCTGATAGCAGTGACATGCAAGATCTCCTGAGCATATAATACGGCATGACTCTCTCTCTCTTATATATATATATATATATTAGGCCTTAGCCTCCTTTAGAAACCACCGTCATTCACTGTGCTCATCACGTGGGCAACACGCTAATGAGGCTGATTGCGGCTCAGCTCCCTAGATCCACCAGGGGTGCACACAATTACAAGATAGTCACCTACCGCAGTTTTCAAATTACACATATATTTTCTTTCCATCCCAGCTGTCAACATATCGCAGCACCAAAGCAATCTTAGAACCTTTTGAGATCACCTGATCCTGTTTGTCAGGACTGGCAGCTACAAATAGCTTCCTCTCCCTCTTCTTCTTCTTTTTCCCTACGAGCGCAGTTTAGCAGCTTCAATACAGTCAGATTGCCTACTCTCTCTTCTCCTGCTCTCTTATCAGAACCTGCAGTGGAACTTCCCCTACTACACATACCACCGAAAATGGAATCGCAGGAATCACAGGAACCACAGGTTCATGGTCTCGAGTGGGAGGAATTGCTCTTCGGTTCCGAGCCCCGATGGACTCTTGAACCTGAAATTGCGGCTATCAAGCAGACAGTACAGTCGCTTCGGCCATCAAACACAGTCACAGTGACTTTCCTCACGCAGGGTGGATTCAACAAGATCTACAACGTCAGCATAGATGGTGAGATGTTCATCATGCGAGTTGCATTGCCCGTCGACCCACGTTATAAAACAATGAGTGAAGTAGCAACAATGGATTGGGTACGCCGTATCACGAACCTCCCAATTCCTAGAATCATCGCCTACCAACCTTCCCGATATAATTTAATTGGATTTGAATGGATGCTCATGACCAAAATGCCCGGAAAGCCCTTCGCTGAAGTTTGTCGGTTTCTTCCCTTTGCTGCGAAAGCACGCCTGGTTAGGAAGATTGCGGCAATCTCCGCTTGCCTTTTTCGAAATCAACTAAGCGGAATTGGAAATATCTATGGGGACTACTCCGTCGTTGAACATTCAACATCAAGCGAGCAAATCCCGCCCCCTATCGAGCTGGCCAATACCAAAACATCAGTTCTGGCAAAGGAATCCGGCTCAGATGATGGTAGCGCACCCACGAGAAAGAACTCGGGGGCTTCTCTATTTGATCTGCCCGATGGGGCTTCCTCAGAAGCAACTTTACCTGATGTGGGCCGGATTGTTTCTATGAAGTTTTTCTGGAAATCACACATCCACCAAGATGTCCACCGAGGGCCATTCCGCTCAAGTAAGGACTGGATCACAGCTTGCCTTTCATTCGACGAAAATGACTGTTATTCGGCCCTGGATAAACATTCAGGTGGAGACCTTGATAGCGACGCTGAAGAGGAAGTGGAGAACGCTACAAGGACGTTACCAATAATCGACAAGCTCAGGTCCCTTCTTCCTCTGGTTCTTACAACGGATGACGATGATCCAGAACCGTCAATGATATTCCACCATGACCTCTCACGACACAATATCCTTGTCGACGACAGCGGGGAGCTGACTGGCCTCCTAGACTGGGAGTGTGTTTCTGCGGTGCCTGTATGGAAGGCCTGCAACTATCCAACATTTTTAGAGGGGCGACCACGACGATCAGAGCCTAATCCTGGAAGATATACGCCCGAAGCTAATGGGGAAACCAGTGAAACGTACTTTGAGAATCTATGGGAGCATGAGGCCACCCTATTGCGCGATGTATTTATTGATGAGATGAGAAATCTAGACGCAGGATGGATGGAAGTTTTCGATAAGAGCGAGGTCAAAAGAGACTTTGACTGTGCAGTGCAAGAATGCGACAGCGTCATCTCTGCCAAGAGTATCGATGCATGGATCGGAGATATCAGTGCTGGTATAAGCAATCCGCGCAACTTGCACCATAGGATGTATTGTTTAGACGGTCTTCCTTCCTAGGACGGATTGACCTCTGCTTCTTACTAGGATTAATCTTCCTTCCATCTGCTCTTCTATCTCAGAAAATAGCTCAATTTCATGGGTTTCTTTCGATTTACCTCTACCTGTATTCAATGACCGGTCTCAAGACAGCACCAGTATAATAATGACCGCGTCTTTGGGGGCGTGGCTGCTCTCCCAATAGCCTATGTATTGTGTCAATATCCATAACCCACCATCCAACCTAGAAAACTTGGCATCTCAGGAGTAGTAGTGTATATGGGGATGCGCCCGTATTAAGAAGGAGCATGTACAGTGGGTAAAATATAGTCAATCAAATTGGAGCAGAAAACAGTAGCTAACAGGAAAGAAGTAGATACAGTGTGCGCGCGGTGCATTTAGCCCCTCTATGAGCTGAAAATCGATGCCTTATCTGCAGGTATTCAGAACGTGGTCTCGTTGTCATTTGTGCCATTTTCGAAATCATCGCGACTTTCATGAGATGGGCAATCCTCCACAAAAATTTGTTTCAGGCTTCGGAAAACTAGTTGAGAAAATTTCAATATCATAGCTATGAAAATCGACGCATTATCTGCCGTATAGGGCATAGAAAGTGCTACTCTGTATAGATATAGTTAGCTGAAATTTATACTGGAATGTAGAAGCACAAATTGAGGGATTATTTACACTCTTTTACCTGGCCGAACTTGATAGAAGCGCCTGCCGGATCTGTTGAGGACTCCATAACCCATCGGTGGGAACCAGTGCCTTTGCCACATTGATTTTGGCTTCCTTTTTCAGCGCCGAGTCGATGTTTGCTTGGATGTAAATGTCGTGGCATTGGGGATAACTAGTCGTTGGCTATGAGCAGTAGAATGTCAGCGTTGAAGCTTTAAAGATACTACTTCAAAGCAAGAAGAAACAGGTATCGGTAGCCATACTCCCTCGTGGACCAAAGTGAAGTTCGTGTCCTTGTACAATGCGTATATTATATCTTTGAATCCCGACAACTTGTCATCTGGAATGCCAGTGATGAAAGCGTTGAGAGCGCTGTTGGTCTTCCCCATTATAAACGTATGTAATGATAAGCTAGGACTAAATGAACAGTAAAGAAGAATATCGACAACTTTAGAAACCGCGTGTGTGAAATGGGTTCTTGATTGAGATAATTTGAAAAAGGTGCTATCCGTTCGAGGTTCTTATAGTAGACTGGAGTATATAAATACCCTAGCTTTTTATCTATTGATAGGGCTGGCGGTAACTGAAACCCTGACTATAGTGCTAAATAATTCACTTAAGGACGCAATATTTGCGAGGTATTCTGAAGCCGCTAGTGACTCGGGGCATGCCACCGCGCGGCTAGATTTGGAAGTATCGATAGGCCACGAATGAAACCTCGGTTTCAAAAAGAGGCCCAAAAAGTCCTAGATATATCCATAGATAATGACAGTGTAAATATAGATACTTTTCATCCTTGACAATATATCATTCCAGGACTAAAATTCCCGACTGATGCGGAGCATTTGCATACGCGCTAGCCCCCGAATTTTGGAACCCAATCAGGCTCAGTGACTAGGCGTGACAATGTGATAGAGATGCATATAATCCCCATTTGGAATTCCCTTGCATCCTACTCGCAAATATAGATACTATTTTCCAAAATTTGAAACCCCTTCAGCAGTAATCTTCGGATAGTGGCGCTTCTGAAGCGCCTATGCATGTCTATTAAGTGCCAAGGAAGTCAAAAGCGATACTGTGCATTAAACCAATTCACTTCTAAGGCTGATTGAGATGTTCTCTTTAAACTTGGGACAATATGCAGTCTATTGCGGTTGGAAGACGCGAGCATGGCCGAGGTTGATTCCACCGTCATTCTTTTTGTTTTGGAGATACAATGATACAAACTAAATTCTTGATGGTTTTAGAAGACGGTGAAAACCATTTGCTCTCTGTTTAAAACAACAAATAGGAAGGCTACAACATACATACGTTTGTTACCTCCATATACAAGATACTGTAGTGATATATACCCCTGTTAATGGTGGAAATTATCCTCTAATAGCATCTACATTGAACCGAAACTCGTAGAAATACTAAGGTCTTATTTGATTCTTATTCGATCTACCGATACAAGAGTCTTTGCTAGGTGATGTGTCGAGTTAGAACTCTCGCCATGTCGGTCAGATTGCTATAGCAGAAATTCTCAAAAACAGGGATTGACTAATTACAACATAGTGAGGTCAATATCTACCCTGTGCACATTGTAGCAGACCTGTTTTTGATAGAAAATACCAAAGTTCCTGGTTTTAATATGCATCATAGGAGTGTAAACTAATATGTTCCCCCACAATTCCAAGGAATACGGCCTACCCCCAACCTGAATTACGTTGTTATTGTGTAACAGCGAGCAAATCAATAAGTGGATTCTTTTACCGTCATACATCCAAGAACAAGTAATCCTCCCTTTTGTTACATCACTAAGCTGGCTAGTCGTTGGTTGATTCTTGTTTGTTTGATGACGTCAGTCTAACCCCTGGTACCAAACGCTCTGCCATTTACTATAAGAAGCCCCTTCTGCTTCAACTATTCACTGAATTCATCACACAATAATCAAGCCTTCAAACCAACGAACATCTAAAACTCCCAAACCCATTCCCACAACCTCCCAACTACAACATCATGGAGACCGCCAAGGTTCGTACAATCATGTTTCTGGATAGCATGTTTGTCTTCAAGTACTAACATATAATACCAGAACGCCGTTAACTACGTCTCCGAGACCATCCAGGGTGGTGGTGCCGAGGCATCAAAGGAGACCAACAAGCATGTCGCCAAGGACTCTGATGCCAGCTTGGGCAGCCGAGCCACCGCTGCAAAGGATGCTGTTGTCGACAAGAAGGACGAGGCATCCCACAACACCAAGGCCGATGTCCACAAGGGTAAGATTGTCTAAATAGAACGGTTGTGGCATGGAATCAATGCTAATGATATGCAGAGGCCACTAAGCACTAAACGGGCGCTCATGGAACTTGGACTGATATGGGATAATGAGATACCATTTTTGCTAGCACTCTGGTGGTAGAAAGACACAGCTATCTACCCTGTACAATATTTGAAGATGAATTTACGCAAATGAACGTTTTTTTCACTTTCGATATATGAATCCTGAATCTTGCGTGTAGACTTGCTTTTGCTTTGTCTCAAAAATCATTCTTATCTTCATAACTCAGCATCTAGTTGACGCGACGATCATATCAAAAAATTCAATGCCACGCTTGAAACGTATCATCAGCAAGGTGTACAACCATCATTGAATCCAGAAAGTAATACTGGAACCTTAGGATCTGGGGATTGACTTTATCTGATCGGATCCACATATGACGTCACACGAGGTTCAAAGATTCTCGAGTATGTACCTAGGTAGGCTTTGGAAGGTCTACGGGTCCTAGATATTGTTCACTCTCCCCTCTAGGCCAATAAACTATTGATCTCAGTTGAATAAAACTTGGCCAATTTGTACTCTAGGTAGAGCTTTTTGAAACCACAAATTGTGGCCTTGGTCGTGCTCTACATCCTATAAAATGCTACGATATGGATGGTCTGACATGGACCTAACTTTTTGAATTTATAATTCCATTCCATATTCAATACTGATTGTATCAAACGTAATTTCTACAACCTAGTTTAGAAGGAATGAATATTCCGTCACTTTGATAGAGGTAGAATGCACACAGTAGCATTAAGCCTGAAGAAAGCTACCTTGTAGTTTTTCTGATGCCTTTAGATCTCTGCTGGTTCAGATTGAATGAAGTAACGATCCCTGCAGCCACCAACACCTGACATACTGTACACAAAGCAGGGCCCCTCGTACCAGGGTTGACCAGGGTTGAAGTTTCTCAAGGACTGTGGGTTGAGTTCCTAGGAAAGAGATATGAGATTGGAAAATGCTGGCCCTATCTCGAGTCTACCAGAGAAAACCTAGGGTTGGAAGTGCAGAGGATATTTCGGGGAAGAGTCTCCTCACCCAAAAAAGGTAGCAGTTTACGAGTGTGGAAAAGCCTTGAGCCAAAAGGGGATATTATTAATTGTTAAAATTAGGATCATGTCTATACCTCTCTGGGCTAGAAGTTGACTCTTGTCAATTTTGAACACAGAAGTAAAGCTAGTCCCTACCCCAAGGGGTCATTGGGTCCTAAATATGACGGACCCTTGCATTCTTTTTGAATATCAAGCTGGCTATGAATCCAGGTCGTATTTTCGTTTCCCACTCATTTATGCAAATTCATGTGATGCTGCACGTGGCTGAGCTGTCTAATCAGCTCTCTTCTTGCCGCGCATGACCTTGCGTCTTTGGGCAATCATGTGCGTGTACAGGATATAAGATCCTATTAGGTAGTCAGCAACCGATACTATAATACTGTGAAAGAAGAACAACATACCAGGCACGTAGATTACAAGAATCGCAATCAAAATGTAACGGAAAAGCGGGTTCAGCTCGCCAGCAGGACCAAGGGCCTGGAAAATAAGCGTGCACTCGCTGGAGATACCAATGGGGTAGAAAATGTAGAAAGTGTTGTATCTAGTTACCAGGAAACTGATCAGCACATTGAACAATAGCCACGCACGGAAAAAATAACCAAGACTTACCGCAACCAAGTCCACCAGCTGGGAACTGAGTTTCCAGACAAGGTAATAGCAAAGAACCCGTAACGGATAACCTCCGTAATACCCCAAGCAAAAATACAACCGAGATACGCATAATCACCCAGTTGGGTATTCTGTCCAGCACCAACAATCTCCCCACCAAACTGCGCCATAATACCCCACACCAGCAGCAGCCGGCTAGAAACCTGCATGGCAGTCGTCATGAACGGCGCGCGCACAAGGCCTACCACGCTGTGCACAACTTCCAACAAAGCGAGGGACTGTGTGGCCAGCAGTAGCGGGGAGAAAGTCTGGCCAAAGACCTTCGGTAGAGTTTTGGTAGAGACATGGGCTGGGAGGAGGGAGGCCGTGTAGACGACACAGGTGCCCCAGGCGAGGAGATTGAGGGTGTTGTAGGTGAAGAGGTAGGCTTTTGTTAGGCCCGAAGAGCCGGAGCGCGGGGCGCTTGATGTTTTGGTTGAGGCCATTTTTGACCGGGATCGTTTCTTGTCGGTCTCGTGGGGGGCAATTGGTGATGATGTTGTCCTGGATGGAGGAACTGGAAATGTTGATTTGGTTGGGAAGCTCGCGATCAACAAAAAAGGACCGAGGTCCGGTCCCTTACGTAAGCATTCTGGAAGAGCCCTGGAGCCCGCGAAGCTGTGGAGAACAAGCGTGTTTGGGATCTGGGGTATATCACATCCTTATTTTGTTGTCTGTTGAGTGTCTTGGGCGATTTATGCATAATTCGGTTCAGAGTATATGGGTATCACTATAACTCTGATATTCCCAGCAGTCCAGAGCTGCATGCTAGTTGGCCAATCATCCTTTCACGAAATCAGCCATGTACTCCCTTTGCTCCTCACTCCGAATATACCCCGTAGCCGGATGGTCGGATCCGGATATATCTTCTTTGTCTAGAATATTTGAACAATCTTTTCAGAAGCTCTATGCCGAGGAATAGACTTGATCTGATTCGCTGAAGGGAATCGAGTGCATAGGCTGGCAGCCAAGCGGATGGCTTCCCATGCAGGCGCCCTTGGCTGCCAGGGATACAAAGACTAGCTGGCCCCATGGCGTAAAACTGCATGATTTAGCCCAAACTACTGCAAGAGGCTACCTGCCATCTCGTATTGCCGGCAGCAAACATGTGTAGCTTGGTCTATTTTGGACTTGACTGGTTTGGGTAGTATGTCCGAGGCTAGATGGAGAGATGTCGGAGGGATTGTTTGATGTGATCGCTCGGATTTGACATGATAGCGGTTGATTTGCATACGACATAGTTCCTCGGTCAACCTCGCGTTAACTAGAATCCTTCAATTTATCATCCAGTTGATTCTCTGGTGTTAACTACCAGAGTCTTATGCACATTAATTACCGAAGGCGACGAACTCAATAAAATTTGCATGTCTTGCATTTGAAGTACTACACAACTATTTTCATCTCATGTTTTGTCCAACCCGGTGGCGGTGGGTGTATGCGAACTGACATCATGGGCGAGGCTATGATGTCGCCCTGCATAGGCCTTAAGCCTTTCGAGGAGATAGAACGAGCTCTGTCAGCACTTGATGGAGTTAGGAGTATACAATATTCTAAACTTCACGCATGATATGGAGACCTCACACAATGGGGTGATTAGACGATTTGGGTACATTAGTCGAAAGTAAACAAGATGTCCGTAATTTGATGTAATTTGATGTAATTGACGTAATCGCTGTAATTTGCCGTTAGGCTAAAATGACATCAGCGGCTGGTGTAGGCTGCACTACGGCCCCACCCCATGATGTCATGGCAATCAGCGCATCTTCTCATTGGTGGGGAATGGTGGAGAATGTGCTAGAGCCAACCACTTCGCGCAAAAACCAGGGGAAAGGAGATGCACAAATGCCCCGATTCCTCTATATAAACAAAGATGGCTGCGGTTGCGCGGACGAGGTGATGTTGGATCTCAATTGACATTTAGCTGGCCTCTGCGCCAGTCCTTTCTTAGGGAACCCGAACTGTTCAAGCCGCAGAAAAAAAAGCAAAGAAAGAAAAGCACTACAACAACCATCGTCATCGGTGACAGCATAATCCCTTGTGTCTTAGCCCAGCAATATTACCCCCCCCCTTTTCTTCCCTGAGAAAGAAAAAAAAGGGCCGTGGAGCTGTGGGCTCACACATTGTTCAACTGTCACCGAGAACTCCGTACGTCAGATGAGAAATCCATGCAACATACAATCAGAACGAGTTCCGAGTTACTGGACACGGTCCTTGAGGGTCCAGACCAACTGGATCAGGTTCTATCTGCACACTTGGCCCAAGTTGATTGTGCTTCCCTGCTGCGCGAACCGGGATTATTACGTCTTACCCTCTTGGTTTTTTTTTTCTCTTTCGCGGCTAAAAGTCTGCTAGGACACTAGGACACTGGGTGATTTTTGTGTCTTTTTCTTTTTCCCCCTGTTTGGAAGCAGTACTGACCGAGTGAGAAGTTGCCCTGATCATTTGGCACTCAAATAATGGCCCAGGGACCAAAAAAGGCCGCTAATCGCAGTTCTCCAAAATGTTTCCGCGTGTGACCGTCCATACTGCTGGGGGGAAAAGACCAAATGACGTTCCCTGTTGGGATCGGCGGTCTGATGATGTCGTCCTGCTGGCCTCCCTACTCCGTACTCCTGCCAGATATGTATAGCGGTCTTTTGCGGTCAGAGAACATGTCGTTTTTTTGACTGTTTTTTTTTACCTATCAGTCTCCACTAAACCTGTACTATCCAGTACGCTTACAGCAGGTCCGCCGAGGGGTTAACCCGTTCATTTCGTGCATTTTCTTGGTGGACCCATCAGTTGAAGGGCTGATGCCACGGTTATACTCCACTAGGCTCATGAACGGAGCCCGGAGGAATTTGATCCAAAGATAACAGATTCTTTTGAAAGATCGTGGCTGAAAATCCAGATGATAATGAACCATCTAATCCAAAAAATGCAATGCAATCGAAAGTAAGAAAGCCTATTCCGTACTCCTTACGGAGTACAAGATTGTACTAATTGTGTCGGATGCCCATGATTGCTTTTTTCTGCGACACCTTGGCCGCGGAAAAAGGGTAAAATCACGTTTACAGAAGATCAAGTCCAATTAGAAACCATTATATAGATTGTTGCTAATAATATAACATACTCCTTCCAGTGCAATGATGTTTTCCCCCCGAGTCGATGCCAAGGCGATGAGAGGAATTGTAAAATATTACCAATATTACCTTATTTATAAAATGGAGGTATAATATTCAATTGAATCTGAAATGAATAACTCTTAATTTATTATCGCAATTTTTTTGGCAATTTTCTGGCAATTTTCTGTATATCTTTGTCCCCTCCAAAAGCACCGAATCACCGAATCACCTCCTTCTTGGTTCCTTCGGATTAGAATTGACCTACCCACCTCCCACCTCCCCTTCTCTTTCTCCGCCCCTCCGATTTCCTCTCTTCCCCCCTCTCTTCTTTGACTTCTCCCTATCTTTCTCATTCCGTGTATTTTTGTCGCTTTTTGACCTTTTTCCTTTTTCATTTGGGCTTTATTCTGTTTCTCTATCGCCAATTTTCGGAGCTTGGTCATCTCGAAAACCGAGGAAAAAAAATTAAGGTGGGATGGACTTTCCTATTTCCCCCCCTCTCTTTGGATATCTTCATTTTTTCCTTGTCTTCAATTCCTTGTCAAGTGGAGACCCTGGCTTTGGGGCTGCAGCTCATGCGATGCGCTAGTTCTTGTTTCCAAGACTGTGACTGGGTCACTATTCGAGTATATGCGCTGAATGGCCCTGTTTGTTCCCTCTACCACATATACCTCCACATCTGGTTCATTTAATTCTTCCCCCCCCCCCCCCCCCCCCCCCCCCCCCCCCNCCCCCCCCCTCCCCTCCAGCCCCTACTTGCTGTGTATCGCATTACCCCTCTACCCCCTCGACTCCCGTTGTCTTGGTTTTCCCACCTTTCACTACTCAGCCCTGGTCACTATCTTGATCGCTCAATTTGGTGGCTGTATTTTGTCTCAGTTTCAGCCTCTTCCCCTTGGCCATAGACTCCGGAGCCACTCATCATTGCTCCCATTAACAGCTCACTTGCTACCTTGGGTGCCTGAATCCGTAACACCTGCTGGCTTTGTAAGACGACATATGCATTGTGTGCAGATCTTGCGGTTCTGACGTCCTTGTTGTATCATCATTGATCTTTGCATTTTGGGACCTCTCATTGATTTGCCACATTGTTCTATCCATCCAAGATCTGGATCTGTTAGATGAATCTAAGCTGACTGGGATTTGAAAGCAGAGCCTCGTATTCCATCTGGATTGGCTGGACGTCAGACCGGAGAAATCAACCACATTTCCATCCAACGACTGTGACGATCACTGCATTGCACTAGCTTGCTCCTACCTACCCCTTTAAGCATCTCCACACCCACACACCCACACAAACACCATGGCACCAGTCGACACCAAAAGGGCCGAGTCGGTAAGTACTTCTTGCCCCCTGGTCAAAGGTTCCTCGGCCTAACATCCGAGTCTAGGCCAAGCAGGGCCCGCCCAAACTCTCTGATTATAAGGAAATCCTCGACGAGAGCACATTCGAACAGATCCTTGAGATGGACGATGACGAGGAGGATCGTGACTTCAGCAAGAGCATTGTGTACGGTTTCTTCGACCAAGCCGAGGTTACCTTCAAAAAGATTCAGACGCAAATGTGAGTGTTGTTATTTCCTGCAGTTGGAATTCCAATTATTCTTTCTTAGCTAATAATTGCGCCACAGAGATAACAAGAACCTTGATGAACTCTCTGCCCTCGGCCACTTCCTCAAGGGCTCATCGGCCACACTGGGCCTTATCAAGGTCAAGGACGGTTGTGAGAAGATCCAAAACTTTGGCGCCCACAAGGACGAGACAGGTCTCATTGACCAGCCGGATACGGAGGTCTGCCTCAAGGCCATCAAAAAGACTCTGGATGAAGTCAAGGTCGAATACCGCAAGGTTGAGAAGCTCCTCCGCCGATACTACGGCGAGGAGGTGAAGGACGAAGAGGAGAAGCCAGAAGAGGAGGAGGAGGTTAAGGAGCAGAAGAAGGAAGAAAAGCCCAAGGAAGAGGCCAAGCAGGAAGCCAAGCAGGATGCCAAGGAGGCCAATGAGACCAAGGAGACTAAGGAGCCCACCAAGGAAGCCTCGAAATAAGCGGTCATGCGGGCTAGTTGATATCCCTTCCTCCCCTTTTTCTTTTTAGCGACGGATGGAGCATGGCAAATGGCTTTTTCTTTTTCATTTTCCCCTTTGCCCTTTCTTACTTTCTCTTATCTCCCATCCCTTCAAATCCTGGCTTTCTTGACACGTACATAACAACCTCCCCAATCATATCTCCCCTTCTCGTCCAGACATTAGAGTGGAAACGGATGTTCCTGGTCTGTCACGTAAGTGCAGGCGCGAGAATCGTGACGATTCCGAGGAGATTTGAACCATAGTGACATACGGAAACCCGAGTGTCTCTTTCAGGCCCTGTTTTCTTGCTCTTGATTTGCGCTTTTTGTTTCGTAGCTCATCACATAATAGGCACTGCGTAAGCATTGAGGTACGTATAACTCCAGAAGTAGCCTGTAACATGGACGTCAAAAGACTGGCTAAATGATTCAACAAAGGCATCTGAATATTAGGTTTAAGCATATTCAAACATCGACAGACATTGCCATTGGGCAGGACTTTGATAAGATCAGAGATCAGATCGCTAACCTCGGAACCTCCAAGGATCCAAGCCGAGAAGTGGCGCTCTAAAAAGCTTTTTTTCTTCAGCCACTTGCGTGGGCCTCTGGGGACCCCGGATAACGTTGGAAGCTTGACTCAACCTTGGAACTCTATACTTTGCCCCGACATTGTTAACCTAATCTCGGCTGTACTGTCTTCGATCATCACTTGACAGATTTCTCAGATTGCTTGTCCTGCTCTGCTAGATCTCTCGTTGCATTCTTGCATTCAACGGAGATTACGCCTGTTCATTCTTGTGATTTCTCTTGTGTGTGTTCTTCACCTGTCTGTCTATCTGTCATCAAAAGATCGGGCAGCATCTGTCCAATAAGGTGGAAGTGATTGAATGTTGAAATTCAATTTAATCAAATTTTTTTTTTGTGTGTGTGTGTGTGTGTGCCTATGTGCTTCGCAAGCGCCGATTCTGAGTGCCGCAATTTATGAGATCAGTGCGCTCAAAACAACAGATCCCATTTTCCACCATCTACCCCAACTGACAGCAAATCCTGACGCATCTGCGTCTGAATCCGCTTTTATATGGCCAATTAGAGAATGGTAAACGAGTACCGGCGAGTTGCAGTATGGAGATGGTGCAACGCGGGCGACATTCAACGGCACACTCACATATCGCCCAAGCTGATGTTGATTAGTTTCACTAGCTAGAGTTCTTTGAAGGCGGAGTCAACTATAGGTTCTACAAAGCGCCTCTCGAGAACACTCCCATCCGAAATCACAATTTAGTATGGCAGATGCAGATGCATCTGATACTCCTCATATTTCCTTAGTCTGGCCATCCCATTCAAGCTCGATCTCTCAACAATCTGTGATAGTATGAAATGCAGCAGCGGGAGTACGCAGTGTGCATATACTCTGCCTTGACTGGTCCTCGTCTTGTACACAATGTGACATCCGTTCTTTAATCGCAGCGCCAACAAGGAAAAGCTCCACCGCGCCGAAGATTGAACGATAGGACCTCCTATCAAAAATTACATGTTGCGTTCCTATTTTATGATATATCTTTTTGTTCCGGTCGCCATCTGATAGTTGCCAAACTAGCTTTCGGCACGTATAGCAGCCGCAATGATATTCTCCCAGTTCGTCGGTTATACAGGCAATCTGTCGCTCGGACTATGCCCAAACGAGAGATCCATATCCAAACATCAATCTGGCGTACTTGTTGCCACGTTGCTCATCCCATCCAACCTGCCATCATCCCATTGCATATGCACCCATCACAAACGAGAAAATTGAAATCGAGTAAAGCCATATCCCAACCGGATCCCCTTTCCCCATAACGGGACGCAAGTACGCGCCCACCATCGAAAATCCAAAATCCAAAAGCCGATGCAGATGCAAGCAACAGCACCGATTGAGGTTCCGGTCTGTCGAATTTCTGCTCAATTGCATCCTGGCCTGAACTCCGGCCTGGCAGGTCACACGATAAAGCCAACGAGAGTTGCTTTTCTCCAGGATGCCCGCAAGCCGTCGGGTAGGCACAGGTGTCTTATTTGGCTTTACTTCCCGCTAGCAAGGGTGACTGTGAAGGTTTCTCTTGTTGCTGGGTTGGGTTTCAGTGGGCCTCGATGCCGAGTTCGGGATGCACGACGTGGTTCTCCTAGCTCTCTCCATAGTGGATGTCCTCGGTTGTGAATGTGGCGTTCTAGATTTGATTTTGTTAAGCTAAAGCCGTGCCGATCTCCTTCACTGCGGATGCGTGCAGATGCGAGCGAATGAGACTAGTATCCAGAGATACTAGCTTTCCCTGCTGAATGCCCACCTGTTGCTAGGCGGATGGAAATATCGACGTAAATAGGATCTGGTAGTGTGTACTCCGAGCAATATACAAACTGACCTCGAAAACACGCCCCTTTCTCATGCATGCAAGCATACATATATCTCCTACCCGTCTGTCTCGGATAGCAGACCTGAGCTCAGCAACTCGCCCTCGATATGACAGAATCAACTTGGTCTACCATCTTCGCGCTCAGTCCTCGGCCCTGAGTGCTGGGTCGATACCTCTGTTTGTGATTGTCTCGCTTTATTCGACTTGTCACCCTGGCCCACAATATGATTTTTAGGGCGAGCAAGAGGTAGAGAAGAGGAATAGGAGGCCTTGTACTACTACCTTCTCCTATTCTTCTTTTCTCGCCTCTGATGTGCATTGTACACGCTCTCGTTTGTTATATCGGGGCTTAATGCCCCCAGCCTACTTCCCACCTGGAAAGACTGTATCATAACGCCGTAGCCATATTCCCTAGATCCTACCAGCCCTTAACAGGTTACTTGCCCTGCACACGCTAAACTACTAAAAGAGAGCATACTCCAGGCCGGATGGTAGTTTGATGTAGTCCGGGGTTGTATATCAACGGGTGTGCAGTGATAACCCACACGCATCATTGTACATGTACCACCCGACTCCACGCATCCTGCAAGAAGTACATTAGCGTTTAATCCTGGACAGAGAGTTGTAAGCGCCAGGACAGAAAAGAAATCCCAGAATATCAGAAGAATATCTCAACTGCAACACTGGAATTGTACCCTCCATCTTTATCCTTCTCTTTGTTGGTCATGCATGCACGCTAAAAGAAACAGTAATAATCTTCATCTGTAGGTGCGAGGTGCGAGGTACTATCTTAGCCTCGAAGCACATCCCTTAGATCCCTGTCCTCTGCTTCGGATCCTTGTGCTTGTGTTATATCGATCTGATTGCGGGTTTTCCCTTTGCCCCATTTCCCCATTTCCCCGCTTGGTCTGATTGCGTCTGTTTCTGTTTCTTGTCTCGCTGTCCGTTCGCTCTGCTCCATTCCGGCATTGGCGTCTCTGATTGTATCGGTACGGCGGCTTCGGCGCCATGCAATTTGCAGCCAACGGCCGTTAGATGGGTTTCTGCGCCCTTGAGATCTGTTTGAATAGGAAGGGAAAAGGATATAAAGTCTGGCTTTGATGCAGGCTGTGAGTTTGCTTCTTCAATTTGAAATTCATATTCACATTCACAAAACCTTTTTTCTTTTCTTGGGATCTTTATTTCACGGCTGATATACAACCTCGGTTCTACTCTTCGATCACCGCCCACATTCAATACCCTCGATCTGATCGAGAAATCCAACAAAAATGGCCGTTGGACCTCGAGTATCTAAAGAAGAATTCATGCACGCATTGGGTCTAAATCCACAAGACCCGCATCATGAGCAATACTACCGCGCCATGCGAGTAAGTACCACCCGGATCTTTAACACTTACCTTCCTTCTCAATCTCCCTCTCCTATCCGTATATACCCAAACCTGCAGCATATATCCCAAGGATCAGCCTAATAAACCCAATCCAGGACGAAGCAATCATTGTCTACAACCGCATGAACCTAGACACCGCCAACCTCCTTGACAACGTGCGCACCGACCCAGCAACCCGCCCCCCTTTCTTCTGGCACCACATCCGCCCGGACTGCCAGCGCTGGGCGATCCTCGAGATCTGCCACAATGCACCGCCGCTGGTGCGCGGCTTGTTCGAGCGTGGGGCGACGAATGGCGAATACGGCCCGAATTGGGTCGCCGGTTGGTTGTTGTATAGCGTTTTTCGGTCGCGGGATGTGAGGAATAATCGGAACAGAAGGAAGGGGGAGGTTGGGGGGTCTGCAGGTTCGGAGTCTGGTATGTGTTGATCGTTTTCTTGGATGCTTTATTTCTAAAGATGATGCTGATGGATGTTTATAGATAAACCTACAAGACAGCAGGAGACGACACAGCCGAAGAAGTACTATGATCCTGTGCGGAATGGGACGCTGTGATATTCTGGGGTTGAGGGTGTTTTCTTGGGGATCTTGATATTTTATTTTTCGCTTCATATCTATGCTGTTTAATGTCTATTTTGTATAATTGAGGTATCAAATTTGAAGACCATCGGATGACCAGAAATGGAATGGAATGCAAAGTACATACACGTAAGGAGAACGGCAGGTAGATCGAAAGAATCAATCATCATGCTCATCATCCTTATCATCCGATCCCTTCTTCTTCTCATGCTTCTGCCGACGATCTGACTTCAACACCTCCGTCACACGCTTATCCTGCTCATCGGCCCGCTCGTTCCACTCAGCATCATACTCAGCCGCGATATTCTTAATCTCCCCACGAAGCGAGTTCCCCTCATCAATCAAAGATTCCCAAAGCTGCAAATCAACCTTGTGCAACTGATAGAGCTTCTTCTGCCTCGCACTGATCGTGAAATCCAGCGCAGACTTGTAAGAAATCTCCCGGTTGTGATACAAAAACCACAAATAACCTCCCATCAATGTAGATAAACTAACCAAGTAAGTCACAGGCTCCATAGTATCCCACCCGAGATCAGTCTCGAATGTCAACCTGTAAACCGTAAACCACCAAATGGAAAGGATTCCAAACCCGCCAATCGCAACCCGCTGCGCACCGCGATGTGCCAGCGCATCGCACTCCTCCTTCACATCCGCCATGGTTTGAATGCGTCGCGAGAGCTTACGCAGCCGCATGCGGAGGTAATATGTGCGCTCGTTAAACGACGGCACCGTGACGCGAATCTGACTCAGACCAGATGGCGCGCCTTCGATCGTCACGATGAACTCGCCCGCACGCGCAGCATCCCGGATGAAGTCACCTATCTCTGTGGCCTGTGACCAGCGCACGAAGCGCTCGGGCTCGCCATTTCGGGGTGGGGTGCCGTTCGTTTTGCGCGGGTAGCTGTAGGTTTCGACGTCTTCTTCTCGGGATCGGCGGTGCTGGGTGGGTGATCGGCCGTTGAGCGGTTTGCTGCCGCCCACCCCGTCGTTGCCGGGGATGAAGTCTTTTTCTTTAGCTTGGTGTGCATCTAGGTCGATCTCGTCTTCAATTCGCTTTTTGGGCTTGATTGCGTTGTCATCGTGCTGGAGAGCGATGAATGATATGGCTGGTGGGCGGAGCTTGTCGGTGTTGCCTTTGATTGGGGGTAGCTCCGACTGGATCAGGCGCTCTAGGTATGATAGTGGCTGCTGGGGGTGAACTAAGATGGCTATGGGTTCGATTTCTGATTGGGCTGTCAGCATGATGGCCAAGTGATGTCCGAGTAATATGTTGAGGTTTCAAATACCTTTATCATGGCCTTCGTTGCCAATCGTCGTTAAAGGGATGATCAATTTGAAAAGCCGTGATGGTGTCGTCAACATTTTACCTATTCCCAAAAGTCAACATTGATACTTGAAGCAACCATAGCAGAACCATCTGACCTTTGGTCATCCTTTCAGGCCACTTCGCTCCTTCTGTTGGAGACTTTCCATTTTCACCGTTCTCACTAAGAACTGTCCGCTGAGGGCGAGCTTCTTGGTTGCCTTCTTGAACCTCGAACTTCTCTAAAAGATCCTCTGTCTTTTGATTGTCGCCTGAAATTTGTGTATGATCCGCATTGCTGAATTTCCTGATCTGAATCCATGCAAGATGATCTCGTGGAACTGCAGCAAGCCCAGCACATCTCGGCTTCGTTACTGGTGGTGCACAAGCTCTGAGACTAAGACCCCTGTCCAGGCAACCCCCCGAGAATGAACGGATATACTTAGAGGAAACAGTATAGCCGTTACTAGCCCAGGAATTCAGCCCCGCGGAGCCAATCTTCCTTAACGAGGCGGACGGGGTACCGCGTTGTGATATCCTCCCCGTCGCCGCCAACACGATAGGGGTGCAATTTCGTGTCGGAAAATGCATTATGAAAAGGGGAGATCCTTTTGTCTTTTCAATTGGTTATGGTGTATGTCCACGATGCATGTAAAATGATGAAAGAGAATATGTTGTAGATCGTAGGAATTGAATAAGGTTGCGATCTAGTAGGAGACTCAAGGCATGACGAAGAGGCGTTTCGACTACACGTGTGGAGAATGGGGAAGATGATGTAGAAAGTCAAGAGTCGTGTCAAGCAATAAGCTAGCCAGGATGATCCATGCACAAAACACAGCTCATTGTCAAGTTGGCGTTGTGCCTTGGAATATCCTGACGTCACAGACGCGCACGGGATCGAATGGGTCTCGGCACTTTGGGGCGGTGTGGCTCGGTTTGAGGCAGTGTTGGATTTATATCCCACGAGGGTATATGCAAGAACACTGCAATGTGCTTTTCAATGTGTCTTTAGATGTTAATTTTTGGATGGATTCTTATATGTATACCAAGGGGAAGAATAAACTGCACAGAGCACTTTTCTATATATAACCTAGGGGTTATGGATTGTATTTGAACACATAGTATATTCAATATTCATTAAAATCTATGTAGAATATCCAGTAATCTCAGAGCTCGCGCATAATATCCTGCACGGCCTTCGCAGCAAATCGTTTCCGTTCGCCCTCCGGCAGCTCGGAGCTCATATCTAATAGCCAAGTTAGTACACCGCAATTTCAACTATAGCAAGGTTGAGCAATTAACACAGAATCATACCTTTGATTGCCTGCATGCGCATCATCAATGCCTCCATACTCTCGACATCGATCTCATCATCGCCATTATCATGATCAGAGTCATCTGTCTCATCACCATCACCACCTCCACGCTCAATTGCCATACGCAAGCCGAACATTTCACGCTCTAATTCATGGACCTCATCACCAAACCCACGAGAGCCACCCAGACCTAATAGTTGGTCTTGAAGTTCATCATCGGAGTCAATTTCAGGATCATTATCTCCGTCAAAGCCAGAGTCACCTCCAACCATAGACCAGTCATGAGTCTCAAGGACTTCTTTGATCCGAGGCATACCCTCACGCTCTAGTAATAGCATAAAGTCAGCTAAAATCCAAGATCAAGCCAGACAACCCAATAAACAAAAGGTTGCTTCAGTAAACTTACCCCCATACTGATTCCTTGTCTCAACCTCCAAAACCTCCTTAGGATCCCACTCAACAACCTCCCACCCCAACAACCCCATATCAAAAAACTGATCCTCCCACCAACCAACCGAAAACGGCGCTGCATCTCCACCACCTAGATCCTCATCATCAACACCAAGCCCCAGCTCCGCATCGGGATTCTTGGATCCCTGTTGACCCGCTCCTATACCTGCAGCACCTTTCCGACTCCCAATCAACACAAACACACCAGGAACATCACCGAGACCGCCACGCTCCTCGTCAATGCGCTCCTTTACAGCGCCGATACCGCGCATTAAGTCACACAGTGCGCGCACGTCGGGCCGCTCGGCGGGGTCTGCGTTCGCATTGGATCCTGGTGGAGGTGTCGCATCGCTAGGAGTATGCGCGCAAACAACCAGAGCCCCAACAGCCTCGCGCACGATCTCGGCTTCTGTGCTTAGGAATTCCGTCTTCCATTGCTCGGCTGTTGGTGCTGGTGTGGGAGTGGTTTGTGTGGCTGGGTCGTGGACCGCGAGTGGGATCTCGTCGACCCAGACGGGAACTTCGGTTGTGTAGTATTTTGTTTCCAGGCGGAGAGGGCTGTGGGTTGTATAGCCGGCAAATGTGCTTGTTGGTGGTGGGGATGTTGAGCTTGAGGTTGGTTGTGATGGGGTTGCGGTTGGTGAAGGGGCTGGTTGTTGTGGTGGGTCGACGACGGGGACGCCAGTTAGGGAGTGTAAGAGTGGGGGGATTATTGTAAGGGATTGAGAGGTTGGTGTGAGGATTAGGAGGCGCCGCGGGTTGGGGATGTTCTTCACTTTGGGTTTCGCGGAGGTTGCGGGGATGGATGCGGGCGCTGAATCAGTCATGACGGCAGTTTCTTCTGGGTGCAATTGGGAGTTTAGGATTTCTCTTAGGACAGTTGAGTCAGATAGTCCCCGGTTCTGTCTATTGGTAGTGTTTGGAAGAATGTGGTGTGTTGAGAAGGTTAGCTGTCCCCCGCATCGACAAGAAAACAACGGAGTGGATAATATGACCGGATAATGTCACTTTCCATTTTAGTGCTCACCTCTCGCCGCTTTTTCCCCGCAGAGTAAAATTGAACACGACTTGATCACGGGATATTACATAAGCCATTCTTAACCCCAGGGCCTATCATCCTTTATGTTGTACCCATCCTAGATGAGGGATGTTGCCTAGATGTATGGATGCAGCTTAATTGGATAATACACACCATCCCAGGTCAGGTCAGCCTGCCTTTGATACTGTATTTTGGAAAAGAGTATTAAATGATAGGGATCTCGTTCAAGGTGAATAACAGATCCGCGGGATCCCATATAAAAAGTACCACATAAGATTAGGTGTCGCTTTGTTTGTATGAACTATCTATTATTCTATTGGTGCTCCAATAGCACCAATAGAGTATCCATTTAACAGCTTTCCGCTGAACTCATGGAGTCATGCTCCCAGCAAAGCTCTTCACATGAGATCTCCTAACCTTCCAGTATTACTCTGCACCGATGTTGACAGCATACTTGCTGTACTTGCGAAGCGTCGGCCCATAGACAAAAAGCAAGTACGGAATTGTGGCCATGACTGTACTGATGGCCCCCAAGATTGTCAGTGTGTAATGAACACCGATAGAACGGTAAATAGGCCCACCAGCAACAGTCATCCCACCTGCCACCACATATCTGGTAAAAACAAGAAACCCTAATGCAGATGCCGAGTATCCACCATAGGAATCTATGATATACATATATGTGACGATGAAAATAGAGGTAATCCCGTATCCGAATAAGGCGGAAGCAATGATAGGAGACCAAATTGAGATGGACGGCTGAATATCCAGAGAGCATGAAATTCAGCAGCTAGGACAATGAGGAACAAATCATGGGAACTTACATAGCTGGTCCAACCCATCCAGAACAAACTTATTGGTACCGCTGGAGCACCACCCAGCATTGCATACCACAGTCGTATTTCAGGAGCAATAGTAGAAGTCTTCTTGTACTCTTTTGCAGTCCAGGAGTACACTACCGGAACTAAAGAGCCAACAAGAAGAATGCCACATAGCATCCCCGCCCAGAGTATTCCAGTTATCTCCTGTGAAAGGCCATATGTTTGACCAAAAATGTATGTATATCCCTCCAAAAAGGTGAAGAGGACAATATAGAGAACGGTAAGGTAAAGCGACATCAGAATGATAATCAACTCAGAGTAAACCAGTACAAATGGCCGATATACCGAAAGCAGCAGTCGTCGGCTCAAAGTTGCGTGTTTCATCTCCATCGGAGCTTTGTACCTCTTGTCCCCAGTTTCTTCGCGGAGAATCTTTGCTTTCCAATACAGGAGGAGAGGTCCGTACGTTTCTGGCTGGAACAGAAGGATAACAACAAGAGTCGCGCCTCCCATAATGAGCATAATCCACTCAAGCCAGCGCCATCCCAAATGAATAGGAATATAGCTTCCTATTATCTGCCCAGCCATAGGTCCCAAAAAAGATGGAATAGCATAGGCTGGAAAAGCGTAGGTCTTTTGTAGGGGATCCCACAAATCCGCTACCGTACCACCAGCGCAGGTGAGTGGAGTAGAGCCGAAGAAACCAGCGAAAAAACGAAAGATAAGGTGGCTGTGGATGTTCGGAGCCAGTGCCGCGGCCATGATAAAAATCAGAAAAAGGATCATAGTTGTCAGGTAGACGGCGTTCCGACCAAACGTCTCAGAAAATGGGCCTGAAAGGAGAGAGCCGACTCCAAAACCGACAAGAAATAGAGCTGTTGGCACGGTCAACTCATGCAAAAGCGATATTTGTTTCAAAAGCCTGTACTTACCTGTCGCAAGAGATCCGACTACTTCGGATACGTTGAACTCTTCGCTGTATTGTCGAATGCCACAAGCATCAATCGCGGATGCAGCGGTTACGGAAAAAGCAATCAAAGAGACTAGAAGAGTCATAAACATCTTCCGCGACACGCTCTGGTTTGCAGGGTTCAAAGGATCATTGGGACTATCCCAGTCCACAATAATAAGGGACTCGGTGGGGAGTGTTTCTTGGAGCGAGAATTTGTTCGGCGGATCAGAAAATGGAACATCGCATAATTGACAGCTGGATGATTGAGTATGAGCATGGGTTGAAGGATATACTTGCAAACCGTGAGCTATCACTTACCTCGAGCTGTGTGGTGACCCTAGTGCGTAGCCCTCACAGCTGCATTTTTCTTTGGTTTCTGCTAGTTGGTCGCGAACAGCTTGTTTAATTCGCTGGTATTGAAAGAAAGATTCCATTGTAGTGAAGTACCTGGAGACCGGCAGTGGATTCGTGAAAAAGAAACCGGGCAGGTTGCGACTGTACTGAAATTTAAACCATCACATTGAGCCCTGTGGAGTAAAGCTACCGGATTTAAATGCTTGTTTTTCAATGGGCTGTACGGAGTAGATCGAGGCCTAGTTCTGTTGGCAAATTAATTTTCCATTTCACAGAGATTGTTATTTACCAGTCAAGTCCGGATTTGATCATTGGCCATCGGACATGGGTGGGGTCTGCCACATTTTTCTCCGATGCACTTTAACTCCGGTCAGCCCTAGTTGTAGATAGTGGTACGGAGTAGTTTAGTCTGAATTGTATCGGACCTCTAGTTTATAAGGCAGAAAAATGTTCGAAACGGGTTGATAATATCTCTGATCTTCGATATAGAGTCTGGCATATTGTATTTAGCTCATCAAAATTGCCTTTTCGGATTGTCCTAATAATATACCCAAGCTTTAGACAATTGCACATAATACCCGAAAGAAGCACGCACTTTCAAGCGAAGACCTATACGTTATATCTGACACGTTGAGGTCAATCGAAGATTGACCAGATATCATCTTGCATTACCGGGTGGTACGGAGCAAAGGAATGTAAAAGAATACTCACTCATGCACTTAGTACTTTGCAATCAGTTTCACGTTGCTATGTAACGATGTCTCTGTCCATTAAAGCGCATTCAAATTAGAAAATATTATCATTCGTTCCACAGCTAGTAAGCGTTACACCATTTTGAAAATCACTAGAGATGTCGTCCAACGTAAAGCAGAGATCAAACTGCGGGAAGATTGCCAATGCTATCCAAGTTCTGAATATGTTAGTCTATGGTCAAGCAATCACAGATTCCATATCTTACCCAATTAAAAAGATCTGCCCCAAACCATTCCCGCATATCAGTCCAGTCTTCAATTGTGCTCTCAAACGGCATTCCCGAATTCGATAGTTGTTGGTTTTCTGCATCGAACTGAGGTCTGGAAAAAGTCATTCAGCCGAACTTGCCACCACGATGAAGTAGAACTTACTGTAATTGAAGAAGTATGCGATACGCCTTCAAACATATTGCACTTCGACGAGAAAGGCTCTTCATTCGAAGCACGAGTTTGTTTAACTCTTCCCGGTACGAACCTGACTCAAAAGACGATCGCATATCGAGAAGGCACGAGTTGAGCGCCACAGCAGCGTGGAGTACCTTTAAGCTTGTAACACCTCTAAGCAACCACAGATAAGGTCGAAGTAGTGGAACTTCGTATATCTGACGATGGATGCCTATTAAGGCGGCACTTGAAGCTATACACCTCTCTCTAGATGTTGCAAGGAAGCATGAAGACCGAGAATGGCGAAAGGGGCGATGCAGAAGAAGGTAAAGTTGATGTGCATAGGTTTGTAGAATGCACCAATAGGCGTAACTGGAATCCAATATGTTTGGGGCACCATCCACCAAATATGTTGAGTCCCATCTCTGTTGTTCCTCGGCGATTATCGCATCAAATTCATTCAATGGCTCTACCTCAAGTCGTGAGGGACCAGAGATGTGATGACAGATCTGAGTGGAGATCCGGAATAGCCGAACTTTGAACATCATCACGGACATCTGCGTGGGCACACTTGATGGCTGCGATATCCCATCTTGGGTGATATCATTATCATTGACATCTGCTGGCATTGTGGTTTTGATATCAAGAAGGAAGGACATGTCGATATCCCGAAAGAGAATGGCTTGATAGGTATGTAGCGTCAGTATACCAACCCAACAGCGACGGCGTCTCTCGGTCTCTAGATGATTAAGTCCCTGGGAGTCAACATTGCACCGTAGGGCTATGCCGATATTCAAGGCCATACCCAACAAGGCCCACCCTTGATCGACAGACTCGTTGTGAGACAGGTTATATATTACCATCAGCAAAGCCTCGAATGTGCTGAGTTTGTGTCGGATAAAGAATTGATCTTTTACGAGACAAACCATCGCTGTCTGTTGAAGCCGGCGGGACAGAATCACGGCCTCTTGCTCTTGGGAATGAGACCCTTTTGGCCATAAATCCACCAGTCTAGGATCGCTTGGCTCCATAGTATTCAATGTCAAAGAGCACATAGAAAAGAGCAAAGCTAGCCAAGAGAGATCAACTTGATAGGGATTTTGCATGAACGCAACATATTGTTTCTGGAATGTTGGGCCATGGAGGATGGGAAACAAAGCAGAGATATGATTGAAAAAATGCGAAACCAGACAGTCACAGCTGGTCCTGGAGGGTAGAATATCAATAATATCTTGAAGCAGGATACTCGGGCCAATTGAAAAGGGAGACAAAGTGTCAGTTGGTGCGACAGGATCATCTTCCGGGCACGGCCGTTGAAGAACCGCTTCCCAGCGATTATCTTGGGAATCTTGAATTTCATTAGGCCCCGACCCCTCAGCTCGACCACTCAAAGAACTAGCACCAGGTTGGCTCAATGGCGCTAAGGAGGCCGCGGGCCCTTTTCTGGGTCGCACATTTGAGGACGAGGGATTTGGCGTTGTTCGATGAAGATTAATAGATGTATTTCGAACAGTGGGGGTGGTTAAGAACGAGCACGACAGCTCGCATCCTCGCCGTGTACAAGCACCACAAGGCTGTTGACGATCACATTTTAATTTGGAGCATCGGCAATGCTCGCAGCTAAGGACTTTTCGCTTTCGGCGATAAGGAGATCCAGGGCTTTGCCTTCGATTCAGCCGGTCGTGAGTCAAGGAGCTTTGACTCATTGTATTGGAGAGGCTACCTCGTACACGGAGCAGGAAGTCCGGTACGCAAAAAATGGACAAATCGACGAGCGCGTCCGGAGAAAGGAACTGTGACGTGTGTCGAAAATCGGAGTTTAGGCAGTTTGAAGAAATAGCCGGCATTTTCCGAGCTTCTCCGATGCTAAGCATTCGGGGCTTCGGAGTTCATCGGATTTAGCCCATCGGAGTTTGCCTGGCCATCTACGGAGTACATATAACATACAGAGTAGAATATGACACCGTCATAGGCGCCTGTTGGTTTGTGGTATATATTCAAGAATAGTCTTGATAATTTCTGTTCTTGAAGACTGTTCGGTGCCTAATTTGTCAGGCCATACAGGGGACAGATCATGTTTGCCAACTTGTCAGATAGGCAGATAGCTCTCTCTCTCTCTCTCTCTTTGCTTGTCTCTCCGTCCATTTTGTTCCCATAAAAATCGACTACAATGTTTCTCCATCAAGGATGTACGACCCAAACATCGGCTACACCACTCCATGCAGGGCACGCATACTATTTGATATCATTCGCACACGAGGTATATTGCCTGTATAACGAACACAGCTAAATTTGATGCTGTAAATCGGTATTTTCCAGGCTAGTCCACCCTGCCTTGGGTCTTCTACCGAAAAAGGGAGTGGCAAATGTCAAAAACCCCGTTCTAGGTTGAACAGTAAGTAGGTCCGGGGGATCCTATACAAGAAGTACTAAGACTAGTCTAGAGAATGCGACACAATGAATGATCCGATGAGAATATGTATGCATTCATAAACAAAGGAGCAGACGGGGAGAGAGCGAGAGATCTACCTATCCTGGCGCTGTCACGTGGATCCCTCAGCCCTGGAGCCTGCAGGACTGCCCACCTGGGCAGGGGCCCTCTGCAATTAGTCATCGTTTGTTCGTACCCAAGTATAAAATACCTATCATTTTATCAATGGTATATCTCTTTGAAAGATACCACAGCTCATTCTGATGTGCACATAATAACTAGCTTATTTTGCCTCTCATTAAGCTTCCGGTCCAATTCTTCCAACTCACAATCTCTACTACCAACTGAGTAACGACTTGCATTCATTAATATGCCAGGCAATCCGAAGCAGGGGACTCCTCCATGGGGTCTCAGATGGAGGTCATCTACCATCTTCATCATGTCCACAGTTTCAATGTCAACGTTTACAGTAAGCACTTCCGTGTATCCCTATCGAATTATACCTGACTCTTGCCTAGGAGTTTTTTCTCTATGCCATGGTAGGTCAAGAGATCCCTTGGGATTAACTTGGTTATTTCAGGGAGCTTATGACCCTCTAGATTGTGCCTGTTATGCCTTCAGCGCTAGTAACACGCGCTGGAGTTCCCTTCGAACACCGTAAGTTGAAAAGCACAACATCCTTCAGATGGAAATGGCTAATACTTGGAAACAGGTGAATACTGGGTCAGCGTTCTATTGATGTGTGAAGCTGCAGTGTCTGTGATCTGCTGTCCCATTTTCGGATTTCTTGTCGATATTTCAGGCACCCGTCAACTTCCTTATCTTTTTGGACTCTCCCTACTTGCGGCTTCAATGATTCTCCTCGTTTTTGCCAAAACACTCTCTATTTTCATAATCGCGCGGCTACTTCAGGGCGGTGCGACGGCAATGGTGGCAGTTGCCGGGCTTGCCCTAGCCACAGATTCCTTTGACAAGGACCGATTAGGCACTGCAGTTGGATATTTGGGCTCTGCCAGCGCCTTGGGCTTTGTCCTGGGTCCATTTTTAGGCGGACTGATATACACCAAATTCGGATATGAGGCAGTTTTTGTGATGGCTGCTGTTCTCATCGGTGTTGATTTTATTCTCCGAATCTTGTTGGTCGAGAAAAAAGTCAGGCAGGGTTGGATTGAGGCTGATACAGAATCACCTGATGAAAATCAACATATCGCCGGCAATGACAATGACTGTCCATCCATCAACGAAGGAGGCTTTATTCTGCTAAAACTCATCCAACAACCGCGGATCCTGACTACCCTTTGGGCTCTTCTCGTCATAGGGATCTTTTTTTCTGCTTTTGATGCTGTGAGTTGCTTGCAGACTCCATTCACCCCAATTAAAAAAAAACTTGGAATTCATAATGACCTCTCTAGACCCTCCCCATATTTGTTGAGTCCACATTCCACTGGTCCCCAGTGGGAGCAGGATTGATTTTCCTTCCAAGTGCTTTTACCTCACTGATGGGACCATATTTTGGTATGTCGATGTCGGTTAGCCACCACGTGGCGTACAAACACTAACATATACAGGAACTATTTGTGACCATTATGGTCCACGGGCTATGGCATTTACCGGATTTATCCTTCTTTCTCCGACCTTGATCTGTCTTTCTTTGGTTGGACACAATTCTTGGCCTCACATTGCTACCCTGGTCATTCTTCTATGTTTGACTGGTCTCTTCATAAACGTGGGCCTCCCTGCTTTGTATGTGGAGTCTCAGGCCGTTCTAGACGACATGGAGCGCGAAAGGCCAGGAATCACAGGCCCGAAAGGTGCCATAGCCCAAGCATTCAGCTTGCAGACTATGGCCCAATTTATTGGATTGTTTTTTGGTCCTCTGTGGGGTGGGTTCATTGAGTATCATTTTGGATGGAAGACTATGGCATGGACTTTGGGCTTGCTCGCCTTTGTAACAGCAATTCCAATGCTCTGGCTGAGTGGGAGGACCCACAATGGTAATGATAATATTGGTGGAGAGACCGAACCACTTTTGGGAGATAGACTTGAGTGAAAGGGATATACCTAACATATTGTACTCGTCGGATCAATCTAATATAGTGGATCTCTGAAAATTTTAGTCCTATTGGAACATGTTGATAGGTCAGTCCTCTGGCGGTCCTATTATGATGCTCTGTGAAAAATCATACAGAACAAATTCGAAAACGCATTTAATCAAGTCTAGGCTTGAGCGTTGCTCTCAAGGGTCGGCCAGTGTAGTGTATAGAAGCATACGCTTTGTACTTCATGTCCTCCTCCCTGCGTTTTATCCAAATATTAGCAATATAATCAATAAAATATCAGATTAGAGTAGAGAGCTTACGTTGTTTCGTACAGCGAAACCTCAAACCTGCGAAACACAGCAGCGAATGCGGCAGAAATCTCCATGTATGATATACTAGGTTTATCAGCGATTAATTCGTTACCTGTTGCATGAAATTACAATTCACTTACTTTTGTGCAGGACACATTCTCCGTCCCTTTGAAAACGGAACAAGAGATCTCTCGAGCTGGGGATCACCGTTTGCCCAGCGCTCAGGAGAGAATTGTTCAGGGTTTGAAAAGACAGTCGGATCCATGTGAACATAGACGGAAGTGGTGGCAACAATGGTCTAAAGGATTAGAAACGGTTATTTTTAATCATGGCCATAATCATATTTTTGATACACATACCCCAGGTGGAATGGAATATCCATCAATCTGAGCACCGTTGGCTGTGACAATACGAGGCATACCGGAAATGACGCCGTGTGTGAAACGAAGGGTTTCCTTAACTAGGCCTTTCTAATGAAAGTTCAGTGACATGCCGAGCGTAAACGCTTTTGTTCTGGGTAAGGCGATATTTACCAAATAGGGAAGATTTCGGAGGATTTCATGGTCTGGAATTGGGTCGGCTGGGTTCTTCCAAACCCCCTTGAGCTCCTCATACAGCTTCTGCTGTGCTTCGGGATCTTGAGCTAAGTGGAAAGTCCCGTAAGGCAGAACGTTGGAGATATCAAGCACTCCACCATGCATGACTCCGATTGCTTCATCTAAGAGAGCTGATTCTGGGAGCGGTTTGCCATTCCTTGCACTGCTTGGCTTCGTCATGTTACCAATAAGAGTGGCTCGATCGTTCATCTCAGGGGAGGAAAGGTTATAGTGCAGAAGATTGGTCATTAACTATGCGCGAGTCAGAACGAAGGATAATCAATGCGGAGGTTAGGAGTGAATGGGAAATACCTCTGTCATCACGTTCCGTTGGTCATAACTGAATTTGAGACTGGAGGGAAGGTAACTGGCAAAGTCGTGGAAATGGCAGGTAAGAGGGAAGTTCCTCATGAGCCACATTGTCCAGTCGAAGCTGTAATACGTTGACATGGAGAGCGGATTACGAAACTTCTCGTTTTCAAGTCCCCGGAGGTTGTCGGGAATGACAGCAAATATGAACTCGTTAATTATATCCAATGCCAAGCCACGATATCCCAATGCCAGCTCAATGGGCTTCTCATTTCCCATGCTACATTGCAGCAGGTCACAGAATCGTTGTACCTACAAAGGGTGAGATTCTCTTCTGTTACTAACAGGTGATACAACCTACATTGCGACGAACAATAGTCTGAATATCATCCATATGATTGCGGCCGAGAAGTGGGGACATAAGCTTCAATCGCGCAGCGTGCTCTTCGCCTTCAAGTCTAAACGATGAGTCGGGTAGACCAAGGTGATGGTAAAATTCTTGATCTTTGACTGTCTTATTCTGCGGCGAGAAGATATCGTGGAAGGCTTGAGGATTGCGAAAGTGCAGCTGAACAACAGATTAGTCAATATATCGGATATTTTCTAATAGAGATGATACGCACCGTATTAGGTGTGATTCGAACAACAGGGCCTATCATAACAAGCGGTTAGAGCTATGATAGAGGTGGGGGGTTGGAGGATAAGGATAACTTGCCATAGACTTCATGAAGGTGAGTTAGTTGCTCCACCAAACGACCATCTCGCCAGGTCTGGTGATAAGCTCTGTATAGACAAGAAACTGCAGCCACTTTGGGGCCAGGATATTTAGACAGAGGATGAAGGTAAAATCGGTAAAATATCAGGGCCACAAAATACAGAGCGGCAACCCCGACGAAGATTTCCTTCGCAAAGGGGATAGAGGGAAATGGACTCTCCGTCATGTTTTTTGAATGATGCTGAAGCTGATGTTGAGGGTGCTATCGAACCAGCGGATGGAAATGAAGTGATAAGGCAAAATGGTTTGGTCATTCTAGCCCTAACTTTGCAATTTTTACCTATCAGACAACGCTAATTGGCATTTATATATTTCTCTTTTCAGCTCTTTTCGCGTAGATCTTCAAATATTTTCCTGCGTCATATAATTAGATATTTTGTACTCCGTACGCTTCGAATGCTTTCGATATTTCACACAACGTATGTATTGTACTGCATATGCAGGTAAACTCAAATAAATTACTAGCTGTAAATACATATACGGATCGATCGATCGATCGACATTAGGTACAATTACGAACCGCTTGCCCCACAGTTCAGCTTCGTGTTCAAGTTTCTTCGCAAAAACTAGAGAACGAACTACTGCTAGAAGGTGGAACCGCTGAGGTGTACAATGTATTGATGGCGTCGACAAATTCATGGTAAATTATAAGGCCTTGACACCATATGAAAATATATGACGGCACAATCGTGTATTTTTCCCGTAGTAATTTAATCTAGCCGTAGGACTATATATATACTTAGCCTGACAGGAAGAGCTCAACTTCCCCTTTTGTGCCATTCGTTATTGTACTTGCAAAATGATCTTTGATTCATTACTACCTCTTCCATCCTTGCCTCAGGCAGATGTCTTTTCTTACATCTTTCGCCATGGACGGCGAGATTATCCCAAAGACCGTGTTCTATATCAAGTGGACGGGACTGAGGAGACGTTGACATTGGGCCAATTGGAGCAGCGAAGTCTGCAACTGGCTCGCATCTTGAAAGCCCAATATCAAATCCAACCTCAGGAGGTGGTGGCGATCTTTTCCCATGATCTAGTACGTCTATCTGATACGAAAATGATTGCATTCATCTAACATTATGTGAAGATCCAATATCCCATCGCATACTTTGGTTGTGTCGCTGCGGGAGCCACAGTGGCCCTGATTCCAGTTCAGAAACAGCAAAATGAGACGGACATTGTCTCGCATCTCAAACTGGTCAACGCGAAGCTGATTCTGACCGATCAAAAGCTGCTTTCCCTAACAAACAAAGCATTGAGTCAATATCGCGAGATTCCCGTGCTCACTTTGGATCGCGGCTCTGCCTCAATCCCGAATCTGGAAGAGATGCTGGCGGAATCGAGATGCCGCGATGATAACCACTTCATCCCGGTTTTTGAATTGACTACCAATGCCCAGGCCGAAGAGTACACGGGCTTTATCAATCGCACCAGTGGTTCGACCGGCAGTATGAAGTCCGTTCTGGTCAGCCATGCCCATTTCATTGCAACGATGGAAGCCACTCGTCTCACGGTTCCATCCACCACCAACCCGGACGAAGATGTTTGGATATCCCCCCTATCGCTGGGCTTCTTCATCAACGCCAAATTGCATATGGGCCTCAACATCCTACTGGGAATTCCTGTAGTGTTGATGCGCGAGTCTCTCGAATCATCCAATATCGATGTTATCCCCCGTCACGGGATCACGTTTCTCTTTGTTGCACCTCCATTGGCTGCGAAGCTTGCGTCTGATCGTAGTGACACAGACCTGAGCAGCATGAAATGGATTCTGAGTGCTGGCAGCCCCATCAGCGAAGGTGTTCGCGATGCCCTGTCCTGCCGCTTCGACGGACTGCCATTGACGATGGAATGGGCCTCGGCAGAAACTATGCTCCTCACCATTCAGACTGAAGACGAATCTTCCCGTCGGCCCGGATCGAGTGGAACTCTGGTCAATGGCGTGCAGGCCAAGGTCATCGATACGGAAACCGGCGCTCCTTGTGGGGTGCGGGAGTCGGGAGAACTCTACGTGCGCAATCGGTTGGCACGATTCAGAGGGTACAAGGATAACGAGGTTGCAAATCGTGCTTTCACCTCGGATGGATGGTTCCAGACCGGCGATTACGGGTATATAGATGAAGACAGCAATGTGTACATTGTCGACCGCCTCAAGGAGCTGATCAAGGTCGGTGAGGGCTACGGATCGCATGTTTCAGCCGCCGAGCTGGAAGGGATCATCTTCGGCCACCCTGCTGTGGGCAGTGTTGTTGTGGTGGGATGCCGGGATGAAGCCGCTCAGCTGGACCGACCAACTGCATTTGTTGTTTTAAAGCCGGAATTCCGCGAGAAACCGGAACAGGCAAAGGAGGATATCGAGCGATATGCGGGCGAGGGACTGACGGGCTTGCAATGTCTGTCCGGAGGCGTCCGTTGTATTGATCAGATTCCGGTGACTGGATTCAAGATCAACCGGAGAGCCTTGAGGAGCATGGCCTAGACTGATTCCAACTGTTGCGGTGTGCGGTTGCCTGAGACCTGCCTCCTCCCACTAGGTACTAGTAGATATATCTCTTTTCGTGATTGATCGAAGATCCTTTCTCCCAACAGATGTGCCATATAGGCTAACCTTTAATTCCATGTAAACATAGGCTGTAAATTGGTATTGGCTCCAGACTTGAAAAGTCTCTGCTACAACTAGGTAAGTGACCGTATGGTATTATACACGAATTACGATAATACATATTGTATTATTGGTATCCTACCTCGCATGTAATTCCAACATCAATCTGCACGATTCGGCATATTGACATCCACTCCAAGGGGCTGGGAATTCTTGATTTTGGCGCTGCTGAGAGAGCTGAAGATCTGCAGGAGCTCCTCAATCGCGTGAGATCTACAAGTTCTCTCCGAGGCCTGACGGCTGATTCCACTCTATGACAGCCGGGTCGATGATCAATGGCTAACGGAGCTTACCTATTACGGAGTAAGGTACCCTCACCTAACCCGAGAAACCTAATTACCCACTTGTTCAAGGACAATGAACCGCTTCAATGCGATGGATCGGCATGATTTCAGCAGAGCTGTACACAGCTTGATCAAATCCGGCGATGAACCAATATCCACCTTGAGCTCAAGTTTAATATCTACATAAAAATGCAGTACCTAGGTATGGCGTGAGCCCCCTTACTAATTTTCTAATAATACCTCGTACTATATCGTAGAGGCTGGTGGATAATCACCCATAGACAAAACCTTGGTTATCCTCTCCTATTCGGTAGTGCTATTATAGAGATCAATAAAAAGAATTAATCAACAAATAATCATTTAGACTAAGCTATGCTAGAACTACAGAATCAGATCCTTGGGCTTCTCCCATGGGAACAGTGAGTTGGTAAAGTGCCCATTCTTTGACGTCTGGTAGTAGATCGGTTTCGTCAATCCCAATTTTTTCGCAATGAAGGCAGGTCGCATGTCAAAATTCTCAAACACGACTTTTTCCAATTGCAAATCAGTCATTTTGCCCGTTCCATAGGTATCGACGAAGATACTCAATGGCTCGGCAACGCCGATGGAGTATGACAGCTGGATAAGACACCGCTGTGCGAGACCGGCATGGATGATCGATTTCGCAATCCATCGTGCCATGTATGCAGCGGAACGATCAACCTGTAATGATAGTGAGCATTTGATCGGTTCAAAATAGAAGGACAAAGAACGCATACCTGGCGGTAATCTTTGCCAGAAAAGGCACCGCCACCATGGGCACCCCATCCACCGTATGTGTCAACGACGATCTTTCGACCGGTGACGCCAGCAAATTTTCCTGATGGAGTCACACCCAAGTCTCCAGTTGGTTGGATCTGTTTCCCAATTAGCATTCGCAGGGAGATTCTTCTATCGCATTGGCAAACATACATAGTAAACCGTTTGGTCATCCAGGTACTGTGCGGGAACGGCCTTGCAGATAACCTTTTCGAAAACTTCCCGGCGCAACTCCTCGACTGTCACATCCGGTGTATGCTGCGCCGTGAGCACAATAGTATGCACCCGCAACGGGACCGTCTCGCCATTCTTGCGTCTGGCGTATTCGATGGTGACTTGTGTCTTGGTGTCTGGTAGCAACCAGGGAAGAGTTCCATCCAGTCGGGCAGTTTTCATTTGTCGCGTAATACGGTGCGACAATTCAATAGTCAAGGGCCTAATGTGGTAAGTACCTTTGCCGTAGGAATGTCAAACAAATTTTGGAACTTACAGTGATTGTGGGGTTTCATTCGAGGCATAACCGAAAATAATGCCCTGGTCACCAGCTGCTTCCGTATCGGAAGTGCTGAGAAAGACCAATGGTGCAGCAGCTTCCGGGGTAGTTCGTCGCTCGATATGGTCCATTACCTTGCAGGTCTTGTAGTCGAGTTCCTGGTAGGCGGAGTCATATCCAATATCCTTGAGGACCGCGCGGGCAATGGCATCAACGTCAACCTTAGCTTGTGTGTCCAGGACACCAAACACAAAGATCAGGCCGGGTCGAGCGGCGGCTTCGATGGCGACTTTGGAGAGAGGATCTTGTGTCAAACAAGCATCGAGGATGGCGTCTGCTATTTGATCACAGACTTTATCGGGATGGCCTTCGCCGACAGACTCGGAGGTGAAGAGAAAGGTGGGCTCGGTGGTTTCAGTTTTAAGTAACATAGTGATTGAATATATTTAGGATCAGTCAAGAGAGAAAATCCAACAAGGGTAGATGTAGGAAAACAGTAATTGCTGGATTTTTGCAACTAAAGGGATAATGAGCTTTATGTTTATGTAGCCAGATTTATAAATCTCGATCCTCCAAATCCATTCTTGTAAAAAGAGTATCCGAAATAGATCAAAGCTCAGGGCTGGATTCCGCTATACATCTGATACGGCAAATACGGTATAGGTATTTTCTGTATTTTGCGTATTTTGTATAATTCATGTATTCAGTGTATTTTCTGTTCTGTGGAGCATCGGCCCAGGCTTCCAACTTTGGAAGGTTTTTCTGCTTTGCAGATCACAAATGACAGGAGGTCCCTGGCCCAAGAGAAATCCTTTTTCAAAGGGAGAATGTAAGCTGTCTCAAAGCCAATTAGACTTGCATGCTGCAGGTATATGTTGTTCTCACTTTAGTGGTGAAATACGTAATAGCTTCTCCAGGCAGTCAAGCAGGTCATTAATTCCTACCATTTTTCTATGCCGTCTCGGATTTGCTCGGCTTCTCTTTAGTCGATCTGGGATATAGGACACTCATGCACCCCACTACGCTAGTTAACACTGACACAGGATGGGGCGACGGTAATCAATCCCATTGGAATATTTCAAGAATCGAATCTCTCCACTATTATATTTTTTTTGGTAAACTAAGAGAAAATCGAAAAATTGTTGATTCCAAAGTCGCCATGACAAAGTATTATGATCCTCAGAGCTGAAAGAAAGTTTTTTTGGAAGATCCCTACCCATTTGAAAGGCTAACGCTAGTGGGGGTTATCGAGATCTAGTCATAGTTTTACATTCACACAGAGAAGATGTAATTTGTCTCAAGCCGGTCTACAACATAGTAGAGCTCTTGAAGTTCCGGTTTTGTCCATTTTATCTTTCTACTCCATCATTACCAACATGGCAGTAGCACACAACTGCTCGACCAGCCAGCCTCTCAACCAGGCCGCTTGGGCCCTCACTCCCAGAGCCAGACCATTTGTGGTAGAACCAGCACCCTACCCTTCCCCCGAACCGAACGAGGTAGTGGTGAAAAACCATGCCGTTGCAATTAACCCATGTGACTACATGCTGCAAGACACTGCATTCCTGGATTATATCCCATATCCCAACATTTTCGGCGTCGATGTCGCAGGCGAAGTGGTGGAAGTCGGGTCAAATGTCACCGATTTGACAGTTGGTCAGCGTGTGATCGGGTTTGTACTCTAATTGTTAATGATGTCGCATATACTTGACTGACTCGTGTGAATTTCAGACATGCCTTTGGGATGGATAGCACTTACACTCGCCACGCTGGGTTCCAGCATTATACCGCTCTACTTTCGAGCTTAACCTGTCCATTACCCGCCGATGTGTCGTTCGCTCAAGGCTCCGTCGTTCCCTGTGCGCTTTCGACCGCCGCCGCCGCGTTGTATCAAAAAGAAGACCTCCATCTCCAACATCCTTCTGTGAATCCCAAACCAACGGGCAAGACTCTCTTGGTATGGGGCGGTGCCTCTAGCGTGGGTAGTTGTGCTATTCAGCTGGCTAAGGCGTCAGGGTATCAGGTCGTGACTACCGCCAGTCCTCAGAATCACGAACAGTGTCTCCGTCTCGGTGCATCTAAGGTGTTTGATTATCACAGCAAATCTGTCAAAGATGAGATTGTCCAGGCTCTGAGCAGTACGGAGTTTGTGGGCGTTCTTGACTCAATATCCAAGCGACCAACAGTGCAGATGTGTGTGGATATTGTGCACGCGTTGAAGCAGGACAAGAAAGTCATGACCACGAACCCAGTCCCGGAGAATGTGTCACTTTATGGCATTGAGGCTAAAGCTGGTAAGATTGATAATTACTGGGTTTGATGGATTTAACTGACTCGTGGTTAGTGCTGGCAGGGACTATTGTAGAGAATGAAGTTGGAAAAGCTATCTACCGGGATTTCTTACCTGAGGCATTAGAGAAGAAGATCTTTCAAGCTACCCCAGAACCGTTGGTGGTTGGCCATGGGTTGGAGTCAGTTCAGGCTGGATTGGACAGAGTACGACAAGGCATGAGTGCTCAAAAGGCCGTGGTGACGTTGTGAGAATCCTAAAATGAGCGATAATCATAGTAGATATGCCACAATAAGTCTCAACGCTCTATCATTGCCATCACCTATCCTATTTGCATATGGAAACGCTGGAGTCTAAATTTTTCGCTTTCTTTTTTGAATCCTGGTTTTGTATGTACACCGGTACATTGTATTTGTCGTAACAACCGAGTATAAGTTACCATACATGACTACTATAGTACGATCGCTATGGGTAGCTCCAGATATCTCCATGTCGCATGTCAAGTTGTCTCTTCAGACTGCTGCATAGCTTCCCTCAAATTATAATGTCCGTCAATATGGATAGTACAAACCCTTCTAGCTATGGTTTTCGTTCGTCTAGGTGTTTTATTATCTCGTCGATGTACATCGCCTTGTTCGCTGGTTCGTCGTCGTCCTTCATGTTCTCGCTTTACGCTGACCAGACGGTACTCAATTAAGAAACCTTCCTCTTTGGCTTCATCGTTCCTATCCTTGGATATATGCTCGAAAACCGTCTACACTTGGATCCCTCCCATACCCAGAGTTTGACTACTGCGCTGCTTACCATCCACGGTTTGGTGTCCCTGATCTCTGGTCCTATTATCGCCCACTTCGCGGACAAAACACCAAGCAAGAAGACCCCGCTACTTTTTGCTCTGACCGGGTGTCTCACAGGCACAGTTCTCGTCGCGTGCACTCCTTCACGTATGTTTCGTTTCTATAATAATGGCGGTACGAGTTCAAGCTGACCATTCGCGCCTCCCGCCACATTTCAGTATGGGCGCTCTTTTTAGGACGAGTCATTCAAGGTGTGGCAGGGTCTGCTACATGGGTAATCGGCCTCGCTACAATAACGGATATTACGAGTAAGGACAAAATGGGACAGGTAATGGGCACCGCCAGATCCTTTGCGTCTACGGGCGTCGTTGGAGGACCCATGGTCGCTGGTGTGCTACTTCAGTTGTTCGGATACTGGCCGGCATGGTCTGTCCCTATGGCGGTGCTTGTCCTGGACATGGCTGCCCGTCTCATGATCCCAAGTCAACCTGCCAGCCCCTCCGAGTCACCTGCATCTGTTCCATCTGCCACGGAAGTTACTCCAGATGAGACCACCTCTTTACTTTCTGGGTCCTCTGACATCGATCAAGCTGACGAAACTGGGCCATCGGTCGCATGTTCGGAGAATGCATCAAGTCGAGGCTTTTACAGCATTATGCTTCGCGATCCCAGAGTCCTGTCCAGTCTCCTAAACAGCCTGACCACTTCTGCTGTCGTTGCTGGATTTGATACTACTCTTCCCCTTCATGTGCGTAATGCATTTGGATGGAAGAGCTTACCGGCAGGTATGATGTTTCTCTGTCTGCAAATACCTGCCATTATCCTGGGTCCTGTGGCCGGGTCGATTCGAGACCGACATGGAGTTCGATCTATCACTGTCTCCGGCTGGGTTATCCTGACACCGCTCTTTGTTCTCCTGGGAATGCCCGGGGACGGTCGATTCCCATGGGCCAGTGGTGAAGCTGGTGGGAAGGCCATTCATCTGGCATCATTGTCCGCAATTGGTCTTTTCCTCTGCTTGGTGCGCGGCTCGGGCGGTCAGCAAATGTCAGGTACGTCTAATTGCTTATTTGCACTTTCTATTTTCTATCACCGCATCCACAAATGACATGCTAACTTGTATCTTAGCCCTCGCCAAAGATCTTCAGGCCAAGAACCCACTCATCTTCGGGGCTCATGGGGGATCCTCCCGTGTTTCTTCCCTGTATGGTGTTTCTTTTAGCCTTGGATTGATGCTAGGACCTTTGATCTGCGGATCTTTGGTTGATGTGGCTGGATACTTTTACATGAACGTGATAATGGGTGAGGCTACTAGTTTTGGAATTTCCCTTGACCTGCATTGACTGACTTTATTGTAGCACTTATCTGCCTCGTCAACGGCGCCTCATCTGTCTTCTTCATGGAGGGGAAATCCCCAAAGAATAACACTAATGCCTCTGCTTAAAATTGGTGACCTGCAGCTGTTAGCCGTCTTGTACTCACTCCTTGCCTGCTCTCGTAACGCGGGATGACACTATATAAAATCTTGCTATCGGCATATAAAAATTTCTCGATACGAAAGTCATATATATGTTTATAATAATAATTGTTTTTGTTCATCAACATCAACGGGCCACCACATGAGCTTTGGCCACGAAGTAGTTGGAATTATATTAAGTAGTTCGTAGTTCTGATTTGACCTTATAAATCATTTCTGATTCTGGCGTTTTCAACGTGTTTTCTACTCCTTCGCAGGGTTGATTTTTTTAATCAAATAGCTTCAAACTTTCACTGACTGTCTTGTAAGCTGTTTCGGTATGTTATTTCGGGGGTTTCAATTTCAGTACGTAATACGGCAGTAATTTGGCAGCGTAAACATAGGGTTGTAATTTATTCGTGCCGTCCCGCCATGGATCCATGGATCCACCGTCCATTTCCAAGATTCCTGAAGAAACTTCGCAACAAGCTGAACTGTGGGGCAACTTGGGAGTAGTTCGGATACGGTACAATATACGGAGTACATATGTACCGATGCGATCCCCACATAGCCTGCGATGTTAAAGGTATATACCTGTGGCCCGCTTATTATCGTCCAATACAAATCTAGATCACGTTTCTATGTGGTAACTGAAATCGTGATCGATCGACATAATTGCGGCAGAGCTGAAGAGAAATAGATTGACAGATCCTGAAATGAACCTATGTATATCCACCTTGAGCTATTGATCCGCATCAAAATAAGATTCTGTAGGTTAGTGTTCTTCGCTAGCCGCTGCCGAAGAATTAGGCCGAACAAATCCGAACTCATCTTGTTCTCTTTTTTATTTTTTAGCTTTCCGATCACCACTACTCTGTTGTCTCAGGGTTATCAACCGACGATCAAAACATTTTCTTACCCACTTGAATCATCCCCCCAATTTCAAATTCCTAATTCCTGATTCCCATTCAACAATTCAACAAAATCAGTCGCCTCAATAGTATGTCCATATCCCACTACCTGAATCCGATCTCCATAATGTGTGTCTAACATGTCTCGCAGTGGATACCCCGGAAGTCAAAACATCCGCTATTGAATGGCTTCAGCAATACCACGCAGCCGGTGATGCCCTCAATCCGGATGTCTCCGTTCCCAAGTTTTATACCACAGACTGCGTGATGCGCTTTCCAGGACAGCCTCCCTTGCAGGGTCACGACGCCATCAAGGGTTTCTTCAAAATGCAATTTTCCCTTCTTGATAGCATGACACATACAATTGGTCATGTGGATGTGTTGCCGGATCGGATCTATCAGGAGGCCAAGATTGACTATGTAGTCAAGGGGGATCCAGAGCAGAAGGTTATTAAGATTGATGGCCTTGCAGTTTTTGGTAGACGGGTGGGGGAAGAACGGATGAGCTTTTTCACTGTCTATCTAGATCCACGCCCGCTGTTAGAGAGGAAGCAGATGGTTGCTGCGATGGGCCATTAAATTTATATATATGTACTCTATGTTGTTTTTCTTGACATATTATGGCCAGTGGTGCGGATATCGACCTAGATAGGTTGAAGGAATGATAGAAATAGTGCATACCAACATCATTCACGAAGTACTACTATAACAATATGATTGGCTGGTTTAAGATGCATGTCCTAACCCTGTAAGGAATTAGATCACCTGACTGGACCAATAGTTCAGCTGTTGAAAACACAGGATTGACATCATTTATTCTCATTGTGTTTAGCTGTGCCAATAGGACACTGTCCTAGCAAGATGGGTACATTACAAGGAAACGCAGGAGATGCTCAATTCATTGAAATCTTGGCCCCTCTCCCATATGCCTGCTCCACAGTTGAGCGATTGGCAGGTGGCAGCGTGAATTGCATCTGCAGGGGATCTTTGCTTTGCCCGCTGCCGGATGGAAGCAGGAGTGTGGTCATCAGACAATGTTCAGACGTCACTCGATATGTATGTTTTTCCCTTGAGATTGAGAGTATCTGTTTAACAATGTTGTTTGCAGACAGCCGAGCTGGCATTCCTGCAGATGGCCAAAGATACTGGCGCTTTCCAACATGTCCCAGATAATCGCATCTCAGTAAGGCCCGTGAATCTATATCATTTCATTCCCGAGTCACAAATACAACTGGTGGAAGACAAAGTCGATAGTCAACTGTTGAAGTCATTTCTTCTGTCGCCTCCTTCAGAGCTCAACATCCAAGACCAAATCGCCTCCATCGGTGAAGCTATCGGGCGATGGCTTGCTTGTTTCCATACTTGGGGCAGGAGTCAGATTGAAGAAGGTCCTTTGGAAATTTTTCGGCGCAATGAAGATCTTTACTGCAAGACACCCAGCCCTTTATATGAAGCGGTTGCCAACCAGTGCGAGGATGAAATGCTCCGGCAAGTAGTCCTTGCAGCTCTTACCAAGAAGGACCAAAGAGTGCAGGGTGTGATTCATGGAGACTTCTCCCCACGAAAGTATGCTTTGTCTTCCCGTATTCATAGTCATATGCTGACAAAGACCAACAGCATTCTCATCCAATACTCATCTTTACCAGCTGGCACAGAGCTTACCATTATTGATTGGGAGACTATTACATATGAAAATCAACTCCACGATTTTGCCAATATGATGGCCGTCATCTACATCCAGCATCATTTCAGTGGTGCTAGTTCCTTCAGCTCGTTGATTCAAGGATTTGTACGGGGGTATCAAGATTTGGACGCGGACTTATTCGCCGAAGCCTTGATTCTCATCGGAGTCTGGATGCTTTTCTTCAGGCAAATCATGGTGGGACCTGGATTACCGGACACGTCCCAGACAGATCCAAAGGGGAAGTTAAAGGCATTAGCAATCGATCTTATATCGAAAGGAGCGAAGAGAAATGTTGGTACACCCGATGGTGACCTTATAGAATTTTTAACTAGTGCATGATTGAGAAATGAAATGAGCTAATCTGGTAACGGCTCATTGCTTGAAATCACAGAGTAGGAATAACAACGTGCGAAGCCTATACAACAAGTGATATGACTTGATGATGATAGGCTGCTCTTTTGCCTTAGCTTCATTCCACGTCTGAGGGTATAGAATGGTCCGAAATGCGCTCGTATTTACGTCCAATTTGCCTTTATTAACGAATAGATGCCAAGAGCAATTAATGTATTATATATGGTAATATGACAACCCAAGCATAAATTATACGCTGGGGTAATGTGATTTGTACAAAAGCACAGGACCGGAATGAACCATACAAGGATACCGACTGAGTGCCTCACATAGTACGGAATACATTCTAGTCAAAATATATACAGAGCACAGAGGACATTAGGAGTTTCTAGCCGATTGGAGCATCTTCGTCCCCCACTTTGTCTCAGTGGCACGGCCCACCAAAAGTGACAACACGCCGATCACAATCTCCGAAGATTTATAGCTATTTAAGCCTAATCATGTTGTAGACTAGCGTGATCTAGAAAATCTGTTCACTCAGTACGGAGTACGGAGTAGTATCGTAAAAATTACATCCCGATAATATCTCGATGTGGTAACTGATCGACCTAATTTGTTGAGCACTGCCGCCACCAACAGATACCGACAGCTAGGACGGAGTAAGTCTCCACAGTTCTATCTTCTCCACTTGCCTGGTTTTTGAAAAGAAACAGACGTGAACTGTGGGGCAACTTAGCTATGTACGTCCGTGGCTACGGTTCTCAGCTCCCTTAGTAGTAAATGGGGGGCTTGGGTCTTACGTCTTTTCCAATACATAGGTCAGGTACCGTACATAAAGCTACCTCGAAAATGTAGTTTAATACAACAAAAATACATTCCAGCTCACACTAAATCGTGTAAAGAGATACGAAGTGAATTTTCTGTAATTGTAGGCCTCAGGAATAAAGGACTACAGCCGAGCTTGCAAATCCACATGAATCGCGAGAGAATTGAAAGCTTCGCATTGAGAGTGAGAAGAGAAAGAAAACATCGCACAAAATGAACCCCTTGACAGATTTTCACCCGACAAGTTTTCCTGTCTTGTCATTTAATGGCTACCAGGGCTCGCCGAAAGATCAGATTGACCTTGTCATTGACGATTACCATGATATTGCGAGAGAACCAGCAAGAGTCAACGCTTTGGCAGTAGCATGGGGACTAGTGCTGGCTACTTATACGAATTCGACTGATGTGCTGTTTGGTCTTGTACGGCCTTGTTCTTCTGGTGTGCAACCATATGCTCTGAGACTCCAACCAGAGGATTCCGTCATGGCAGCATTGAGTCAGGGGGAGGATATTATCAATGCATCGGATGAGACAGTGGAAAGCGCCATCAAATTCAATAACATTTTCGTGATTTGCAAAGCTGGCGAAGAAAGCTCTGAAGCAAAAAGCAACACATGTCCTCTCCAAATAAATTGCCGAATCCAGCCAGATGCCATTCAAATACGAGCTATTTTTGATGGAGAACTTTTGGCGCTGGAACTCTTGAGGACCATTCTCTTTCAACTGCGCCACGTCTATACAAGGATCATATACAACCCCCATATATCTGTTGCCGACGTCCAAGGCAGTAGTCCGGAATCCATTGAGAAGATCCTTCAGTGGAATGCGGAAACAACGCCTCAACGCGTTGAAAAACTCGCTCATCATCTCATCGAGCAACAGTGTCGTGAACAGCCATCTGCTCCAGCGATCAGTGCATGGGATGGTAAACTCACGTTCAGCGAACTGGATGAACATGCATCCAAAATGGCCGCTCGCTTAGTGGCCAGTGGCGTGGGCCCAGATCAGTTTGTTGGCCTGCTCATGGAGAAATCCATGTGGACTACTGTGGCGATCTTTGCGGTGTTAAAAGCTGGTGGGTGCTTTTATCTCCTGGATGCCTCGCAACCCGCCAAACGTCTCGCTTTGATGTGTCGCAAGGCTCAACCACGACTCATCCTAGTGTCAGCCAAACATGAAGCTCTGGCTGAGCAGTTGGACGTCCCCATCTGGGTAGTTCCTCGTGATTCAGAAACGGGTGAAATTTCCGCAGCGGAGTCGCAACAACTCGCAGCTGTTCAGCCGCATAATATCATGTATGCGGGTTTTACCTCTGGCTCGACAGGTGAGCCTAAGGGCTTTGCGATGGATCATACAGCCTTCGCGAGTGGCCTGACGAACTACTGCCAACAATTAAGTTTGTCTCCTCAGTCGCGTGTATTACAATATGCCTCCTATGCTTTCATCGTCAGTCTCACAGACCAACTCGCTCCTCTTACTCAGGGTGCCTGTATCTGCGTACCATCCGAACAGCAGCTGCAGGACGACTTGCTAGGGGCAATTCGTCACCACGATGCGAATTGGCTCAAACTGACACCATCGGTGCTTCGCCTTCTGGAGCCTGGAGAGATTTCTGGACTGAAGACATTGGTCATGGTGGGTGAGCCCATGGCAGCGACGGAGCTGGCCAAGTGGCAGCATAGTGGGGTCAACCTCTTGTCCCTGTATGGAATGTCGGAAAACTCCAAGGGTTGCAGTTACGGCAGTCGCAACGAGTCCGGCTGCGATATTCGCCAGTTCAGCCGGCCACTATGTGCAACTCCGTGGGTGGTCAGTCCTCATGATCCAGACATCCTCATGCCGATTGGGGCGGAAGGAGAGCTGCTGCTTGAAGGGCCATGTTTGAGTAGAGGATATATGGATAATCCAGAGCAAAACCGGATGACCTTTTTGCACGATCCCGCTTGGCTGAAACAGCTCCGACCCGAGAGCAATAGTCGGTTCTTGAGGACAGGTGATCTCGCCAAACACAACCCGCACGATGGGACCTTACACTTGCTAGGCCGCAAAGGAACTGGGCTGGTCAAAATTCGCGGCCAGCGGATCGAGCTTGCTGAGATCGAACACCACCTGTGCCCTCAATTCAACACTCAAGAACCGGCGGTGGTCGACGTGGTCATTCCATCAGATGACACAGCCCAAAACGCACTGCTGGTTGCCTTTGTTCCTATTGGAAAGCAACAGTCCACGCTCCATCGGGATGGTCTGGTCGAAGGCCTCTTTGCCTTACCCACTCAGGATTTCCGCCAGAAAGCCAGAAACGCCCTGTCAAATCTGCACCAGGCTCTCCCCAGTTTTATGGTCCCTCCGGCAATTGTGGCCACTGTAGCTTTGCCACAAACCGCCACTGGTAAGCTGAATCGGCGAGTGCTGCGCGAAGAAGCATCCAAGCTGTCCCGCAAAGACCTGCTAGCATACATCTCCCACGACTCTGCCCATCAAGATCCCACAACCCCCCAGGAGATTATCATTCAAACTGTTTGCTCGCAGGTGCTTAACCTTCCATTGGCAACGATTGGAATGCAGTCCAACTTCTTTGATCTCGGCGGTAACTCTATTACCGCTAGAGAGTTGGTAACGAAGTGCCGGCAAAGCGGCCTGCATATTACCGTGGCCGATATATTCCGAGCATCATCCCTGCTGAGTCTTGCTCAGTGTCATCAAGTTGTTGACACCTCAGTCCCAACCGAGGCATATGACCCGTTCAAGGCAGTTCGGGATGATTTTCTCGCCAATCTCCCGGCTTCGTTGGCCGTAGACCAGATCGAGGACGCTTTTCCAACACTTGAGGAACAAAATACCATGGCTTCCACACATATGCTCGACTACCACCTTTATGAATTGAACGGCCCCGTTGATGCATCCCAACTCCATCATGCCTGCCAAGCAGTTGTCGACAAGCATACCATCTTACGCTCGATTTTCATCCCCTTCCGGGAGGACATACTACAGGTTATTCTGCGCCATGTAGATGTACCCTTCACCATTCATGCTTCAGGAGACCAAAGTGCTCAAATCTGGGCCAAATCATTTTGCGAGGCCAAATTGAAGAAAACCTATCTCGCAAATGAGCCCCGAGTTGAGTTCAAACTAGTTCAAGATGCACCCAACCACTCCATCCTGATCATCAGGCTGCTACACGCCCAGTACGATGCAATCGGTCTCCAGAAGCTTGTATCCGATCTGTGGGCCGAATACGATAACCAAGAAGCTCGCATCGAATCTGACTTTGCCGCTTATGCGCGTGAGTGCTTCCGACAGAGAACCTCCCAGGCGTACGAATTCTGGGGAAACCTGCTCCAGAATTCACAAGTCACTCCAGTTCCCTTGCCCACTATTGCGGTAGAATGTGAGGAAAGCGTGGGCTTCGAGAGGGAGATGCCTTTGCCTACACCCCCCGCCGGGATAACCATGGCTACGGTTATCAAAGTAGCATGGGCAACGGTTCTGCAAGAATGGACAGGCTCCTCCGACGTTGTGTTTGGGCAATTGATCACCACGCGAAGTCTACTTCTGCCCGGCGTTGAAGAAGTTCTCGGTCCTTGCACTAATACAATTCCAGTGCGAATTCAACGAACTCTGAAATCCGAGACTCCCCATGATCTACTTCGTGCTGTTCAGTCTCAGCATGCTGAGAGTATTGGGTTTGAGACCATTGGATGGAATGATGTGGTGGACAATTGTACCAAGTGGTCTACAGGAAGTAAACCAGGATCAGTGGTATTGTTTCAAAACTACAACAAAAGTGTAAGAACACAGTTTGGTCAGCTGTCCTGCCAGAAGAGTACGCAGTTCTTCAATCTCCCCCCTGAGGATGTCGTATGGTTGCTTGTGTTTCCTACTAGCACGACTGCTTTGTTTGTGATCGAGTCGTCCAACTCGATTCTCAGGAAGGATGAGGTGGACCCACTTCTGGATCGATTCTGTGAAGTCTTGCTGGAGCTTTGCAGCAAGCAGAAGGAATGAGCTACTTGCCATCTCCGAGCAGCCTTGGAAATTGCGAAAGGGGTAATATTCTGATCTGACCCAGGACGGACGATCTTGAACCTTGGAACTTGTGGGAAAAAGGGAATTATTCAAGGTGGGTTTGTTATCCGGATGTATCCAATTAATTCACAAGCATGCATGTAAATATCAACCCACATATTCTCATTATACCCTAGGGCTCACTGGGGCCATTGTGTCCGCATGATAAGTTCACTAGTGGCATACATGTATAAATTTGAGTGGGGGATGAGGGGGAGAGTTTATACTCGCTGGTAGGGACGTTGCGCGTTCCAAAAAGATGATTTAAATTACCCCATTAAGCCACCGACCCAATGTTCCCAAGGCTCACAAGGTTCACAGGGTTGTATGTTGTATGAAGAGATGAAGAGATGTAGGATGAGAAGGAACGATAATCACGTGGTACAATGCAGGACCGTGCTGAGATCTACATAGCCTGAGCGCCCTCATAAAAGCGGCGGCAGCGCCAATGTACATAGTACAAGCCAAGGCTGTCCATATGTTCAACTCATGGCCAATAATCAGCTAAATTATGTCTGTGGATATGGAACTCTTGCTACGCTTAATATACTCATCGGGCATGAACCGCTATCAAAGGCATCGAATAATGGATATCAATACCTCATGGGGCTCCGTAAACTCAACATACCCAGACACACCTTTAACCTATGGAACCAGGAGATTCATGTCGGGTATTGATTCATAAATTGAATGGTGATCTGACGAAGCCTCTACAAAAAGAAATGCCAGCCGATATTTTAAGACTTCGCAAGATCAAAGCCCGAAAAAGAAATCCCCTAAGAACCAAGAAAACAAAGCAAAACGCCAACCACTCTTGAATTTGTGAGGCCTTGAAACTGCGATTTCATCTCTTCCACAGATAACGTTTAGCCCCGGCCGCGCTGGCCACGCGCACGCTGCACTGTAGCCTTACCACGCGCCAAACCGACACCGCGCCCGCGCTGGCCTCGTGTACGGAACATGGGAGCATTGCTAAAAGAAAGAAGCTAGTCAGTAAAAGTGAAATTGGAGAGGCGCAGTTCGCAAAATTGCGATCCACAAGTTTGATATCAGTGTTCAACGTACCGGAGCATGTCAGGCACAATGAAGAATCGCACGTGGCTGCCGCGAATGTAGACCTGGTCGAGATGGGAGACACGGCCATCGCGGGCGGTGACGGTGATATCCTTGAGCTGAACGTTCATGTTGTCCTCGGCTGTAGGAAACCCATGTTAGTGAGTTTCGAATCGCGCAAGAAAGACCGCCTCTTGAAGCTTGTTCATAGACCGCCCCTCTAAACAGAGAGCAGGTATTCAAAAGCTCGAGCAGCAGTGAATCACATACCTTCCAAGAGTTTCCCCCGGTAGACAACTCCAGATGTGATCTCAATCGTCACGACATGGCCCTATTGGAAAAGAATATTAGCCCCTCTGTCTCGCGCTTTAACATGATGATCTCCATTTTCGCGATATCACGCAAGCATCCTGCCTTTCCATCCAAAAATCGAAATAGCAATATCAGGGAATGTAACGCACCTGCGCTTCGTTGAGGAGCTTGATCGGGATGCCGATCGTGGAGGTGAGCTTGCCCATTTCGACTGTGTGACGGCGAACGAGGATGGAAAATGGTTGAACGAAGTCGAAAATAAACACTGAGAGCTTCCCTCGCGCAAAAAAGGGCACGAATCAAGGCAATGGGTGATCGTGAGGAGATGGTGGGACAGTGATGAGGTCGGAGTAAGTGGAGGTTAAGAGAAAGGCGAGTTTTGCGGCTAAGCTCATCCTCTCCGCTTTGGGCTTTCTCTCCATCCCGACCAAACAGCAACTCCAACCTCAAAAAAGGCACCAAAACTCCCACATAATGCACCTACAATAGCAATCTCTACATCTCCGATAATTCTACGTCGAAATCCCAAACTCACCACAATGGCCGGCTCACCCAATTCCAATCTACGCGGCTTCAACCACGCCGTCCAAACCCTCCTCAAACAACCAACCCAATTCCTCCCACACCTCACAATCCCAACTTTCACCCACCTCCCCGAGAACCTAGGACCACACCTGATCAATGTAAAGAAAGGTCCCCAAACACAAATATCAACACCCGAAAACTCCCCCCGCACACCCACAATCCGCGCCCTGGTCCTCGACAAAGACAACACGCTCTGCGCAGCGAAGACAACATCCTTCCCGCCACAGATCCTGGCCAAACTCTCCTCCCTCCGCACCTCGCCAACCTCCCCCTTCAACCAAACCACAAACCCGCACTCAATCCTCATCGTCTCAAACCGTGCCGGCAGTCACCCGCGCTTCGACGGCGAAGTCTCCGAGCTGGAAGCGCAGCTTGCGCATCTGCGCATTCCTATTTTCCGACTACCGGCGGGCACGGAAAAGAAGCCATTTTGCGGGGAGGAGGTTGTGCAATGGTTTCGGGAGAGGGGGGTTGTTGAGTCTCCGCATGAGATTGCTGTGATTGGGGATCGGCTTGGGACCGATGTGCTTATGGCGGGGATGATGGGGTCGTGGAGTGTTTGGTGTAAGGAGGGGGTGTTTGAGGTTGGGATGGAAGGGAAGCCGGAGCGGAATGTTTTGGAAAAGATGGAGGTTTGGATCGAATGGTTCCTTAGGGAGAAGGGAGGGTATACAGCACCTTTGCCAATGGGGTGGCAGAAGCAGAAGCAGTCGTAAGGCATATGGTGCTGGGTTGATATAGGACGTTTGAGATACCCTTATATGATATGTACTTGTAGTATATGTGACAACCATTGTACAGTAGACAAACATTGGGCTACGGCTACAATATATATGGAGCTGAATGCGATACAAAATGAATTGATTCAGAGCCTAGCGTCAATCACCCACACTCGTATACCGCCAGCTCAGCGCTATCCTACTTGTGTGGTCTCGGGCAGAAGATATCACAACTCTGCGCAGCCCAGAGGATCAGCGTCGGTTGGATGTCAGACCCAAACGAGTGCCGACAGAACAAGCTCATGTGCAAAAATTCGACTCCAAGCCCATGACAGGGGAATGGACCTTTGTAACCATAGTAGTGCAGGGTAGATAGCACCACCCTGCTCGAAGAAAGTCACACAAAATAGAACAAAAAAAGAAAATTGAGGGGAATGGAGTTGCAGTCCAAGTCGGTCTGTTTGGCATAACCACGTAAGAGAAAATTGGAAAAAAGAAGATGAAAAAAGTGAAAAGAAGATGAGAAATATTCCCGGCCATGATTCAAAAGAAGAAGAAAAGAAGAATGGCAAATTGACCGGGAGAGAAGAAGAAGAAGAAGAAGAAGAAGAAGAAGAAGAAGAAGAAGAAAAAGGTCCTGGATTCAACCGGGACAGCCGGGAAAACAGAAACAAAAATAACAAAAATCGCTTCAGGACCGGCCCCAGAATGGAAAGGGTATAATCAATATAACAAGACACAAGGGTGTCACGCAAGAAACATATCAGAAGGTAAAATCGCTTCCCTAGCCATCGCCAGCGAGACGAGAATCATCCAAAAAAGAGCCGTTAAGGGGGTTTTGCAAATACCGAAACCCAACACCTAGCTACGACTCTCGATATTGGACAATTAAGAAATTTCCCTCAAGGTAAAACACCCATCGACAAGCATAAGCGCCGCATGCATAGGTAAGGCCGTGAGACATCAAGAGACAAAAGAGAAACACAAACTCAAACAACCCCAAGAGGCTCCCACTCATGACCCAGTCGGCATACCCTGCGAGTTGATCTCATCCAGGTTAGCCATGCCGTGTGAGTAATCACCCATGCCAGGAGAAGGGTGGGCAGAGAGGCCGTGCATGGGCAGTTCGAAGCTAGGGCTTTCGTGCGAAACGCCATAGTTGACATGATGCTTCGAGTACATATCATTCATCGAGAGGCTGTCGTCGAAGCCAGTCTGCTGGTCTTGGGAAAACCCATACATATCAGACGAGCCATGTGACATGTTGGATAGTGGCGGCGAATGGTTTGCAATCAGCGGGTCTGCAGGGCTCATGCTGGAGTAGGGAGACGCTGCGTGAGAGCCCATTCCTGAGGCATCGGTTGAACCACCTGAGACAAAGGACACATTGAACTGAGGCGCCATGCTGGCGACTGGCGTGGAATCGCCCTGACCGGCGTTGCTGTACATGGGACTGGCGAAGTCGGAAGGCGATCCGGTAGTCGTTGCAGACATGGGGTTGGTACGGAAATCCAGTCCATATCCTTGGGTGTCGATGCGGAGGTCCGTGGGGAGATGGTGCACTGACTGTGGAACAGGTGCGTAGATGCCCGCCTCGGTGTGGTTGAATGGGGGCGGAGGGGGTGGCACGTGGAAGGAAGACATGGGACTCTGGAATGACGAAATGTCAACTGCAACAGGTACTGAACGGCTTCGTTGGCGCTTGTGCCCGCGAGCAGCTGGCATGTTGAAGCCCAAGTGATTGCTATCCTGGTACAAGTTCATGTAAGTAGGAGCGACAAACTGGTTGGGCTGGGATGCAGGACGCTGGATGAACGGCGGAGACATCGGAGCTGGCATGGTAAAGCTGCTGTTATTATAAGCCAGACGGTTCTGGAAGGACTCCAATGACACAAGCTTGGCAAGCTGAACGCTCAAGACCTTGGGATGGCCTCCCAGGTGATGAACCATGATCTGACTAGCTTGCTGCTCCTCAGTGAAATCACCGCACTGGTAGAACCCTCCAGAGTTGGATGAATCCATATAAAAGTGCGGCGGGCGGTTCAGTTCCACAACAAGACCTCCGGGTCGAGGTGGTTCCCCATTTGGCCCAGGGCTTGGATCCCCAGTTTCCAAGGTGATGTTCTTGATATAGGCGAACGGATACTCGATCTTATAACCGGCAGCATCGTTATTGATATAGTAAGTCATGCATGCCTTGTCGGGGGAGTAGAAAACGACCAGGTCCATGGCGTTTTGTCCAATCCGCCGCCAGCTGCCAACAGTCAAGGAACGACAAGTGAAGTGAGAGATCACTAGAAATACCAATTAGTACGACGTACAGTGGATCAGAGTGATGTATCAACATACCAACTTTGCCGGAAGGGTTGGCCTCGTTTGCGTACATGCTAGGCGGGCCGTATGCGCCAGCACGTCCAAAGGGGTCTCTTGCGCCAGCCTTGTTCGGGTCAAACTGCATCGCGAGATAGTGTCGCATGGATTCTGGAATGGAATCGCATCCTTCACCAGTCTCAATGCTCTTTTTCGCCAGCATCTTGATTTTAGCGCGACTATCTTGGGTCAGTAAAGATGCAAATAGAAACACAATTCTGAATTGAACCTACCGATTCTGGAACCAGATCTGAACAGACCGTTCCGTCATGTTAATGTCCGAAGCAATACGTTCCCTGGTAGCAGCGGTGGGTGTTGGGTTCTTGTTGAATTCGATCTCCAGGAGGACAAGCTGATCCTGAGTTGCGCGTTGACGTTTGTTGTTTTTCTGTTGTTGAGTCAGAGTGCTTTTGCGAGGAGGCCGGCGTGTAGCAGAAGAATGGGCCGTGGTAGCACTCGAGGTCGACGGAGAGGGTGTAGAAGCTGGAGGCGAGGAAGACGAAGCCGTGGGCGCAATTGCGCCGGTTGTTGGGTAATGCATTTCTGTCAACGAAGACATGATGTAATGTGGTACGGTAGAAAATATGTCGCACGTAATCGGAATCGTGTCCAAGGTGATGAATGCTTGTTTTGCAGTTGCGTATGTAGTTATTTTTTTTCGGAAAGAAAAGGTACGATGTGTGACGATCCGGCCGACAAATAATGGGATGGGTGTGATTGTAGTGCGGAGACGGATTGTTAGAAATGTGATCTCGAAGCAGCCACTGGCGCGAGAGGGTCAAGTTGAAGATGTAAATGAACGGAAGTCTAGCGTAGGGATCGAATCGCGTTCGAGGGTGTCCACGTCAGAGACTGGGGGGTTGGGTTGAAAGGGCGCGTCGCAGAGGCGTCCAAAAAAGAGGGGATAAATAAAAAGGCTGGCCGAAGCAGCTGGTAACGAATGGCAGGGGAATAATTTCTCCCTATATCGACAAGAATCAATGAAGAATCAATGAAGATGTGTTTCGGCAAATGCTCAAATACCCAGGTTGAATCGATCAACGGGGCGGGAACGGGAGGGGGCAAACCGTTCTCGAGGAAACGAATGAATTGGGCAGAAATGAGTGTTATAATGTCGCCGTGAAAGAATGAAACGGACGCAAAAAAAAAGAAAAGAATGGAGGGAATGAGAAACACGAAAGGCAGAAGCGGATCAGGAGATGGGAGATGCTGACTACACAGAGAACCAGTTGACTTTGATGGACAACGCACCGGCGCCATTCTGGACTATTGGCACCTCGTGGGGGGGCCCCATTGTTTTTTTTTTGGTCACCTCGATTTGTACATCTTTTTTTAGTTGTCTTACGTTTTTTTACCTTTTTTTTTTTTACCTTTCTTTGTGTTTGAACCAAAAATTCCGAAGTATATTTTTCCATCTAGGACCAGTGTACGGTGTACAGAGTACAGAGTGTGCGATGTATGGAGTTGAGGGAAACTGGTTTTGGCCCCTGCGTTGACCTGCATAAGTCCAACTCGCATCACGGAGGCTTGGAGCAATAAGGGCGCAGGCTGAACCTCCATTGTTGTGAAGAGGGGTGCGCGTGCCACTCCCCTTACTCGGCGTTTATGTCTCGTCCAACTATATCGGTGTGACTCTCTCTCTCTCAGGGGCAAGTCTCAACAGGATTCTGTGTGGCGTCGAATAAACCACACAAACCTCATATCTAATGCCTAACGGCGTGAGATCGGGGAATTTAAAAAACAAAGTCAATGCGTTTGACAATTTGTTTGACGAATTAACGAATACGGAGTGGGATATGGAATATGGAATATGGATGTGATCGAAGATTTTCCCCTGTTTCCCCTGATTCAAGAATAGTCAGCCACTGACTATTGGACGGTATCGGGACCACGGTTACAGGGGCTAATTCAGTGGACTCGGCCAATAAGCATGCAGTTACACGTGCAGTTCCATGGACCGCCAAAGGAGAAACATTCAGGTACCCGCCCCGGCATTGATTATGATTGGTTCTGGAGACATGACAGGTCATTCTAGACTCCCGACCCCGACTGGCTTGAATTCAGGGTGCAACTCTGCTGGGGACATTTCTCTTACTCCGTAGACATCCGTCGTATCCGGTTTTCTAATACTCCTACTCCATTTTTAATCGGTATATGTACGTACGTCATATGATATACGGAGTCCGGAGTACATAACTATTGAGTTCATAACTCATCAATTCATCAATTCATCATCAAATGGGGCCCAGGAGCATTCAGCTTATTTTTCAGGAACTTTTCGGCCTAGTGTTTATGCCTTTACATATTTTACTCCGGCTACTCCGTACTGCAGGCAGTACTTTTCGAGTTTAATGACCCGACATATATGGTGCTTCATCTTCCATTGTTGGCATGCGAGATTCCGATATTCCCATCTAGGTAAATACCCCTAGGATCGTTCATTGTTTCAAGATTGCCGCGAACCGGTTCATCCCTAATTACCCGAGGAGAAAGGAGGGGGGAAAATCCCTCCCCAAAAAATACAACAAAGTACGGAGTACTACGGAGTAGTAACTTTGTTAGAAGATGAAGAAACAAGCCCCTCTATCAAGCGCTTGCACAAAACTATCCACAATTGACAATTCGGTCCCCCTCGGCCAACCAGAGCCACTACCCAGCTCCCGTAGCTTATCTGTAGTGTCCCAGATCTGCTCAATAAGCTCCATCGCCGAGTTCCGTTGTTGTTCCCGATAGTAAGCCGTCATTGACTCATGCTTATGCCGAACCCACACACGATCTTCAGGGGTTATAGCCTCCCTCGCAGCAATGTAGAACGGCTGAGGCAGCGAAGAATCGGGCCCACAACCCGTTGACAGGTGATCCATCAGCCCAAAGCACACATGCACTAAATGCTGTACGCGCGGCGAGCATGTCTGGTCTCGAAAAACCCGACGGGCAAGCAGTAAATGTGCAGTCCAGTAAAAGCACTCAGTGAGAATATCCAGAGGCGTGCGTTCACATCGCGAGGGTGGAATTCCATTGTACCCAGATCCCCAAGCGCGAAGCTCGGTGTCGAGTTGGAATGCTTCGTTGAGAATAGCGCCTCCATCTGTATTTGTTTCGAGCGCCTCGTTCATGTCGCAGGCTAAATGTGCTATTCGTACTAGAAAGCGCATCAGTGGCTGCGGGCATCCCGTCATCTTGTGGAATGAGGGCTCGGTGGTGTCCCAACGATTCTGGTCGGGCTGGTTGAGTATGAAATTTTGCGGTGCGTACGGCCTTCGCTGTCGTGATATGGCTAGCATTACGTCGACCATGCCATACCGCTGTACTGTCATACGTGCGATGGGGTTCTGTGGTATCTCGTCGAAGTATCCTAGTGCTTCCATGAGCCAAGAAGCGCATTTGACGTGGGGCTCCAGTACGCCGTCTGCTGTTTGTGCGACAACGATCCCCTGAAGAACGACAGCTGTGAGAAGCGCTTCTCGCTCATGCTTGTTGCTGGCTCCGATTGTACCTGCATCGCAGGCGCCCTTGGCGTCGATACTGAGCAGGTTTTGTCCGAGCGTTCTGAGCATTCTCTGCTGGCGCTTGGCTGCGAGATCTATGCTGGCTAATCCGAAATTGAGCATATGTTCTGTCGATATGCAGACAATAGTCTCGAGAAGAATTGGTGATGATAGGGCTGGGATGGAGACCTGCCGGTAAGGGTTGTCCGGGCCATCTACAGCAGGGACATTGGATGCAACGAGGCTTATGTCTATGCAAATATTCTCGATTAGATATTCGGATTCTGATTACTTAGCATGAAGTCACGTACAATATTCCCACGCAGATTTGTCTTCTGCAGATTCAAAACATGTCTGTGCAAAAAGTGCCGAAGGTTGACCTAGCATGTTTTGTTCAATTGCTCGACGGGTGTCTTTGCCGCGAGGCTTATGTCTTGTCGGTATTGGCTCTTTTGGTCGAACCCACTTGACACCGGATGAATATTGGCAATCTAAATCCCGCGAAGCACAAAAAGAGCAAATTGGCTGTTGCTCATCACATTTATTGTGTTTTTTTCGGCATTGCAGACATCCTTTTCCACATCTATCAGCATCTACATTTCGCCTTGGGATGAGCGGTCATACCAGTTCGTGACCGTGAAAACTTGTCGTCTCGAGGCATCTTGACGATCAAACAGATGATCTACCTCTAAATAGCGAGAGATCCACAAATAATATAGTAGGGGCATGGATTATATGAGTCTTGTTTCCCCGCAGCCTTATCTCCATACATGACGGTCACCTGATGATTGACCAATTAAATTGTTATCAACACTCAGGACAATATATATTGCAATGGCACTAGACCAGATTAAATCTATAAGATGTGCTCAGTTTGTATGTACCGTGATCCCTCAAAAGCGAGAATAAGTGAAATACTAGTGGCTATAGTGAATTATTTTGAAATTACCAGGAAGATCGCCTAAATATATATTATGGCATTGAGTTACCATACAGCAGCGGAAGAGTCTTGTCAAGCATGCGTAGGAACTCATTTAATTGACTAAAATTCGAGCGGGAATTTAACTAAACTAACCAAGAAGAGATAAAATCGAGATCAATTCACAAATAAAACCTCTATCCTAAAACCTCCTGAATGACCCGAACAGTTCGGTCGACTATCAAATCGATCTCCTCGCGGGTAGTATTATAAGGCGGCGCTAGAATAATATGATCGCCATTAGCGCCATCGATACCGCCATTTCCTGGCATCAACGAAATCGCATGTTCAGGCTTGAGGCCTGTCGCGTGCAATCTCCGAGAAAGCGCCTTTGAAGGCGGGTATGGCTCTTTCGTTTCTTTATCCTGAACAAATTCCATCTATGATCATGTTAGTAAAGACCAAAAATAGAAGTGAAAAAAGACTTACGGCCCAGAATAATCCCCTGCCTCTAATATCGCCAACATGAGGGTGATTATCCAAACGCTCGTGAAGACGCTGACCAAGATATTCTCCCATCGCCCGCACGTTCGGGAGTAGGTTATCCTCTTGTATAATCTGCTGCACTTTAAATGCAGCCGCACATGCAACCGGGTGGCCCTGGTATGTCTGGCTGTGGACAAAAGCGCCGGTGCCCTTGTTCAGAGTGTCGACGACGTGCTTGTTGATGAGCAAACCGGCAATCGGGGCATAACCGGCGCCGAGTCCCTTGGCGATTGTTTGGAGATCAGGGACGACGTCTTCTTGCTCCCAGGCATGGAGGGTTCCGGTGCGGCCCATGCCAGACATTACTTCGTCTAGGATGAAGAGTGCCCCGTGTCGCTCGCAGACGGCTTTCAGTGCCTTGAGGTAGCCGGGCAATGGGGGGACACATCCAAGTGTCTAGGGAAACAATTAGCATATTGAGCATAGCGGGCTCGGGTTTTACTCACGGCACCAGGCATTGTCTCCGCTACGAATGCGCAGACAGTGTTGGGGCCAAGCCTTTGGAATTCGTTCTCTAGTTCTTGGGCCAGTCTTTGAACGTAGTCCTCCGTACTTTCATTGGTATTCATCCTGCGGTAGGGATAGCATTGGGGCACGTGGTGAATATTCTTCGAAAGAAGACTTTCATAGATTCTCCGCCGGGAGGCGTGGTGTCCGACAGCAAGTGACCCGAGGGTATTTCCGTGGTAAGATGACTTTCGAGATATGATGTTAACCCGCTGGGGCTCAGGGACGGGTAACTCTGTGAAATACTGAATAGCCATCTTCACAGCAGCCTCAACAGCTTCGGTGCCTATTGTGAGGTTAGTAAGTAGTCATGGTTCGGCATGGACAGGTTTCTTACCCGAGCTCACAATGTAGGCACGAGACATCTTGCCTCCAGTTGAGTCTACCAAAAGCTTTGCCAAACTCTCGGCAGCACTGTTGGTGAAAAACATGGAATAGCAGTAGGGGATCTTCTTCAGCTGATCCAAGATAGCTTCGTGGACACGCTCGTCACTGTGACCCAGGCAGGATACAGCTGCGCCGCATGTCGCATCCAAGATTTCCAGACCATCCTCGGTTATCAGGTAGCTGCCTCGACCACCAACAATGTTCAAGGGCTCATTTCGCAATTGGTGGTAAAGGACTCCACTGGGTTGTTTGATGCCAGTGATGTCGACCTGCTTCTCGGATGGGGTAAGCACCGGAGCTGCTGCTACTTCTGGTGTATAGTCACCCATTGTACGGATTGCACTGAAGGGTTGTTGTATAGAAAGTAAAAAGATGAATCAAGTGATGCTCACTGAAGATGTTCGATTTTAAATCGGGCTGTGTGGTGCTGGGGATGGGAGTCATATATAGATTCACCCCGCGATAGCCAAGAATCAAAATGCAGAAGGAGGGGACCCATACTTAGAAAATAGCCCATACATATCGCCGTGATTGGAACGTCTCGCCTTGTCGCACACGTTGAAGTTCATACTCGCCCGCGATAAGCTAATCCCAAAAAGGAAATATTTGTCGGACCCACGCTTGTTGGACATGGTGTAGATCTGATAGGTTGAATAATTCATCAGATAGAGCTTATTGATAAGAAGAAAGATACTCTGGGGATTGTCTTTTTATTTTGATTGATCTCGTACCGGTTACACAGATGCATTAGAAATATGAGCTACTGAGGGGTTTCGGAACAACCGACCACAGCGCAATCGGATGCTGAACGCAACATCATACCCGCGGAATATGATACAGCTACCAACCAAAAAACCGCCACTCAGTCAGACCCCCTATCATTGATATGCCACTCGATCGTTCTCCGCAATCCGTCTTCCAGCCGAATAACCGGTCCCCAGTGGAGCACCTCTCTCGCCAACGTAATATCCGGCCTGCGCACCATGTGATCATCCACCAACGGCGGCAGATACGCAATAGAGACCCTAGATACGCCAGTCATCTGCGAAACAAGCACGATCACAAGTTCAGCTAGTTGCTTGATAGTAAACTCCCTATCATTACCGATATTCACCGGGCCTTTGTTATAGCCGCTCTGCATAAGCGCATACAGTCCCTGCGTACAGTCGGTAACATATTGAAACGATCGAGTTGCTGTGCCATCGCCGGTGATTTTTAGATCTTCACTGGCCAATGCAGATGCGATAAAGCTTGAAACGACCCGGCCATCGCTCGCGCCCATGCGTGGTCCGTATGTGTTGAAGATTCGCGCGACGCGAATGTTAACGTTGTGTTGCTCTCGGTAGGCGTAGCAGAGGGCTTCGGCGGCGCGCTTTCCTTCGTCGTAGCAGGCCCGTGGGCCGAATGAGTTCACGTTGCCCCAATAGTGCTCTGGCTGGGGGTGGACAGAGGGGTCGCCGTAGACTTCTATTTTTGTGGTCATAGCCTGGGTCAGGTACATATCGAGAGATAGAGATGGATGAGTTTGTGCATCGCTAACCTGAGGTACTGGTGTGCAGAATGCGTATATTTCTGGATCTCGCAAGCTCTAATAGATTTCTAGTACCGAGGAAGCAAGTGTTCAAGGTTGACACGGGGTCTTTTTGATAATGGGCTGGACTTGCCGGGCAAGCTAGATTGTAGATCTGGTCAACCTCTTCCAGCTCTGGTAAAGTATCTTGGATATTGTGACTGGTTCTTAGTCAATGACATGGAAATTCGGTTTCACTAGAGCACAGGCCAATTTTACTTAAGAAATTCAAACCGAGGATGGGTTTGTAAATGGCACAAATTTTGCGATGAGCCACTCTGAAAATTATCAAGGCCAATCACTGTATGGCCATTCCCAAGCAGGAAATCAACTAGGTTTGATCCTAAAAAGCCCGCTGCCTACCCAATAAACAAGCCATGTGTTAAAAATCTGATATAATGTGTTTTTAATATTGCTTACTCCTGCCACCAACACTTTGAGTTGACCTTTTTCGGTATCTATGGAGCTCGTTAATATATCCCTTGCCTGTTGTGTAGAATTTGAGAGAAAATGAGGAATAACAAATGAACATGGCTCGAATGTTATCAGGGTGAAACAATTTCTTCCGGGGCTGGAAAGAAATCAAGTCAAACAATCTACTCAGGTTATTCTGCACAAATATATAATTGGGAATGTGGCTGTATCTGGCTAATAGAAAGCACTGCGTACCATTTTGCCTTTGAACTCTTGTGCAACTTATATCTCATGCACTCGAACAGATATCGTATAACGCAAATAGTACACACCATATCTACGCGTTGACCTTTTTCGGCCAGTTACCTTCTTCCAAGGTTTGCGCCGGCATAAAGAAGCCATTGATCAGTTGTGTCGGAGGTTGAATTTGGGTTGATAAAAGAACCCCATGGGATATGTGTGTGAAATTGTCAATTCCTCAGAGTGTGATTAGTCTAAAAGCTTTCTGATTGATATACGGTCATGTTAATTATGGCATGGTAGTACCGGAGGACATAAATACAATGTATGAGTGTCCTATGTTGGATTGTAGCCGACAACGATTCTATATCGTGATCGCGGAATGTGCAATTATGTTGAACGGATTTATAAGAGGTCTTTGTCGCATCTGCCATTCTTACAGCAGTGTGACATAGACTCTAACCAAGGTTAGTAAAGTCGATGAATAGTTTGTCAGTAGATAGTAGGAGGAGCATAACATACCTCTTGTCTGATCCCAAAGCTATCGAAAATCCTAGCCAAAGGTCTTTCACACGGCAGTCATATTTATAACTAGTTCCTGGGTTCAACTCGCAAGGGGCTGTAATTCCTCGATCAAACCCGGGAGAGCTTTGCTCCACGGCTACCGAAAGGCGTTAGCTTTTCTAGAAATTTGCACAACCGATGCCCATTTCGTAGTCTGACATACTTTAGGAACAGGCCAGCCAGAAAAATGCAAATATTTAGCGTCTTGAAAAGACTTTTCGGCATCCCACGCTTCTTCTGCATTCCCTAGATATGCCTCGTGCTTCTTGGAGCGGAATTCCCGGGCAAGAAGAATATACGGCCGCTACGGTATAGTAAGTGCAGTAGCTCTGTACATCTTTTGCATAATCTCCATATCAAATATGCTAGAGTTAACTGAGAATTGCGTCAATCGTGCGATTGAAGGCAGCTGCAGACGGCTCAATGAGAATGAGTGGAGGAGTGAAAAGACCCTTTCCCGGATTTGTCCAGTAGGTCGAGGGCATGGCGACGGGGCCGGACGGCGCGAAGAATGAAACGCGAGTAGCTTTGCGCAGCTCTTTGACCACCCCACCAACAGAAACATTGCAAAACAGCTTCAAATTAAGTGATAACAGCAGCGTCAGAGGCTACTCACCGTCACTCCCAGGTCTTATCGGTATCTCGATTGGCTTGAGCTTGGCTGCATAATGGCCCCGTGTATAACGAAGCATGTGGCTCTCATATGAATCACGATACTCAGATATAGACCACTAGGAGAGGTACATCAACACACAGTCAGCCTCACTTCCAAGCCGATGGAGGATCTCCAATAGCATGACCGAGTTACACAAATATGACCGGCCAGTAGCCTAGGCGACCAGTTGACATGGTTCCCACCAACAGGGAAGTCATGATCCGAATTGTCGAAATGGTTCGTTGTTTGAGATTTTGGCAATGTTACAACTCCTAAACAAGTAACTCAACGAAGATAGCGCAAAGCAATTTCTGAGATACCGTGGCCCTGCTCAACATGTTTACGATTGATAACGCTCTATTGACGAGAATATCCAGATCTCGCACTTACTGGGGCAGAAAACTAATACGGCTAAGGTCTTCCAATCTAGGTCCCCTTGCTGCAAACATGTACAGACGAATGTATACACGTAATGAGTACAGTACGAAGATGCACACAATTGGCCTTTCTTTCCACATGAAGGAAGAGTAGGTAAATTTTCAAGTCTTTCTACTAGACTTCCCTACATCTTTTGGATATGGTTTCATCTTCGGCTCTTGTGTGGATATGCGACGAGAGAGATGTTTGCATGCTGAGTGATGAGTCAGAGTCTACCCACTTCTTGGTTAAGCATATGCTCGCTGTAGCTTGTGTGGAGAGCGTCCTTGGTATACCCTGACCCGAAGATCCCGATATACCTGTCGAATACTTTTAGATTGGCGCAACTGAAAAAAAAAAGTTATCCGCCCTCACTTATAGTTCCTGTCGGAAGCTATGTTACAATACATGGTTAAAAGCAGAGGGTTCCTCGGAAAATACATGGACCGCTTTGGATGCGGGTCCCATACAAAAGTGCATATTGAGCTTAATCAGTGATGTCCGCACAAATTGTCAAATAGTGGATTTTTGTCATTTGAGTTAGTTGGAGTCATATACATATGTCATCTGTACCATACCTTACCGTACACGAGATTTCTGTCAGTTCCCTTACTCACTCCATATGAATCGGATTCATTTGAAACCAGGGCCCTCAGGAATAATTCACTCAGCCGCCATCGAGCATTGCGTAGGATCCGCTGTGTGACAACATATACCAATGTTTAAGCTTTGGGATCAACAGGTTAAACAATTGAATTTCGTGGTACCTGCATTGAGATAGCCAGACCAGACGAAATAAAGATTGCATTGGCAACCTTAAGAACTTTCATTATTGGTGTCCTTTTGTTGGGTCACGGAGGGCTATCGTTCCTATGCATCTCCTATTATTAGAGTGGAACGTGCATTTCACGCCAAGGTACGGAGTACTCTGTACGTATTAAAAAAGCTGTACCCGAAACACATGACACTGATTATGCAAAGTATTCGGGATTGTCCCAATGATTCGTCTTTCCATCCGCTGGCGTTTCATGATTGAAGCTCAATATTGCGATAATGGGGTAAAGACAGCCGATCTTATACCCAAAAAGAGCGCCAATTTTTCTTTTCGTCCAAGCGACCTGACTCCGCAGAGCTAATGCAAGCTGAATCACAATCACATCACTTACCACCATGCTCGAAAATTTACCAGGATCTAAGGGGTCTATGCAGATCTAGTACTTTGTGAACACTGTGGAACAATAAAATTGGGGTCCGATCTCTTTCTTTGGCTAGAGAAAAAGCTTACATTCAAGGCCTAGTACAGTAATCTGGTGAATGCTGACATGTCAAGATCCGCTGGCTCGGCCCACCTCATTGTGAATCTATTTCATATGGCTGCCTTGCATGTGTATCGGCAGTAAGCATTATATACCTTATTGCTCTTTTTCAAGTCCTCGCAGATAGTCAGAAAACGTGTACAAACATAGCTTCGAGGCTAATTTTGATCGTACGGTGAGGTAGTACTCTGCATTTATCTACCATGAGTAGACTATTGGAACTATACCTGCAGGAGTATTGACTACAAAAAAAGGTTATGGAGACTGTCCTGAAAAATTGGATAAATATTCAATTCTTTTCAAGTCGGAAATATACTCGCAAAAAGCGCCCTCGAATTATAGCGGTTTAGTGTTCAACAGGGGGTTGCAATGGTTAATGTACAGAGGCACCTCTATGTTTGGTATGTCTCATATGTCCGATTATGTATCGTAGCCACAAACATCCTTTATTTGTCAATTTGTGTCCGGAAGATAAGGGGAGAGGGCACATACTGCTCGTCGTTTAGCAAAATCTGCATAAAAGCCCAACCAATAATCGCGATTGCGACAGTCGTCTTTTTGTCCACTTTTCGCATTGAATCGACAGCGAGGCTGTTCTTTCTCTATGATTTCTTGAGGAGCTTCGATCCAGGGCTAAGCAGGACGGTCAAATACAGTTTCCAAAGAATTTCTTGAGTAAGGACTTTCAATAACGCACCTTAGGGACGGGCCAGTCAGAGAAATGTAGAAATTTAGCCTCACTGGCCACTTCATCTGGATTCCAGACTTCTTGGTCATTACCCAAGTATGTAGTGTGATTTTCACCACGGAACTCCCCTGTTAGAAGCGTCCATGGACGATGAGGGATAATGAGTGCACTGTCCTTATAGAGGGTGTTCACGATTTCCATGTCGTGTTCGGAAGGACTCGCGTTATTAATGGCAGTTGTTATGCGATCAAACTCAAAATGGGAAGGTTGAATTAGTAATAAACTGGAGGTTTGCACACGTTCATTAGGGTCAAGCCAGTAAGCTCGAGGTAATCCCAGCGGGCATGGTGGCATTAAGAACAATTCATCCAGGCTCTAAAGATGTTTTAGTAAGAAGCTATTAGAAGGCATACGAGTTCGGGCAGCACACCTGTAGTACAGTCGAGTCCGAGTCTAAATTGAGCACACGCTGATATTGAGTCTGGTTGAAGGCGAGGAGTTTAGTAAAACTCGCCGCCCATGTGTCTGTAATACGGTTAGTATTCTTGAATCACAATCAAAGAATCAGGTGGTATATACCACGCGGACTGCCTCGACTCTGAACCTTGATAGGTACCAGTTTAACATTATATTCATCTCGTGCCTTGCGCAGCAGTCGACTCTCCGGCTCAGTATTGTTCCCGTCTAGTGGAAATTCCGATGGGTACATCATGACTCGGTCAGGCTTGCTGTTCAGGCGATGTAGCGTTTCAAACAGCATGACTGAGTTGCAGAGGTAGGCTGTGTTGGTGACATATTGCGTGTAGGCAAAGCGAGACCAATTCACTACGCCAACTTCTGCTTGACCACCATGGTGACCTGGAAAGTACACCACTGTAGGCTTGTCGGTTAGAATGAGCAGAGATTCAACTATAACAAAAAGGATAACTATGGCGATTATAGCTCGTAGGGCTCTTGGGGAGCTTTGTAGCATGGTGGTCCCGCGAGGAAAAAGACGACAAAGAGGCTGGATCAGGACTCCGGGTTGGCAGAGAAGAACTCCAACCTATGCCGATACACTCTTTTTATATAGAAAGCAGTAAATATTAGCCTAAGAAATGGCCAGATGTTGAGATGTGTAAGAAGCAACATTATTTCGATCTGGCATCAAAAAATAGTCAAGCAGCTTGCGGCGCTGAAGGGCTGGGCATGCGCCAACGTGCATAGGCGCTTAGAAAGACAACGAAAATCGGAAACAAAACGCAAATGTGGGGGCCATAAAGTGAGTAGTTCTCCACTTCTCTTTCGAACCCGGTCAGCGATTCGCAGATTCTTTGTTATGAAACTAGCCCATGCAAGTCGTGTAATGGTATTACTGTTATATTACAGGTACATACATATAACGGCCACGAAAGTAGAATTGGAGGCATAGTACCTACGCGCTAATGCTGCAGGGATTCGGATCCCACGGGCTAAAAATGAATCACTACGCGCTGAGCCTAGTGTGTCGGACGGTACCTCCTGCTCAGTATTGCGAAAACACCAAGATGAACCGACGCCAGTTTAAGAAGAGATGTGAGCCTAGCGATCGCGAATACTAGTGCGACTCCGAGGTCTTTTATCGTCTTATTCCGTGAACCCCTACCCCCAGAACGCTCGTGTTGCCTACATTCTGTCTTATATATATATATGAAGTGCAACACAAGAATGGTGACAAAGATGTCGTTCTCACAGATGCGCCGAGGTCGAAGCGGCATCACTTTTCTGCTTTTCGCCCTTCTAGACTTCGGTTCTGCAGACACCCTTCCATTGACTATGAGATGGTCCACAAAAGGATTTGGACCTGATGGCCCTTGGAATGCTGTGTTAGTAGAGCTAGGCAGTGCGAGAGAGGAGATTGCTCTGTATCCCGGTGGTTGGTGGACGAGTTACATCATCCTTTCTTCCTACTGCTCAAACCTCACGACATCACTCTACTGCTATGCCGATGATGCCGGTACCTTCGGGGCTCAGTCGACCACGTGGGACAACACAAGCATTAAGTTTTTTTCCAAATGGCACATGGGGGTCTCTAGATATCTCGCAAACCAACGCCATTCCCGTCTACGGCAAGGCTCACCGTTCCATCGATACGATGAGCATATCTGGAACGGACATCCCAAATACCAACCTAATTACTGTCGAAGATGGCTACCAAACCTACCCCGGAGGAAAGAATTACCCACTCGAAGTTGGCACTCTGGCGCTGGGTGCCCAAGGCACTAACCAGACATTTGGCGGTATCGGAGGAAATATTGTCACTGGGTGGCTGTGGGATGTGTTGAAGGGTATCGAATCTTATACATACGGCATGCACATTGGGTCATCGTCGCTAAGCATTCCGGGCAGTCTGATGCTCGGTGGCTACGATCAAAGTCGGGTGCTGGGTGACGTTTCTGCCCAGCCTCATACAGGCAGTTCGGCGCCTATCAATCTACTTGACGTTAGCCTTGGTGTGGCGGCTGGTAGTTCACCGTGGAATTTCTCTAGCAAAGAAGGCTTACTTTCACAAGGGAACTCATCTCTTTTGGGTGGTACCACCATCATAGCAGCCCCAGTTGATCCTTACCTTTACCTGCCTCAGAGTTCCTGTGATGCCATTGCTGCTGAATTGCCAGTGACTCACAATTCTGATTTAGGTCTTTATGCTTGAAATACCGACGATCCTCAGTACCAGAGGATTATCACTTCTCCCAGCTATCTGGCATTCACCTTCACCAAGGACAGCACCAACACACAAAACCTTACTATCAAGGTGCCATTTGCTCTTTTGAACCTCACCCTAGATGCGCCTCTTGTCGACAGACCCATGGCTTACTTCCCGTGTTACGGAACTGGAGGCATATATGCGTTGGGACGGGCATTCCTTCAGGCGGCATTCATTGGCGCCAACATGAAAATTGGAGCTACCAATTGGTTCTTGGCCCAAGCACCAGGTCCCGGCTACGCCCGCATCGCCAGCGAAACCATACTCGCAGAAGATGCTACCACATTGGTCAGTTCACACAACAGTTGGGAAGCGAGCTGGTCTGCATATTGGACCCCACTCACATCCAACGGCGCAACCGGCAAGAACAGCACAGACAGCGGAAATCCAGCAACTGGTGCTACGACCTCTAAGGCTTCCGAAAGCTCTGACAGTGAAGGCTTGTCACTGGGCACCAAAGCGGGAGTTGGTGCTGGCTGCGGTGCTGCTGGTCTCTTTCTAGTGATTCTGCTTGTGTTTTGGCTTGTTCGTCGGCGGCGGCGGCAGCAACAGAAATGGAGTCCTGCTCAACAGGCTTCCATGGGTCATATGTCTAATGGGAGTTCTGTTCAATATAGCTATACTAATAGGGCCAAGCCACATGAGATAATGGAACTGGGTGATAATCAACCATACCAAGGGCCATTTGAAATGGGCCCAGGAAAGACTTTTTCAATTGATTATCAAAAGCAGTTATAAAGTGGATATTTCTTTTCGATATACCTTTGTTAAGTTGCATATACTTCATTTAGTTCAGATCAAGTCTATATATTATGGACCCTTTTATCGTATGATTCTCGTAACTGAGATAGATCACTTATAGGCTAGCTTCTCATCGTTTTGCTTATGAAGCACGACCTTTCAACATTGGAAAACCTCAGATATGGCTCCTTCCAAAACATATTGATCATCGTATTGAGATACACTTTCGCCTTCCTCTTGACTCAAGTTTTCCACTTCGTGGATAGTGGACCACTCTTTATCGGCGTCTTTCCATGAAGTCTTTTGAGCAATCAGCTTATGTCTTACATGTAGATTTTCCAAACATGATTCGCGCTGGAGGTTTTTCATTCTGACCTTGAAAAATTACATATCTTTGTGCGAATCTAATTTTTGAAATTGCACCACAACGCCTTAGGCTATGCCTTTCATTTTGATTATAAGTTAAACTTAACTTCCTACTCTATCTATTGATAATACAAACTCAAGTATCCTGAATCGCAGGACAGCATTTCAATTCGGGCTACATTCAGTCAATAGAATCTTGGAGAATTTAGTACTCAGTACTGACACCGTTCTTTAATGTTCTTCTGCTTGATTCTATCTCTCATTTCTCAGTATGAATACATATTAGTGAGGGATGGATATATAGGGGTGGGAATGAAGCCAATCAATCAATCAATCAATCAAAGTTCAATTAACCTGTTGCAGTCTAACTAGTTGCGTATGACTATGCAGGCGCTTCTTCCAACTGAAGCAAGAACTCGAGTCCTAACGCCGAATCCCAGAGGAGTACAGATGGTGAGCAAAAGAGCGTGGAATCAGCCCATTCCTGTAACCCGTAAATCCCGTAAATCCCGTAAACCCAAACCCATACCCAATCCCATACATAAGAAATTATTAAATGATTGCCGTGGAGTGCACCTTCCACCTTCCAGCTCCCACACCCCACATCCCACTTCTAGCTCTCACTTCTCGCCCTCACTTCTCGCTCTCACTTCTCGCTCTCACTTCTCGCTCTCACTTCTCGCTCTCATTTCTCATCCTCCGTCCCCCCCTGCCTCAGTTTCAATTGGTGGTGGTGTTCTTGGTGGCCAGTTCATCGGCATGGTTGTCATCCCTGGCTGAGTATCTCGTTCCACAGCTTCATTCTCGTCATTGGCTAATACCCATCGTCTTCCACACCTAGATCCATTGCCGCAAGGCCTACCGGTTCGTCGTCGTCGTCATCCTCGATCCCAACATGTTGGAACTGCCGGAGGAGACCTGTTTGGTGCATGAATTTGACCACGTAGCGGGTGGCCTGCGGGTTCGAAATGATCTTGTCGTAATCCATCTCGATGCCGAGATCGTACAATTGGTCCCATAATTTCGTACGCGGGATGATGTACCGCGGGCACTGCATCAGGATTGGGAATGAAGCCATAAATATAGCTTCATCCCTAGGTATAAGGTATGTAACTAGTTAGAAAATAAGTATTTAGCAACGACCGAGCAATGAAGGCAGGAATATCTACTATGGGCAATTAAGGGAGATCAAACAACTCCGAGGGGCGGTGCATCGATGATAGCAAAACAGCGACAGAGTGTTACGCGTTCACCGGCTTGAATATTAACGATATTCTGGAAAAGTATAGAAAATGGCAAACTTTGTAACATACTGAGACAGAACGGATCGAATGAGAAAGACAATAGATATATTATATATATGTATGCACTTGCCTAATGTACCAGGTTTAGATGACTAGACGCCTAGAGGATGAGCATACAGGATCTATCCTTGTTTACATAGACCTAGGCGTCCAAGAGGAACTAGCGAAACAGTCTTCATGAAGTAACGAGGTGTACATATAAATATGGAGTTATGGCGTATTTTATGTGGATGGTTCATGTCTGACAAATGAAGAAATATTATTGGTAGAGAAAGCCCAGGTTATACATCAAAAAAGGTTAGTGTCCTCCATAGATATTTGCCAAGAAGAGGGGCTGCACCATCATGCGAGACTAGGTAGGAAATAATTCTATCAAGTCAGCAAGCTACCTAGCCATCTTTCCAAGCCCAAAATTTTCACTTCGAGCAAAATGGCTTCATTCTCCGTCTTCCCCTTCCACGTGGGAGAGGCATCAAACGAACGTATCAAGCTCATTCCCTTCAATCCAGAGCAACACTGTGAAACATTCTTCCGCCAATCCTCGCCGTATCCCGAGTTATACAAACACTTACCCATACTACCCCCTGCTTCAGCAGCTGAACTCAAATCCCTATTCTACAATACTCCCACGAACCATATTCTGTCCTTCGCCAACCCAGAGTCGTTTGCCTTTGCCATTATAGACAAGACACGGCCGCCATCCCTAGAGGATCCTGAGGGAGAACTAGCTGGCACTGTGAGCTTTATTCGCACATCGCCAACGAACCTGTGCACAGAAATTGGATTTATTGTCATCCTACCTCCGTACCAGCGAACCCATGTGGCAACTAATACCGTTGGTCTCGCTCTACAGCTTGCCTTTGAGTCTACGGAGAATGGAGGCCTTGGATTGCGCAGAGTACATTGGTCGGCTAGCACGATGAACCTTGCTAGTTCTCGACTTGCGCAGAGGATGGGATTTGAGAAGGTCGGGATCATCCCTTGGCATATGCGGTTTATTAAAGGGAAGATAAATGGGAAAATCGGACATGGTAGAGAGTTACCGTCTGGAAGCGATCCTGATGATTTGTGGAGAGACACACTAAGTCTTACTTTGGGATGGGATCGGTGGGAAAATGCCGCGAGAGAAATGGCGGCGAAGGCTATGGAGAGATAAGAAGATTTCGCCGTTGACTGCACGGAGAACGGTTGCTGGTATTAATTAATGGCCAAATGCCATTTGTGCAGAAAGGATTCCATCACTCTATCAAGGCACAAAAGAAAGACATGAGAAGTCAACAAGACCTGTTATTTGAGATATCACCTTGTGATTTGTTTAATAACTATTGACACTGTACCCCATATATCCGGTCGTCGGATTGTCTATTGATGATACATAGTGTTGTGAGATAAATAATCTAGAGCTTTGTTTTTTTTTTCTCTTTCTTTCTTTAGACATTAACGAAATTATGACGGCTAGCCTCCCTATTTTGGCCGCAAACTGATCTGCTCCAATCGGATTATCCCAGTTCATCCATTTGGACAATCTGAGAGCCTTGAAAGAGCCTGTAACAAATACTCAGAAATGAACTGTGGTGTATCCTAATCCAAATATTTACCTCTTTAGCTGCTTCGTCGGCCATATGGTTCAAATGGCAAGGCCCCGGCAATAATCGCCATCACAATGTAAAGGGCTGCGCATATGTAAATCGGCACGGCCGTGCTGGTCTGTGAACAATATAAGCATTTTCCTTATGAGAGCAAAGAATAAATACCTACATTTGCGGCCTGGCCGACAACGGCACTGACGATTCCCATGATCCGATTGAGCCCAATAGCAACACCATTTCCTGTGCCCCGATGGGCGGAGGGGAAGACCTTTCGAGCCATTAGATATGGGATGACGGAAATAATCGAAGTGAGGAAGCACATACCTCGGGGGTGTAAGCATAGAGGGTACCGTAGTAAATATTCAAGCAAAAAGAGATAGCACACGTAAAGCCAACATTCTGGTTCGCAGTGCGCACTTGGGTATAGCAGAAAAAGAAAACCATAGTGACCACAGCTCCGATAATCATGGTTCCTCGACGGCCCCAGAACCAGGGTGAGTGACACATGAATCCCGCTAATACGGGACCAAAGATAGCGCAGGTGTTGTTGATAGCGTAGTTCCGCCAGGTGATATATGGACTACTCTCCCCAAAGCTTGCGCCACGCGACGTAAGATAGATGGGAAGGAACACATTGTAAAGCGGATATGCGAGACCGATGAGTAGCCATGAGAACCAGACCAGAGTCGTCGACAGGGCCATTTTTCGAGTTGCGAAGAGTCCACGGAGATGGAAGAACACTTCGCTTGGGGAGATAAGCCGCATAAACCAACTAGAACCTGGAGTCCCGCGAAGAGCAATTTGTCCGCATGCCTCAAGCTTCTCGATGGTGAGGCTGCATGGGCGATTGTGTCGATCGGCGATATTGCGTAAAACGTGTACTGCTTGTTCGTCTTTGCCCTCAGAAATGAGGAACTTCGGCGTTTCTTCAAGGCGGATGATGGTCACACGGAGGATGGAGAGAACAAACACCAAGGCGCCGGATGTGTACCACACATAACGCCATCCTTGGTTGTTTTCACGAGTACATGTGGCTGCATCGCTACAGGAGAAGTTGGGAAGAAAGGCCCAAGCAAACAAACCTGCGACGAGCTGGCCCAAGCCTAGATATTGCGAGTCAGTTCAGGCTTTCGATAGTAGGTTTACTGGGGGGTTTAAGCTCACCCCACCATGCCGCCATGAGTGTCAACAACCACTGTTCCTTGCCGGGAAGGTATTCAAGGAAGACCGTGGTATCTAAAACTAGGTTTCCCCCAGCGCCAAAGGCACTTAAGCAGACAAACAAACCTAGGGTTACCCAAGAGGGAGAAGCCCCCGCGACGATAGTGAATACCGATGAAATAAACAGGGAGAAGTTAAAGGCAAATCGCCGGCCAATAATGTCGGCCGAAAAGCCCCAGAAAATTGCACCCACCAACATGCCGACATAAACCGCGATAGTGAGTCCGGTGGAATATGATGGGTTGAACTCCAACCTGGCCTGGGTCGAGATAATCGACTGAATCAAAAGGATGAGCGAGTCAACTGCATATCCGAATCCGTTCAGGCAAAACAGTTTCCAGTGGTGAGGTGTGAAACCAATTTCATCAATGGCCTGTAGAGGAAAAAGGGCCTCGGGTTAATTGCGTGTCCAATTCATAGTGCAAGGATATTGATTTCCCACATCATTGATAAGAGCCATTTTGGCGGCAAGAGCCTCATCCACATTCTCTCCCTGCAAGATATCTTGGTCTCCATCTCGAATCGATCTGTACTCCAGCAACGAGTTCGCCAGGTGTTTGTCCTTGTCCGCTGTACCCGTTGGGACAACAGGGTTGGAGGAGTGTTGAGCATCCATCGACAGCGAGGGTAATGTTAATCAGGATTTCTCTGGGTTTTCGACACAGGAGAAGACGTTGCAGGTAGTCAAAAGAGAATCGAGGGAAAGTAGACACAGAATTTGTATCCACGAGGAGCGGGGAGGGACCCTCCAAGTGGAATTAGCGTCGACAAACGCTAATCGGACTCATGTATGTTGCATGTTTCTTCATTGGCTTGGATATGACCCTCATCGATGTTGATCAATACGGGACTTGATGCCTTGAAGCTGAACAGATAACCTCATGACCTTGATTATCTAAGGCCATATGTATAACATAATTCGTACCACCTTAGAAGAGACCTTTGATGTCGATGTCAGATTCTGGCCCTTTTAAAGAAAATATTAGGTGGAATGTTGCAGGCCGTGAGACTTGGCGCACGAGCCTCGACGCGCAGTTGTGACTCGCAGAGAAGGGCTGGAGGGGAAATGACGCTATTCCCGATTCGCACAGTTTTTACCAATGTGCCCTTGGGATACGATGCTGGGATTTGGAGCATGTCTCGATCAAGACTTTTTCATTGGCCATGTGAAAGGGTCCCAAGGAGGTATGTGGATTTGAGGAATTTAATTCAGCCGTAGGAAAGCTCGTTAGAAACCATCTCAAAATACCTTTGTGGCCTGATCCCCAAGGCGGAAACATAAATATGTGGCCTCAGGCAGCAGAACAAATATGAAATCGCACGTATAGATCAGTGCTCATGCTCAGATCAGTCACGTGTAGGACGAGTGAGTACTCATTGGGTGCTCTCTAATTACTCGGTGATGCTAAGTATCCAATCAGTGAGCAATATTATACTGTACTCTAGAGCCTTTTTCTCCAGGTACGACTTGCGTCGAGCTCTTTTCTATCGCAGTAGCTGCTTCTCCGCCCTGGAGCCTTGGGGGGTTTTTCAAAGGAGTTTAGCCATTATCTGACTAGGACTGATATGGCTGAATGTAGTTAGGTAGTCGATGCAATGTTTTTGGATCAGCATTGGAATGGCATGAGTGAAGATGATCTCAAAAGTGAATGGAATGTTTACTTGGACATGGTATATACATTGAGAAACTCCTTTTTCCATAGCCAGAGCAATATTACGACGTACAAGCACCGCTATAGCAGTTTGACCCAGAACAGTAGTCACTGGTGCTTCCACAATAACCAGATATGGAACAACAAGTTCCAAACTGAGTACCAGTGCAGGTCTTGTTTCCGGCAAAATTCGGGCCACACTCTCCATTTGTAGACGGGCCGCCATTATCAGTATCACAACTGCCAGAATAGCAGTTCCCTGCACCACAATAGGTGGTGCCATTGCCGCAGTAGCCCTTTTGTCTATTATCAGCGACTGAAGTGGATAAGAAGGATGCTCACTTACGTATATACTACAACAGTCCCCGAACTGGGGAATACAAGTCGTGCCCCCATAATCAGGCCCACAGGTGCCGTCCTGCGTCGCCGTACCGTTGGTTGTAGTGACACAATAATCTGACCCAGTTCCGCAGTAGCCAAATGGAGAACAGCAGTCACCAAAGGCGCTTCCAACACAGGTTACCCCCAGAGGGCACGTACCGTCCGTTGAGACTGTCTGAGCGGTAACAGGGGCGACGCAAATGTCGTAATTAAGCCACAGGTTGCTGCAGGTGGCGTCAAGGTACGTGTTATATTCTTGCAACTGGGTATAGTTCAGACCGAAACGCAGGTCGACGGTAGCGCAGTCGTCACCGGCTACAACGAGATAGTAGTCGCCGCACTCGCTGATGGTTCCAGTTTGGGTCGGATAAGCCGCAGTGGCTGCTGTGTAGTAAGTAGGCTCGCCGGTCGCGCCGGGCGCCGTGATGGTCGCGTTGGGTTTAGGAAACGTGCCTCCAGGGGCGCTTTTTTCTCGTCGGGCCTGGTTAGCATCACCAAATGCCACAAATTCTATATTTTGACCCCCTTAATCTTAGACTTACCTTTTACATACACGCTGCCCTGCAGCAATTCCTGAACAACTGCCCTGGACATTGGTGTTCCAGCTGAGGAATTGAGCAGTGGTTACGCTGTAAGTCGAGTTGGAATATCTCGTAGCAAGTTCGTCACTATTTTCACAGGGCTTAGCACAGATCACAATCTCGTGGCTTCAGGCCACCGTTATACCCTACATACCAACTTGGTGTGTCCCAAACCGTATCGATCTCGCATGGAAGGGGGAAACAGGTAGCCTGGTTGAAATAGCAGGCGTAATCCCCAGTGATAACTCTAGCGTCACCCGTTGATATATTGTACCTAGTTGCCGCATGCAGCGTATTAGCAACATTGAATCAGCAAGCCCACCAACTAATGGAGAAGCGGAGGGATGTCATACGTATCGCAAAGATCATTGCATGTGAGCCAGTTTTGCAGTGGCTGCACCATTTGACCCAGACAAGTCGCCGTAGTTGTTGAGTCTGTTGTCGTCGTTGCACTGGTGGTTGTAGTAGCCGTTGCCGTCCCTACGTATAAGGTGGAGGCTGAAGTGCTATAAGGCAGCGTTGTTGAGCAATTTGCTTGAACAAGGTCGAACTGATCGATTAAATAATCCGTGAAATTGGTAACTGGTAGCCAAGGATCCAGGAGACGTTGCCGATACAGATTCAAGAAACACTCATTGCAGAACTACGCCCAATTAGTAGACAACCTCAATGGCACTGATCAATGTACTTCATAGAGAGTTCACATACCAATTCCTTGTCATACAAATTAGTTAGAGCGGCCATGTCATCACTGATATCACCGATATCAAAATCAGGATCGGCACATTGAAGCGCGACTGTGCTGTTATCATCACCATTGGTGAAGCACATTGTTGGATCCCACCGAATATAGTCACTTCCTTGCCATGTCTGAGAGTCCAAGAAACACCAATTTGATGAACTGTCCTGCATGCATACGAGATCAGAGTTGTAGGTAAAAGTCAGTGGCAGCGCCCTCGCTTTGACCACGACATTGCCCTGGATTGTGGTCTCTTCTGCACAGACTGTTGCAACATTATCCTTCCAGGAACTCAGAGACGAGACACAGTCTGTGGTGCAGAGGTTGTTCACATCAGTAGTCGTCCAGACTTAATTTATTAGCTTGACTTCTTCGTTGGCAAACAACAACATGTTTGGACATAGCAGGCTTACAATGGATGTCTGCCCCGTGCCCTAATAGGCCAACAGCGGTTTCATTGCAAGTGACGGTGGTGTTTCTGTTTGGTGAGGTGTTAAAGAGATAGGGCATTTTAGGGAGAAGGAACCACAGGCGAAAACTCACAGTGCTGCAAGACACGTACTACTCAGAGCGAGCCCAGCAATCAAGGCGTCTTCATCATAGTTTTCATACAGCGCAAAATCGGCCGCAACCCAAGTTGTCCATACCGTAAGTAGAACAAAACAGAGTCTCAAGAAGGAGAATAGCATTTTGTCCATTGGGTAGACAATAAACTATGATGCTCGAATTGCTCTTTGCACGAGAATAGATCCGAAGGCATGGAAAACAGAAATGTCGGGGCCTTTTCTCTCTTCCTCTCCTCTTCACGAAGGGCTGCTTGAAGTGCCCCTCGTCGATAGCCACGCCACCCACAATTCTGCGTGCTTTCCCCTGCATGATGCAGGTACTAGGATATTTCGGGAAATTCGGAAGTTCGTGCCTTGTGACTTCGCACTTGCTTCCCTTCCTGTCAGCCTATACAAGGATACCAGAAATTAGGTGGCGGTTAACTCGGGGTATCTAGTTCATATAGTCACCGGACCAGTCTCTTGCAGCCAATGGCTGAGGCGACCTGCGTAATCTCTGATGCCTCCTGGGGAACTAAGAATTACTAGTTCAACAAGTGCTGACGCTGCTCTGTAAAAGGAGCCCCGCTCTGGAACATCCAATGGGCAAGCCGAACGATCGAAAGACCCTGAAGTGCCGCTCCGCGACCTTATGGTCTTATGGTCTGCGACTCTACAAGCTTGTCTATTTCTGCATCGTCAAGAGAAATGTTGAGTGCGAGAACATCGCTACTCCGTACATTCACGGTGGTCCGGATCTCTGCAGGATCTCGCCTGATTGCTAGGGACATTTGGACATCAGCCCCGACGCAAGCTTTTGCAGGGGTCTTCGGTGAACTAGCTTGTTTGGGCAAGTTGGCGGTATTTTGAGGAGCAGAATACCCCCCGGCGGGCATGCATCCACCATCAATTCAACGATATGGATGGAAAATCATGGGCGCTGGCGTGTGATCGGCTTCTCGTCTTGCTGTAATCTCCGTGACCCCCATATCTGGGTTTAAAAAAGTTGTACTCCTGTCTTCTCCATAGGCTGGAGGTCGCTGTGCCATTACTCCAAAGACTTCAACGACAAAGGCTGGAGTAGCTTTTGCTCATCAGTCCTCATTGATATCATTGTAGGTTGAGCTTTGGCAGCAGCTTCAATGCGAATCCTTTTGCCAGCGCTTCTTGTTCTCGCAATTTGCGGGATTTCCCAAGGTCATCAAAAACACAACCATGGGAAACGCAACAACGCGAAACAATTGCCTGAGTTCACTCCAGCACCCCAGTTGCCAAAGAACTCGTCTTCGGCCCTGCCGCCTCTCTATGAGGCCTATTCAAAGAACAAACCTAGGTTCCAAAACGAGGCCCTCATCCGGCAATTCTCTGAGCATCCAAAGCAAAGACTTGACCACCTTGACCATGACGCTGGCTCTGGCTCTGTGCGCAAAAGAGACCTTCCCGTAGGCACTTGCGCACCTGGAGTACCTTGCACAAATGGAGCATGTTGTTCAAACACTGGCGTTTGTTCTTACTCCCCCTCGAGTTGTGGGGCTGACGTCTGCATTTCTAACTGCGACGCAAAAGCTCCTTGCGGCGAATACGCTGATCCCAATAACGCAACTTGCCCTCTGAACGTGTGTTGTTCGCAATATGGATTCTGTAAGTTTGAAGTTTGTTTGGATATTTCCCATGAGAGCAGATACTGACCCTTATTTTACCCAGGCGGCAGCACTGATGACTTCTGTGGCACTGGTTGTCAGGAGGGGTATGGCGGCTGTGGAGCAGCTCCGACTCCTTCTTGCTCCAGTAGTAGCAACGCTGCGGCTGCGCGGCGCATCGGATACTACGAGAGCTGGGCGACGGAGCGGCCATGTGATGTGTTTACACCTGAAGACCTCGAGCTGACGGGTCTGACGCATATCAATTTTGCCTTCTCATTCTTCGACCCGTCTACGTTCCAGCTCTCGCCCATGGACGCAAATGCGGCCAGCCTTTATTCGCGCTTCACGGCACTCAAGACCAAGCAGCCAGGGCTGCAGGCGTGGCTATCGGTCGGCGGCTGGTCTTTCAATGATGCAACGAATACGCCAAACACGCAAAATGCTTTCAGTAACATGGTCAGCTCCTCGGCAAATCGGCAAGCTTTCATTACTTCACTGCGCAATTTCATGCAGACATACGGCTTTGACGGTGTGGATATTGACTGGGAATACCCTGCCGCCGACGACCGAGGCGGCGTCGCAGCCGATTTTGCTAACTTCCCAACCTTCCTGGCTGAATTGAGGGCCTCGTTCGGTAGCGGATTGGGAATCAGCACTACACTTCCATCCTCATACTGGTACCTTCAGCATTTTGACGTTCTTGACATGGAGCCCAGCGTCGACTGGTTCAACTTCATGAGCTACGACATCCATGGCGTGTGGGACTCGTCCAACAAGTTCACGGGGCCTTATATCCGCCCGCACACCAATCTCACTGAAATCAACGACGGCTTGTCCCTGCTGTGGAGGGCTGGAGTCAATCCGTCCAAGGTTGTGCTTGGACTGGGCTGGTATGGGCGTTCCTTTACGCTCGCTGATCCGTCTTGCACCACACCTAACGGCGTATGCCAGTTTACCACCGGTGGTAATGCGGGAGAGTGCACACGGTCATCCGGGACGCTTTCTAACGCCGAGATCAAACGTCTTCTAGCGGCTGGAACGGGAACCGAATCATATGATGCCACTGCAGGGGTCCGCTGGCTTGCCTTTGATACGAACCAGTGGGTAAGCTTCGATGATGGAGTGACAATGCAGCAGAAGCTGGTCTTCGCTAATAGCTTGTGTCTTGGGGGTATCATGATTGTAAGAGACCACTTTTTACAGTGACCGATTTCCTTCCTTCCTTCCTTTCTTTCTTCTTTCTTACATTCATTTTTTCTTTTCATTATCGTTTTTCATTTTTGAGAAACCATCTAATAAAGGCTTTCTTCCAGTGGTCGATCGATCAGGACAACACAGCTGGCGATAGTATGAACGACTTGATGGGCATCGGTACAGCAAACGGGGTGTCAGAGGTAGCTGCCACTTCATTCAAGGAGCAGATGGCCAATGCTACGCTACAGAACGCTATCGCATCGAGCTGCTACTGGTCTCTATGCGGAGGGGAGTGTACGACCGGGTATTTCGATGCAACTGGAGCCCGCGGCCAAATTGTTGGCTTCCAGCAGAACTCCGTATGCTCTCCAGGCGAAGTCCAGACACTATGTTGCGCTCCAGGAACCACAATGGGCACCTGTCAATGGGAGGGTTTTAGAGGCGTGGGAATGCCTTGCTCGCCGGCATGCTCTGACTCCGAGGCCACCATTGTCGCCCGTAATAGCAACTCGTACCAGGAGAACGATGGAGGGCAGATTGAAGACCTGACCTGTACTGGTGGCTTTCAAGCATATTGCTGCACTGGATTTGTCCCTTCGTCGATCACAAATTCTGGCAACCTCGTGCTCTATGGCCAGACTTCTGCGCTTAGCAAGCGAGGCGGGTCTAATACTGGCCTTAGTCTCTATGTACGCGACCATGGACTTGAAGAGCGTGCTTTGCCTCCTGGCTTAATACTCTCCGGATTGGGATTGGGATCTCTCTGCCTCGCTGATCTCGTCCCGTCGCTTCTTGCAGCACTGCCCACATTCGGCCTATCCCTTATTGGGGAGGGGGCGGTATGTGCTCTAGGGGCAGTTGCCGGCGCCGCTGCTGCGGTCTACGTCGGTTGGCAAATTATCTCAGGCATAGTTGGGTGGATTTTCGGCGGCTCCCCATCTAAACCCAACGTTGGCGTCCCAACGACAGTTGGGACCCGAACTGCGTATGGCCAGTGGTCGATTCTCGACTTTAACGACGGCGCCACGACGACTAGCTGCGATTGTGAGGTCACATATACGTGCCGCTATGGCTTGGGTTGGGATGAGATTTGTGATAACCAAAGATGGGCGATCAACAAGCTGCTCAACGGAAAGACTGTCTATCAACCACTGACAGCCCAGAACGGCCGTAAGTATTCATCGTGGAGAGCTGTTCAGCGTATTAGCGCGTACCGAACCCGGGCCCAAGCATCGATCAACAACGTAGCCCGATGTCAACTGGATGAGTTTCCTATGGGCAATCTCAAGGAATCAGGAAATAATTCCCCGCAGGCTTGCCGTCTAGTTAACGGCCCTGCGAATGGGAGACAGGGAAATGATTATAAGGCTTGGAAGGACGCGCAATGGAGGCCTTGCTCGGCGTACCGCTCTACCAAGTGCCGCATCAATGACGATGGACCGCCTGCAACCTGGTACGTAAAACTCAAGCTACCGTCATGCGATCATCTCTGACCTTTAAACAGGGCGTTTGGGCCGCTGCCCGCGGGGCGCGGCTCTGGTAGTGGAAAACACTTCATAGATGCTTATGGTTTCGACGAGCAAACGGTCAACTCGCTTTGCTGGGCTACATACACTTATACTGCCCAGCCTGGAGTTATCTTGACCTCCACGGTTGCTGACCATGGGTTCCGTGTTCTTGACGATGATCCGTATGTGTCCCTCTCCCAACTTTGCTAGGTAGTCAATGCATGGCTGACAAGGCGACGTTGATAAGCATGTACGGTAATGCATATGGGTGGCCTCGACAGTCCTGGCGCGTTAACCCAGCCCCGGTAGCAAGCGCTCAGTATCGGCCTTTTGACTCTCAACCGACAATATTCCAAAGAGACCTTCTCGGCAACGACCAGTACACGTCGCTTGAGAAGTATAACGACCCCGCTGGCGTCTGCCACGCTGACCTCAAATTCCTTGGAAATGGCAAACAAGATGCCTATCTCGACCTTGATTATGACAATCTCTACTTCGTCGATCTGGATGGCAACCCTATCGACGGTCGGACATGCAACATCATCTACGAGGACGACGGCCCGCGCTCCGAAGTGCGTCTCGTACTTGACGAGGATGGTCATGTCGTGGACATGTATATGGGCGACCCAGATGCTGACTCGTGGACCAAGGAGGCGGTTAAAAGTTACAATTTGGATAAGGTGACTGTTGATCCTACCACCGTCACTGTCACCACGGGTGTCCTGGCGGGCAGCGAGTCCCGACCCACGTTCGCAGCGAGTACGACTAGGTCCGAGACGAGATCGGGAACCGTATTAAGCACTGTGACACACGCGCCGTTTGTTTACATCCCTTGACTGCATTAAACATGGCAATGGAGCTTTCTTTCTTGCGCATTACTTGATGCCCTCCACCTTGACGGGCTCTTAGCTTGATGGAAAAGATAGAAATTTTTATATAAATCACCGTCAGTTAAGAAAATCGTACTTGTTTAACATTGGAATAGCGTAAGATCGTGACTAGTCTTATGAAATTGCATATCCCTCTCAGGACGTCTTCGGGTGACTACCTGGTCCAACCCCGCAGAGTAGAGCGCAGAAATAGTCTCCGGATTGAAGGCCGGATGGAATTGGTATATCTACCACGAGGGAGGGATATGATAATCCCTCCAACGACTCTCAGTCTCAGCATCTTTGAAAGTATCGATTGTACCTTCTACCCCATCCGGCCCAACAGACCAGACGCCATCTTCAACCAGCTTGCGCCAACAATCCAACAAACGCTCCAGCCGCTGAGGGCGGTAGTAGTTACCACCAAAAGGCTTGAATCCATGCTGAAAGAGTCCTGAAAACCTGTCTTTATCAACAAGCTCCCCATCGCTTTGTCGTGCGCCTACCTTCCTGCCATAGCCAGCATTGACGGTAAACGGGAGAAACAGCTGAAATCCATCCTCGACCATGTCATCCCATTTTCTATCTACTGCTGTAGTATATAGACCCGCGGAGATACGAGACGGTGTATGCGTATCGGTAGACGATGAATAGAAATCCTCCATTAATATCCATGGACTTGTAAATCTCGTGAGCTCGATAGGACGCTGGTCTCCGGTGTCGGCGGGGAAAAGGCATACTGGCGGTACGGTATACTGGGAAAGGGGCAATGCGGTGAATTTCTGTAACGCCACAAACCCAGATAAGTCAGCCGGGGGTAGAAGAAGGCCTGGAGCGATGTATTGGAACGAGGGTCGTCTCGCGCGTGACAGAAACGAACGCGTAAAGCAAGGATCGAGCACCGATGCGGCGTCTAGGACGCTTAATGCGACTAGTGGCTCTAGATTATCCGTATCAGTCCCGGAATCGGGGCTGATCAGTGATGGTGGGTTTGGCAGCTGCGAGATACGCGTCTCGATGGCCTGACACAACCGATCCCACGCGTTGACACACGTAGTAACCTGGACTTCGCTATAGGGCCGCCACTCCCAGGGCCCAATCTTCTCGAATTCGAATAGCGCTGGCTCTTCATGAGGCGCAGCCACGACTTTTCCAATATGAATCAGGTCGATCCAGTGGGATAGCACTGTCTCGAATGGATTCCAAACGTCTGGATGATCCTTAACTGGAAACCCGAAGCCCCAGTCATCAGTATGCATAAAGATCGCGACGCGATGATAGCGTTGGTGGTAGATAACACCCCCATTACTGTCATCGGTTGACAAGGCCACATAGCATAAGCGCAGCATGCTGTCAACCGGCTGGTCTTCAAGATCAGCTTCAACTTCCGCAAAAAGTGATTGTGGCCCATTGAGTCCTGATGCGAAAATAGAGAGTGGCGTTTCGCTAAAACCTTCCCAAGGAGGTATTATAGCGTTGTCAAGGAAAGCCACCACCGACGGATCAAGTCTTGGACGAAGAGCCTCAGCTTCAGCACCGTGGACCGTGAAAAACTTGGTGCTGTTGCCAGTCAGAGTTGCCAGTGGACGGCCTTCAGCGAGCCAAGCATATTGGATCAGGTAGTTGTATAGAGCCACACATCGTGAGTAATCCATTCCTTCGACATCCTCTCGTGGAGGGTTATCTGGCCTGACAAGCAAGCCGGTGATGTCCGGAAGCTGAGAAACATCCATTGCCATGAAATCAGAGTGTGTGGCTGTCAAAGGGGTCAATACCACAGCCTATATTCGGACGATGTGCAAATGACTGAATTTATGAAGTGTTGAACGTGTTGAGGCTGGTTTTGAAGAGGCTGGGAAGTCAGCTTTGGATCTTTCCAACTACTACTGGACCCCGGTCTACCCCGCTCTCAGGTGATCAATCGATATGGACCATAACGCACTTCCTAGTGTGGTTGGTCAATAGTCTGCTCTTAGTCTTCGTTTGACATCTTCAAATGTTGTTTCAAGATCGAAATCTATTTCTCCGTGTCTGCCCCGGATTGGGCCTCGAGATCTATCATGGAGCTTTCAACGGTGTTCATAGCCTGATCCGCTCTGTTATCCCAACTGTTAGTAGCCGCTAGGAATTGGGAGTCTGGTCACGATTGTGGGTGACCATCGGACTTCACGCGCAACAGAACAGTGGCCAAATAAAGCCGCCGCGAGCGAGACTAATGAAAGGCAACAGACAAGAATGATCACGATTAGGGCAGAATAACTGAGACCCATTTTGAGGGAGAGATAATTGATGTATGTGAAACAAGTCAACTCTTCAAATGGTCAGGAACGATCTCTGTGGCTACAGAGCCAATTGGATATGATTAAAACTTTTGAAACTCGATTGATTCCCTAAAGATTCTGCCTCTGTGGTAGTTAGTCAATTATATGTAACAGAATCATATCTCGCTTAGATATTGAGTCGCTCTTAGTTTCAGCAATCTAGCCACTATGCAATAATAGATAGCATAGCATGGTCTGACGCAGAAAAGACAATTACGGTGTATTTCTGCTCCCGGCATGTCAACATAAGATCACTCCGTTGCTTGCTTTTACGACGGGGGTTTGACCGGTCGGAAAATGCTATCGAGAGCAAATAAGAATTTAACAGTACCTTCCTCACTTTCTGAGTAGACACCAAAATTGATAGAAATGTCATTATCCTTTAGTGTCGTGTCGCTGTCTTTCCCAAGTTCAATATATTATGAAGCAGGAATCATGAATATGTCAAATTGAATTAACTTCAATCAGAAAGGGGCGAATGGAACACACTATAGGTTGACCTTCAACAAAATTCTGGTTGTCATCCTCCAGTGTCTAAGCACCCCCAATTCATACCTAGGTAGGTCTTTAATCCTTCCACCGTATCTATAAATAGTCCTAGCAGTGACCCTTAAAAGGGTCGAGAGTCCAATTTTAGGACCCTCCTTAGCGTTCAAATTGCGACCCCGGTTTTAGTGAGGTATAGGGCTAAAAGCGGGCTAAGCCGTCCACAAGTTGGGTTTTGGAGAAGCTTAGCTCAGATGATGATCAGGTGATGCTCAGTGAGCAGATCGGTTGATTATGTAATGGCCCGTGATCAGTTAGGGCCGTGCTCAGTTTTACTCAGTGATCAAAAAGCGGCAAGGGGTGAGCACTAAAACGGAAAGGGAAAGGTTATCCGGTACATATGCTGTAGAGTAAAGACTTTCCAGGTGACAATTCCGATGCAATATGTCGGAAAACCATCACAACAATGCCTTCTGCCAGCCATGTCCTGATGATATCTTAATATTTGAGACCACCGTACAGCCATTCCTGGGGTTCCACGTAAGATCCACGTGCATGGGTGCGCCGAAGAGTTGAGACCAATTGGGCCATCGGATCTATTAACCTCATAGCAGTGAGAAAGGGGTTGGTGGGTAGTGCAATTAAGGTGAGTATTTCACGCCCTTGTCCCGACAGAGTGGCTGGTTCGTCTCCACATGAATGTACCCCTGGCCCGTGAATCCATTGCTTTTCGAGGAACGGAGTAATCCATGAGACATAGGGTGGGCAAATGCAAAGAGGCTCATAGATTTGTTACTTAGCTATTTAGACATTGGTATTTGATCGTAGGCTGAAATAATTATGCTGAGGTTTGAGTAATCTGCATCAACGCCCGCGTTGAAGATCAGGTTGATCTCGCATATTTGTCTCGAGAGACAGACATACCGATGACTTCCAAAAATTAGATACCCTCTTTTTGCCAAAATCTGTTTATATCGAGAACTAGAAGAACAGAGGTATTGTCCTTTTAATAGTCGGATGTTTTATTCGAATAGATGTTGGTAGCACGTAAGATACCAAGGGATTGCGTCTTAGCACGTAACCGTCCACGGGCAACAAAAGCCTAGTTTTGTCAGCAAAAATGATCTGATTCTTTTCTTAGCCTTGAGATAGGCTTAGCACTGGCCAGACGGGTACATCCTTTTAAGTGAAAGCTTGCAGATTTAAAGCAAATTGCGTGAGTATTGCGCAAGATTACACCGAAGACTCGCCATGTTTGTATACTGGAGACCCGCAAGATAAACCTATAGGACGTAATTAACCTTCCTATCGGGCTTAATGACTATCTATCTCCTCAACGGCCGCATTCCACAGCGGAATGATTGCAAGATCTCTCAGTGACGCGATTAAAAGGTCCGCTGAGGACATATTTCGCTAGTTGTATAAAATATGTAGAGTTTCCGGGGTTGAACCCCACCAAGAGGTATTATAAATTTATCGATCTGCGCACTGGGTATTCCAGCGCCAAATTCCAGAGCACGATGGGAACCGCGGGTGATTCTCAACGAGTGACGGCCGCTTCGGTACACAGCATAGATGCGGAGAACCAGAACAACGACACCCAGACAAACTATGTAAATCCTGTCAGATCATGGAAAAGTTATGTGTGGGATACATGGGACCTTCCACCGGATCAGCGCTGGATGCTTTTTAAAGTAGATGCTTTTGTTCTCACGTTCGCATCTATTGGTTATTTTTTGAAGAATATCGACCAATCGAATGTCAACAATGCATTTCTCAGTGGCATGGAAGAGGATCTCGAGATGTTTGGCAATCAACTAGTGACTAGTATGTGCTTTGACTCTCGCCTAAACCGCTTTTTTCTATCCTTCCTTGTGAAACAAGCCGAGAAGCTTTCCAGCACTTGCTAACAACGACTGTTACAGGCACGTCTATCTGGACTGTGGGATATGTTATTGGCCAAATTCCGTCCAACTTGTTGTTAACCAGAATCTCGCCTCGATGGGTCATCCCCACGCTGGAGGTAGGATGGGGACTCGCAACTATTTGTACATCTAGTGTCAAATCGTACAAGGCTCTGTACGCTTTGCGCTTCCTTGTTGGATTTTTTGAGTATGTCAAAAACCTAATATGCTATGTACAATTTGTGGCCAATTACTAACCCCGCTATAGATCAGGATTTTACCCCGGCATCCATTACTTACTAGGATCATGGTACACACCACGAGAAATCGGAAAGCGGGCTATGATCTTCTGGCTCGCCGGTTCAGTCGGCACTTTGTTCAGCGGTTTCCTCCAAGCCGCCGCATATACAAACCTGAATGGGACACATGGTTACGCTGGATGTATGTGACTGCAATCCTTCTCAATTTTCCCTCTCCGGGCGTTCGGATTCGAGAATCCCACTCCTTCGCCTCAAATCAAATGAAAGCAAAGAACAGAATCACTGACAGATGCGAACAGGGCGCTGGCTTTTTATTATTGATGGTATCATTACGCTACCTCTTGCGCTCGCTGGTTACGTATTCTTCCCTAATCTACCGCAAAGTGGTAAGAAGACATGGTGGACAACAGAAGAGGAGCATCTTCTGTCAATTAAGAGAATGGAGAATATTGGACGTGTTGGCAAGAAGCCTTGGACTATGGCAAAGGCGAAAGCAATCCTGTTGAGTTGGCATACTTATCTTCTTCGTGAGTCGTACTCTATGCCTGTTTTGTCATGAAACTATACTAATGCCCCACAGCATTGCTATACATCCTTTGGAACAATGGCATCCCTCAACCTGCTATGGGATATTGGCTGAAGAGTTTCAATGCCCACCCTCCTCCTCTCCCCGGGACTACTTACACTATCTCACAGATCAATAACTGTGAGTTCGACTTCGGGTTCTTCATCTGATCAGAAATAACTAACTCCCGTATAAGTACCTCTTCCGACGACCGCTGTTCTCATCGTCATGGGATTGATTTGGGGCTGGTTGTCCGATGGGCCATGTCGTGGCGCTCGCTGGCCATTCATTTACATCGGCGCCGTTATTACTGTAAGTCAAGAGAGCCTTATATCAGTTAAATGATTGTTATGATATGCCAGCTAACGATTACCACTACTGCACAGCTCCTGTTCACCGTCTTAATGATGAAGTTGCCATTTTACACAAATCTCAAGGGCCGTATGGCCGTTTATTGGTTGAGTAACATTGGAGTAAGTCTGCCATTTCGTGAAGTGTACAATCGTCAAATATTAATACTCCCTTAAGATGGGCGCCGGTCCTTTAATCCTGAGTTGGATCAATGAGATCTGCTCCGATGACACGGAAAAGCGAGCGCTGCTTGTCGCGATGGCGAATGACCTTGCTTATGTTGTACAAGCTGTCGTGAGTATCTTCTACTGTTCCCCTGCCTCTAAGACAATCCTAACCAGCTTGAACAAAGGCCCCCAACTTCGTGTGGAAAACTACAGCATTCCCTCGAGCTCCCAAGGGATATACTTGGTCAATCGTACTCCAAATATTGCTCAGTAAGAAGTCATTCCTCCGTCTGAGTCGTGTTTCCCACTGACAATAAATTTCCAGTCTTGGGAACTGCAACTGTTCAATTCCTCTTGTGGCACGATAAGAAAAAAGCAGCAAAGGCAAAGGCGGCTCTCTCGGCTATTGACCCCCTCGAGTCATCGTCTGTAGAGGGAGATACCTCTGTGGCATCAAGAGAGGACAATGGTAAAGTGGGTAGCACTTCTCGGGTTAAAGATGTTGGTATTGCTTGATTCAAATGCACCTTAACGTTTGATACGTTGGTAGTTGACGAAGCAAACCCAAGTACAACATTTGATGCTATATTCTAATCACAAAATCCACGTAATATCGGCCGTTGCCCTCCTACTATTTTGACTCATTTCTATAAAAGCAGCTGCACTAGTTCAACTACTAGCGCATATCACGTCCGCGATTCTCTGAGACAACTTGGAAGACTTTATGTACTTAAATACTGCGGGGTTCTCTCAACCTGCATATATACACACCGCTTGATGAGTCCAACAGTCAAGATGAGTTCTAATCACCGCCCATCAACTCAGATCCAACACTCCATTCCTTGAATAAGTCTGTCTGGGTCAATCGGATCTCATCTCAAGATGGTATCCCCATACAAGCACGTTTTGCTCGTTGGAGCTACCTCCGGAATCGGTAGAGCGATGGCCGATCGTCTGATCCAGTCTGGGGTCAAAGTGACTGCCGTAGGACGGCGGAAACAGCGTCTTGACGAGTTCGTTGAAAAACACGGCGAGGGAAAAGCCTCTGCGATGAAATATGATGTTAGCGACATCGACGGGGCTCCCCAATTCGCCGCAGAGTCAGTTGGCGAACACCTCGAGATATGATATCCGGGGAACTTAGAAGTTTCTAACACAAATTTGAAAACAGCGCAACCGCTCAACATCCAGATATCGACTGTGTTTTTCTCAATCCGGGAATCCAACGGAAATACAAGTTGACCGACCCTAAAGATGGGGATTTGAGTGATTTCAGAGCAGAGATGGACGTCAATTTCATCAGCTACGTTGCACTGACCCAGGCATTCATTCCCTTCTTGCTGTCTAGTCCGACTCCAACAAGCTTTATATTGTTAGTACACGATCTCTTAAACAAGTCCTATTGATAGACATTCTAATCTGCTCTGGATAGTACAACATCGCTTCTAGCTTTGGTGCCTGCGCCGAGAATCCCTGCCTATTCGGCCGCCAAAGCTGCGTTGAACGCTTTTGTATACTGCCTGCGAGATCAGCTGAGGGAATCAAATGTTAAAGTGATCGAATTGGCCCCACCTCTTGTGTCGAGTAAGTGGATATCTCGATTGAATCACATCCCCCCGAAAGTGGAATGGAGAATGGAGAATGAAGAACTGTACTTATCATCACGTTTCACACAGCCGAACTACACGATTATATGGGCATTGAGAAAGGACGAGGTATGGGCATGCCGGTTGAGGAGTATGCCGAAGATGCCTACCAAGCATTGGAAATGGGAAGTGATGAGATTCTTGGTGGGAGCGTTGGACCGACCGAAATATTTCAGGATCTGGCCGAAAAGCGTCGCCAAATATTCGATGAGTTCGCCCCGATGCTTCGTGACTTGGATTAAAAGCTGCGTCTTCAAGCTGTTGCTGTCATTCACTGGCGGCCATTGAAAATGTTGAATAGCTACACCAAATCAATAATTTCGGCCCCTCAAGAAATCACAAAATTAAACGGACAAAAATACTCGATGTCTTCATATAATAAGATAGTCATGTTGCCGCTCCGATCTTGAGTCTCGAGTCTACAGAAGTCAGCCAAGATCAAGTAAATATCCCATAGAGCAGGTAACTCACAAACCAGACCCATGGAATATTGCTGCTGTCGTGTTTCGCCTGTCTACTTCGACCATCCCAAACAGATTTGAGTAGGGAAATCGACATATGGTTACCCACCCCACTGTGAGCCCGAATATGGTCGAATCGCAGGAGGACATAATGCCGAGCATACGGGGACAAAGCATCAGCCCCGGCCATAAAGAGGGGCATGACCACCAACTCGATTAGACAGCAGTCTGCAGGGATTTCCGCTAGGGAGTCCAGGATTGCCGTCACCGAGTTTTGTATTATTGGTGCTTCAGCTGGCTGGGTTACATCCAACAAGCGAGATGTATGCAGTATGCATGCGTGACGGAATGCCTCGGCAACTGCAGGCCAGCGTGGATCGTCGTTGGGATAGCCGTCAGCCTTCAAACGCCATGAGTAGAACTCATACCGGCAAGAATTAAGGAGGCGCTGGTATTCTGGTGTTTCTATCTTGCCTGTCGCATGGGCTTTGGCATGTTCCATGACGTTGCCCATTATCAGGAACATCTCGCGTGGGCAGCCGTTGACACGCTCAAATTTCAAGTCGCTTAAAGTGGCTACGGCTTCACGAAGCTCGGGAGAAAAGCATAGTCGCTGTGGATCTGCAAGTGAACGGATGATGTCCAGCCTGGTAGAATATGCGTCAGGATTGGGATTGAAAAACTGGAAATCTGGTGAGAGGACTTGCCATGCTAGATTTCCTAGGAAGAATATCGTCCTTTCATCCTCTTTGGACAGGGTGTCACACAAACGCAACTGGTTGCAAATCGATAAGGCACCTGTAATATGAACTCCGTGGGTGGAGATACCCGATTCGAAAATCTTCATTCACATTCAACTATTAGTTCCTGTGTCGAGATCGGACATAAAAACGCAAGATTGTCAACTCACATCCTGGAGTAACAGTATCTGAATAGTAACGAAAATTCCATCGCGTTCATTTTCATCCAGCTCGCCAGAAATCCCGTTTCGGAGAGTTTCTCCAAGACAGCGTATAGCTCTGACTCGATATTCAACGGCTAGTGTTTCTCGTAAATATACATCTTCCTTGTTTATTCCCATGTGACATGCGGTAAGACCTAGAACTGCATACAGCAGGCCTAATTGTTCGTATGCTAGCGGCAAAACATAAACTTGATATGGGTTGTCCGCGCCAGCAGCTGGAAGCGCGATTTGATGTGGACATATGACCTGGTCATCTAAATATCCAGCAGTCAGTCAAGTGTTATTGGATACTGAGGGTAAAATCGACACACAATGCGTCAACAACCGTTCCGTCCGTTCCAGCATTAATAAATCGTCCAACTCCACGCCTCGCCCCTCTGGCTGTGGCCGAGGGTAGTCGAGAATTGGAAGTGATGTTTCACTATTTTGATTTTCATATGAGGTCAAAGCACCTGGGTGCTGGTGACCAAACTCTCCATGGCCAGAATCTGCATGATCGGTGTCGCTGCCCGGTTGAGTCGGGACAGGATGGTCACGGCTCACGGCAGGGATCACCCTGTTCTTCCACTTGCCCCGGGTTGCTAACCCTGCAAAGCGAAATTTTTCCGGGTATCCTTTGCACTCAAGGCCTTTGGTAACGCATCTTTGACAAACGGGTTTTGTCCGGTCGCATTTGCGACACTTTTCACGGCATGTTATACAAGCCGGGCCTGGTTATCGTCAGAGCCGCTTTTTCTCGGTGCATGTTTCACAAACCTCCCAGGGTCATATCCTCTCTCGCTGGCTGGTAAGGAAGTTGAAGAAATGTATTTCCCGCGAAATACGACCTATAATGATGCAGGAGAAAGGAGAATGGGGTCAACGGCAAAATGAAGGGTTGGGGATAATGCCACGTGACGGTTTCCATCGGCACTTAATGATTGTCAATTTTCTTATTCTTATTTAGTTCGAGATGGCATTTAATCCACTGATATCGTGTCTTACACTGCAATCCTCCTATGTGATGAAGCTCTAGGGTTGTTGTGGCCTTGTTTGTCAGGCCTCTAACGAATAGTATTCCCGCCGTCGACCAACCTGGCCTCAACAAATATCATACTTCCTACTTCATCGAGACATGTGCATATCATCAAGTCTTTCTTGGAATTTCTCGCACTGTGTATTTTCCCTACGCGCTGGGGTTGACTAGCGTGGCGGCAAGGCACTGGCCTCATGGGTCACGGGAGGGTGCGCCACCAATGAAGGGACAAGGACATAGAGATGCCCTTCATTAGCCGCCATATCTCAAAAAGGTGCTAGCATATGGAAATTTTCGTCTCGTTTTATCATATGCACCTAGCAATAACGAATCCTATTTTTAGGATACTCTACTTTTAATAGGCGAGGCTCGATCGTTTTCGGCTCTATCTCTCGAGAACTCCCCCATTTAATTTGAGACCCTAAGAGGCTCCGGTGCTTGAGAATCAGCCACGCAGATCTGAACGTGCTGTGATTTGATAGATCAATGCGTTATAAACCCCCTAGCGCGTTGTCTGACACGCTGCTTCTCAGTCGGACTGACTCTAAATACCCAATGCATCTCTGTCTTGTCAAAACCTGAGCGCTCTTGCTTCTTTTACTATTATAATACCACTTTAATATACCTCTATCTGAGGCCCTCTTTGGATAATGCGACGGAGCAAGCCCTTCAATGAGCCCAAACCCTTGTTTGTCTCATCAAAAAGCACCGAAGACCATGAGAACCAACCACCATCCAACTCATGGATTGAGCATCTTCTATTTGCCCTACTCATTGTCCCTTTAACACTGAGCATTCTTCTGGTATATAGCGATGCCTCTAGCTGGCATCTTCCAGACCATTTATATGTGTTTGTGAATACAAATCGAACATCTGTCCAGACAGCAGTCCAGATTTTCGGTGCTATCCTAGCAGCCATCGAGGTCTTCGCACTCTGTCGCCTAATCAACTTGACAACTCGCATTCGATTTACACAAAGTCCAGTCTCTCTGAATGTACTTGGGTTCTGGTCATCACTATCAACTCCCACAAACAACTTCTCTCTACCTTTCTGGATGATTGTCATTACCGTGCTTTTCGGCAATGTGTCCGCTGTCATATCAGCATTATGGACTGGTGCTTTGACACCCGCAGATACTATCGGCACCCAACCCTTCTCCCTACTCGTTCCAGATTGGACCAACATAAGTTTAATCAAAGAATACCCTGCGGAGATCGACAAGACTGGGTTATCAATTCGCGAGACAAAGGGCTACTTCACGTACTCAGTGGGCGTGGCCTTACTGGGCTCACTTCTATCCTCCGTGAACTCCGCCTCCCCAATCAACGGCGGCATTCGCAACCACCCCAAACTAGACAACACCCGATACAATTATCACGGCCGGTCTTACGGGGTTGGCGCAAGTGCCGGTCTCTCCGACGATAGTCTCGTCGCCATACCCCACGCGAGGAACTATACCTTTAACGAAACCGGCCTCGACGCGTCAGTCGACTGCATATACAATACCAGCTCGATGTTTGTATTTCAACTCCTTCCACAAACCGCTCTCTACGCAGTTCGCGGGTTCCTTCCCGACAGCAACCTCAGCGCACCCGAATACTCAGTCTACATTGGTCGCAGCGAAGAACCAATCGTTGCGGTGGGAGTGGCGGCGCAACCAACCGAGTACAGTGCCAAGCGTTACATGGCCATCGTCGCAGGGAGTTACTACAATAATTTGAATCAGATCCAATGTGCCGTCACATTCAAGCCGGCAATGTTCAACGTCTCGGTCGATATCCTAGGACGGAACATCAGCGTTAACAAAATCAATGCGTCTGAAACATCAGTGGGCCCGGTCCTTGATATCGACCCCCATCACAACATAACCCACATTGTCATGCGACAACTCGAACTCATCTCCAATGATCTAACGAGTTTCTATCGCTCGACGCTCGGCGACGCCTTCAATGCCAGCATTAGTGATTATCGCACTTCTGTCACCGGTGAGAATATATCAGAGACGCAGATCGTGAAGAAGGGAATGGAGAACGCAGTTACATCCTTGGTCGACGATATGCTAGTTGCATATGCCTCGGCTCAATTGGTGGTTGGTGAATTCGAGAAATCCACACCCGTAGTGGTCCAAGTCTCTGCTCTGCGGGTCGGATCGCAGGCCTATATTATTACCAGTGCGATGATCACAGGTTTGATTGCACTTCTGGTCATCGGGGAGGGCATTCGGATGCGATGGTGGAAGGATCTTCCGCCTTTCGACTATCAGGATAATCGAGCATTGATTCTGGGTGCGTCTAGGGGCGGGAAGGGCGTTGCTGAATATGTTGAGCAGGTAAAATGTAAGGATCTTGGTAGGGTTCCGGTGATTTGGAGGAAGGGTCAGGGATCATGGGATCATGGGGAAATTGTTTTCCAGCCCATGCTAGATGACCCAGAAGATGAGATTGAGGATACAAGATCAGAAAGGACTTCGGTCGCTTGGATATGAGACCACAGCGGCAGAGTATAACAGTTGACGAGAACAGTGTGGTGTATATAGCGAGCTGGCTAGACATATAAAGAGAGTATAAAAAGAGGATCAGAGAAGGAAGACATTTGGAAACAATTCGAAAAATAGTTCAGAGAGACTACAAAAAAGCAACAACGTAGTCGAGCTCGGTAGTTGATAAATGCGTGACATATAAGTTGCTCTCCTTCAGCTCTATACTCTGTTCGGGTATGGCCTTTGTAGCAGCCACTTCCTTGATCCAGCAATAGACTACAATAAAACATACGAGATGACTAAAATAACCGCTGTCAAATCTCAATATTAAAAATAACTCGATGAGGTAAAAAATATGTACTGCACCTCATCCGCAAGAAAAAGGGGGGAATCACACGTATGCAACTAGAACCCGATATCTAACGCGAAAATCCAGACTGCCAACGATGAGAGTCAGGGTATCTTGGGAACCGACGGTCGACTGTGCAACAGACCGAACAGCGAATAAAAAGGAAAGAGACCACGAAAGTGTGGACAGGAACCCAAAATCAAAAGTCAAAAGTCAAACAACGCCTTTCGATGCCCTCGGGCATCGTATGATAAGTGAATGGACGGGATTCGCAAATGCAATCGCTATGAGAGAAAGATGGTGGACGAAAAAAAAATAACAGCGGAAGGGAAAAAAGAAAAGAAAGAAAATAGTCCGTCCAATCATAAAAATCGAATATTCAATCTTCAATCTTGAATCATTTGAGCTGGCCCTTGCGCACAGCACCATAGCCCCTACTAAAGAGATCTTGGATTTCAACAGAGCGCCGACGCGCATTAGCATCTTCGGGGCTGAGGAAGCCAGACTGACGACCACGGCCCGTCTCGGCATTGCGACTCGGCGTGCTGCTGCTATGACTAGCCGTGGCGCTGGCGGTGGTTAACCCATCGAGCTCAATTTCATTGGCACTAGGCTTGGAGTCCATCACACGGGGGCGGGCGAGCAGCTCGCGGACCTGGCGTTCCCGGGCATCCATCTCAGCCTTCTCAGCGTTATCGCGGGCGATCTCGAAGCTTGATCTCTTGGTGCCATGGTCCCAGCCCTGCTGGAGTTCCGAGGCAGCTGCTTCTTCGAAGCGCTTGCGGATGTCGAGGTCTTGTTCGTATTCTTGAAAGAGGTCGACGTCTGTGGGGAAGAAGAGGGCTCGGAGGGTTGAGACGGTGAATTCGAAGAGGAGCACCGCTGAGACGGAGAGAAGGAGGACGGTCCAGAAGAGGAGGTTATGGCCGGCATGGTGGATGAAGTTGGAGGGGAGGAAGTAGATGCCTTTGCCGGAGGACATTGTGTATTCGCGGTCGAGGATTAAGTCCCACATGAACCATCCGCCGACGGAGATTATTATTACGATTAGCGACATGTAGGTTTTGTTGTGGACTTCCAGGGCTTGGAGTTTGACGTTGATGACGATGATGCACGCGGAGAAGGTGAGAAGACCCAGGGAGAAGATGTCGTTGTCGCTGGGGTTGATTTTTGCGAGGCCGAAGAGACTCCACATCGTGAAGAAAATTATGACTGCTTCGCAGGTCGCCATGAATGACCAGCCCAAGTAGAGCCGGATATTGAAGCCGCCATGTCTTTGACCCTTGGTGTAGAGCTCCGGCACGGCAAGAAGTGTTGATGCCGAGAGGTCTTTGGTGAAGATACCCAGGAAGATGACAGCGAGCGAGGTGAACAGCGTGTTGAACATACTCAGACTCCATGGCTCGTACAAACTAGTGCCAGTGTAGCCGTTCCAGCGCTGGTACAGCGCTTGAGTCAGGTAGAACAACATTTCCTTCCAAAACGTGCCGAGTGTATACTTGCAAGCACGCATGTAGTTCCACCGGCCGTGCACCAGAAGCAGCTTGAGAAGGAAACGGAATTGCGCGATCGAGTAGTCCGAGATACGTGCTGCCTGCAAGCCCTCCTTTCCAGTGATTCCGATACCCACATGGGCCTCCTGGATCATGGCGATATCGTTGGCGCCGTCTCCAATGGCGAGCGTTATTGCGTCGGTGAGCTGTTTGCGGATCGATCTCACCAAGAACGCTTTTTGCTTCGGGCTCGCTCGGCAACAGATGACCGAGTCTGCCTTGACAGCCAGTTGGAAGAACTGTTTACGCACCACGTCATTCGCTTCGATCAACGAAAGTGTCTGGCCATCAACCACAACCACGGAATGTGCCACACGGCCACAGGTAATCTCCTCAATAAGATCTGCGATCGTTTGCTCAACGTCGCCATTCTCTTGATCCAAGATAGTCAGTGTCGAGTACTCCTTGACAAGACGACACGAGTGGCCGACATTGATAGCAGTCTCCCGCTTATCACCAGTCAACATCCACATCTTGATATTGGCACGTCGCAGTTTGTCAATAGCCTCCGGCACTCCCTTTTGCAGCTTATCCTCGATAGCAGTGGCGCCAGTAAGCTCCAGCTGCTGCTCAATCTGCTCACCAGCGTCCTCAATCTTCTGCTGTCGATCAACGAGGCTGGTGCAAGCCTCATTGTAGGCAGTTTTCCAGTTGGTGTAGGTCGCTTCATCCAAGAACCGGTGGCCATACAACAAAGTCCGCAGGCCGTCGGTAGCGAAGTCATTCAGATGCTGGAAGCAGCGCTCGAAAATAGCCGCCTCATTAACAACCAGTGCCTCCTCCACAAGATCTTCGTCGTCGTCGCCGTCGCCATTCGTAGAGCTTCCAGAATCTGAGATCGCGGCCGAGGGTCTGCCAATCTGCGCCGAAGGCCGAGGGCTGTAGTACTCACTATCAGCCTCTCTGTTCCGCATACCACCATCCGTCTCCCTATCGCGCAGCCATACATCGATACTGGCGCGAAGAGCCGAACCCTGTTGGCCGGTAATCGACGAACGTCGACGACTAAAGCTAGGCCGGGTCATACTGCTCCGAACAACACTGTTCTTCCGGCTTTGGTGCTCGCTGTTACGTCTGATGACCTGGTTCGCTTCGGCATTCTTGCGCCTGCTTGCACGGCGCTCGATCTCATTCGCCTTCTCACGTGCTAAATCGGCTTGCTTCAAGAGACGCATCAACGTGGTGTCGGCACCCTTGCAGAATAGGCAAATGCGCTGGTCGGGCATGCGGACAACGACGGACATGCGCTTTCGCGCGCTCGAGAATTCAATTACGTCCATGATCTCGTACACTTCGTCGCTGGTGGCTTCGTCCGGTCCGTTCGGTTGTGTGCGGATAGTCAACGTGTTTGATTGGCGATCCACGACGAGATATCCGAGTTCTTGCGCTGCAAGAACAAGAGCTAACTCATCTGGGGAGGCAGCCTGGAAAGTGGTGTTTCCGTTTGCGTCTTCTTCGGGAATACAAGTATGACACAAGGCCATAGACAGAATGAAAAGTCTTGCCTTTCTGGCAAAGATGGTGTACGGCTTGCGCTGAATATATTCGAGCATCTCTTCGGTGCGGTATGTAGTAGCCGAGCGGCCAAACTGACGGAGACCATCAACAGGCCCAGAAACATTCGATGGACGGGGCATCTGAGCCTCGGAAACATTGGACTTGCGGCCCATTGCCTTCTTCCCCTTTGCGCTGCGCTTCTTGTGGATCAACTTGGTGTGGTCACCTGCACGGGCAGCCTCCTCTTGGAGGTCAGCGTCGTGCAACCACGCAGTTCCAGCCACGCTCATTTTACGGAAGCGCATGGAGTTATTTGTCAGGGTACCGGTCTTGTCCGAGAAGATGTAGCTGACTTGACCGAGCTCCTCGTTGATGGTGGATGTGCGCGCCTCGAGCGGGGTGTCTGTTTCGGGATCATACATGTCGATATCGTTCAAGAGTAGGATCTGGGCAACTTTAACGATTTCCATACTCACGTACAGAGAGATGGGAATCATGGTGTTAAACATGATTAAGAACGAAGTGAAGATCGGGCCGTAGGAGACACTAGCATCTTCAAGATACCAAGAATGTTGCTCCACATCGCGAGACCAGAACTTGTAGGCCACGGTGCAGACAACGGCTAGGATAACAACTAACACCACGATCAACATGACCACGCGGTTGACCTTGTCCTGGAGAGCGGGTCTCTTGATACGCGGGTTCTTGTTGGCATTCATGCGGATCTTGCACTCCTCGCCAGTATAGATCACCATACCCAGAGCACGGTCAGTGTTGCGAAGGATGCTACCACGGTAAACGATCTCGTTGTTGGTCAAGGGCAGTTTCTCCTGGCCATTAACGGTAACATGACCGTCGAACTTATAGAGATCCAAGTTGGGGTCCTCAACGACGAAGTGCAAGGAGTTGCAGCTGATGTCCTCCACAGTCGAGCACACCTTGGACACGGGCTGGCAAGGCTGCTTATTTTTCAAATTCGTCTCACCGTCCAGAGCCATGGTCTCAATGTAGGCGACGCCGTTGGGTCCGTTGGCGTGGAGGAGAGCAATATCAGCGGGAATCGGTTGGTCGCGCTCAAGTTTAATGACGTCTCCGACACGAATCTCCTCACACTTGATTCGCTCCCAATCTTGAGCGTTGCTTATCATAGAGGCGCCGTCCTGAATCGTCCCGTGGCCTGGGCGGAGCACCCAAGCATCCCGATTGTTCTCTTCCTTGTCCAAACGATAGCGACGCCAATCATCAAATCCTTCCTTGCCCATCGAGATACCAACGAAGATCAAAAGCGGGACGATGGTGGTGTACGTTCCAGTGGTACTCAAGCCAGGGATCATCTGCAGGATGGCGACAATCAAGAAGTAGAAGTTGGCGACTTTGGTGAATTGGGCGACGAATTGGCGGGGGAAGAAACTCCAGAGACTGTAACGGCTCGAACGAATGAAGTTGCCAATATAAGGCTTTCCGGTGCGCTCATCAATCATGGAACCTACCATAGACGGATTCAAGTCAATATGCCGCCCATCCTGAGTAGGTGGGATATCCTTGATGCGCAGAATAAATTTCTGGATAGACGTCATAGCAGCCTGGACGCGCGCGACAGCCACTGCAGTAGTCGCCTTTTTCTGTAGCCACTTCTCCTGAGCCACAGACACGGAAAACTGCTCCTTGAGACCCTTCTCCGAAGAGTCAGAGGAGACATAAGGGGAAGCATTCTCGTTATGGGTTGAGCCGAGCGTCACCGTTGGCGCGACACTTAGAGAATGCTTCTCATCGGGGGCAGTGGTCGTCTCAGCAGCCGGGGCCTGGGCGGGAGTCACATCAGACGAGGGTTCCTTGACCTCCCCCAGCTCAGCCAGGGCGAGATCATCCTTCTCCGTCGAAATGATGGCCTTATTAAATATGCTGCGACGGAGCGAGTATCCACGATTTCGCGACCGAGACCGACCGGCGGACTCAGGACTCGATGGGGAAACGGGGGAGAGGGTCGCATTTTGGGTCGCACTGGGTGGCGAGAGCGGGGAGGTGGGCGAGGGAGCAGGTCGAACAGATGGAGGCGCCAGCGCCGTATCGACCGTTAGGCCGCGGGAATTGGGGCGTCGGTCCCAGTTTGTCTGTCGTTGTTCCTCGGCCGACTCGCGATCGAGATCGGTTGAAAAGCGCACATGTTGGGAGGAGATGCGCCGCCCGGAGTCGGAGGGGGTTCGTGATGGCACAAGAGATGGGCGTCGGAGGGCATCATTCTGCTCGGGTTGGGTGCCCTCTGTAGGTTCTGTTGGTTTGTCGTTGGACATGACGGCAGCCGAATTCCTGGCACGAATGCGCGGGACAGGCCCCGACGATCTCGGTACTTTTTTTTCTTTTTCCTCCGAGATTGTTGGATCCTTCCTCTGCTGGCTTTCCCTCCTCAATAATGAATTGTCAATTTCAATATTCGATTGAATGCACTGATCAGACAGTCATTCTTCTGCTGTTCTTTTAGCGGGGGAGACGAGTTCCCCTGTAGAACGAAGGTGTAGGGTTGAGCAAACGAGAGTACTCCCTTCGGACGCAAGGATAGAAGGGAAGGGCGCAATGGTAGTGTCCTATAGAAGAAAAAAAAGAGAGGCCAAGAGACTAAGAGACTAAAAGACTAAAAGAGTAAAAAAACCAGATACCAGGAGTAGCCAAGGCCAAGACCAAGTTTGGAGGAAAATGGTCAACCCAAAACGGCCTAGTGTTCCAAACTGGCTTACACTCAATCTACTTTGGACAAAATCATAGGCAGACAGATTCTGATAGGCAGACATGAGTTCAGTGGACATTAGAAAAATCGCCGTCTAAAACGTCCAATGGCAAAAAACCCGTTCATGGTAAAGTTCTAGGCAACGCGTAAGATGCAACCATACAATAATCCCACGCTTACGCTCAGGCACAGCCCCATCCAGGTTTAAATTGAGATTCGACCAATCAAATGCGATGATTCCTCGCTGCATTGGGGCGAAGGGCCCGCTGGATCCAGAACTGCATACTTTGCTATTGGCCAACCTCACATTCCTTAGACCCTGCAGCCCTATTGCAGAGGAAAATGGAAAACCTGGAGGTACAACAGATGTTGTACATAGTACTCCGCACTGACTTATTTCCCTTTTCGCTAACATGTATCATTTTGTAGGTCATGTACGACGCTTTTGTATATCCAAATGTTTCTACAAATAAGAGTCTCACAATTGTTGACGCCTTGAACTCGGGCTGATTCGTTGCAGTGTAGCCTTAGCAGGCCTATTCACAAGAGATGCAGGTATACATGTCAGCCTGGGAAGGCCTCCAGTTTAAAAGATAATAATATTCAAGTTCAAGTTGGGTACAAAGCGTTCGTGATTCATGGACACTACGTGGAGTAAAGTGAGACCAACCACAACCATCCCTTCAAGCCCCCAGGCAAAAAAAACAAATGGAAACTTGGAAGCCTGATGACGTCACACTCTATCAATAGCGTGGCTGTCCACCATACTGATAGCCAGATCCAGGCTGCGACCCATACCCATGTGGCTGCTGTTGCTGTTGGCCATAGCCCCGCGATCCCTGGTAGGGTGGCTGCTGGGGGGATTGCTGTTGGTATTGACCACCCTGTGGTGGATAGCCGGATTGGGAACCGTACGAAGTCGGTGGGGCACCAGGGGGCGGACCATACGGAGGCTGAGCTTGGCCCTGGGGTGGCGGAGGTTGACCGTAGCCTCCTCCTCCCCCGTACTGGCTGACCGATGCAGGTGGAGGTGCATTACGACGTTCGTTGTCTCGCTCATCCTTCGTATCATAGGAGGAATCAATAGCACCGAGCATCAGTTTGGCACACTACATCGGGAGTCAGTTCAATACTATGCAATGATCAGCAGAAAGGATCACTCACCCAAAGCTCGCGAGTGAGGTGCACGGGTGGGTTAGCACGGGACATCTCATCCTGCTCAACCTCGAAGTCTAGAACGCCATGTTAGCTAGATCCACTATGAATTCCACGTGGAACTTACTGGAGGTGCAGTCGATCAGGTGGCCAATGTGAGGGTCCTCGTCCAGAGAGCCCAAGAAGTCGCGAGCCCGCTGATCCGTTCCCACCTGCGAGAACTGGAAAGATACGGAGCCGGGGCCATAACGGGTCCGCGAGGTCTCCTCCACTGCGTAGCGAATGACATCACCCACGGCACCATGGGGCTCGCCCGCAGGTTGTCCGTCGGTGATGGTGATCACCAGCACGGGCTTGTCGAGGCGGTTGGCCCGGGCGGGTTGAACGATCATCGGGTCAATGACCTTGGTCTTCAGGTTGGTGCCCAAGGGAGTCAGGCCCGAGAAACGGACTCGGGACACTAGACGGTTGACATCCTCTGCGTCACGAATGCCATCGCCAACCTCACTGGAGTTCATGAATCGGACAGAAATACCATCCTGGTCGAAAGTAGATGCAGCAGTAGCTACGATGCCGAGGATCTGTCTGAGTTGATCCTTTCGGAGTCCCTTCTCTTCGAATTCGATAGATCCACTGTCATCAACGTAGAGAATCACGTCAAACAGCGCGAGCTTCATGACATCGGTCGCAACCTCCATGGGCACGGCCCATTCATGAATCAGCCTGTTGAGCTTGCCCGGTGCTTCGGCGGCAAGCGTCTGAACAAGCCGATCCAGTCGGTCCGGAGGGTAGAAGCTTTGAATATTCTTCTCTTGAATCGTGGAAATCAAAAGTGATCGGTAAGCTGCGACCTGTTGCTGAGTGGCCGGGGGAGCTGCAGACTGGGGGGCGCCACCGGGTGCGCCATACTGGCCTGGTGGTGGTCCACTTGGTGGTCCAGGTGAGGGTCCAGGACGGCCCTGGCCACCGGGGTACGGAGCTCCCTGAGTAGGGTAAGGGGGTGCCTGGTTCTAGTTTCCGTTAGCATTCTTCTCCAACCATTAAGCATTCAAAGATAATCCGACGTGAGGTCAGACACGAAATACAGAGACAAGCAGTGGTGCAGGGGCAAGGGGCTTTTGTACATATGACGGCTGCTGTCCGGGGTATTGTTGCTGTCCGGGGTATTGTTGCTGTCCGGGGTATTGTTGTTGTCCAGGGTATTGCTGTCGTCCTGGATAGGGCGAGCTAGGGGAAGCATAAGGCTGTCCCGGTTGCTGACCCGGGTAGGGCGAGCTAGCGGATGGATAGGGCTGGCCTTGGGGTGGGGGCGGAGGCGGGCGGCCATAGCCCTGGGATTGTTGAGATTGCTGGGATGCGGGGTAGGGTGTAGATGGCGGAGGTCTGGAATAGGGAGATGATGGATTCTGATGTTGAGATGAGCCGCCGTATGGAGGATAGCCTTGGTAAGGTGCCGACATGGTTCCAGAAAAATGATGACCGTGGAGGGGTCAATCGTGGAAGTGGGGGAAAAACACGAAAAACAAAAAGAGTTAAGGAAAATAATGGCTTACCGATCCCTGGGGGGCTGGGGATCCTGAATAAGCCTGGTATTGGGGCTGTTGACTCTGCTGAGAACGTTAGCACTTTCTTTTTTTTTCCTATGACGTGGAACTGCGAGTCATAGCAGAAACAGGTGCAGAAATGAACATATGACTTACTGATCCACCAGTCTGCAAGGCTGCAGGAGGACCCCCAGTGTATCCTGACGGAGGGGCACCTCCGTATGAGCCACTATTAGCCATCCTTTGGCTATTCTCGCTGTTCTGCGCTGCGGCGATTTTCGAAGCAAACTAAAGGTGATGGGTCAGATTGAGGGATTGTCTAGGAAGAGGAAGAGGAATGTGGAAGACCTACACCCATGATAAATAAACTGGATGGGGAAAAGAGAAAAGGTAAGACGCAGGCAAAAGTTGGAGTATCACGAGAGGAGAATTCCAAGGTTCGATGACGTTGCCTGATGTGGATAGCCCCTCTTAAGTTCGCCCAAGTGAGGCTGAGCTGTATACGTCGGGTACCTAGTGATACCTTTCCCCCCACTTGCTTTTACCCACAAATAAAGTACCTTGAAGTACCTTAAATGAAGTCACCAGGTCGCTGTATGCAGCCCTATACATATTACACCGGATGTTAAGGCGCAGTTACGATTTTCCCGCTCCCACTTTATAATGGTGCTTAGGCCCCCCCCACTAAGTATTCCATAGCCCCAAGGCTGCCCAGGCGGACACGGTGATTACTCAGTGAACAGTACGCCCGTGGACTTGGAAGAACCATGTGTTTTATCGTTCTAGCTAAAATCGGACATGCAAGCAGGTATCCAAGGCGGAATTTCACCAATACAGTATGACTCCCTCAGCCTTCGCGAAGCAAATGCGCGATTATCATGTCCAGGTATACTCCAGCACGGGGTGTGATAGCCTCAATTCCGTCCAATTTAGCAGCATCATCCCATAGTCGAAGCGAGACCATGTCATCTCGAAGTGGATCTTCCTCAAAATTTTTGAGGTCCGCATCTCGAAAAGGGCCGCCTTGAAAAGCCAGCGATTTCTGCGAGGCAGATGATAGAGATTCGTAGTATCCTCGGTCAGTAGCAGTCAGGTACCTAAAAGGTGAGTCTGGGCTCGCAAAAGCCACGCTGAGGATCACATACCGCTTTGCTGCGATATGACTATTTACCAAGCGACACACTGCCTCGCTGAATCCAAGAGATCGAAGATATGATGCCCCGATAGCTTCATGGCCGACCCGGCCGACATTTTCCGTACTTTCGCGAAGATTCATGCGCGCCTCCTTGGTGGATTCCAAAGGGATAATTTGACCAATGTCATGTAATAAAGCTGCAATTACCAACTCTTCACGAGCATCTAGAATAATGTTAGTAACTGTGAGAGATCGTAAGAAAAATACGTACCCGCTTTCTGGGCCTGATGAGCCGCCTGCAGACAGTGTTCTAACTGGCTAATCGACTCCCCAATGTAGTCACCTTGGCCATACTTTTCTAGAGCACCGATCAAAGCCTCTGCCTTTTCTTTGGGTGACTGCTGATTCATAATGCAATTTAATTGAACAGGAGAAACGTTGGAGGGAACAATGGTCTGGGTGGACAAAAACGAGATTAGAAAGAGGCAAGGTGGAAGGGAGCATTTATATACGCTCTTCCGTTACATGTTCGGCCCAATTGAAGGGTATACTAAAATATTCGGTCATCATGCCGGTGGTCCCCCACATGAATTTGAAGTGTGGACCTGACCAGTTTATTTCAATAGCACACATACATTTTAGCGATTTTGTTTGGACTAGTCAATATCTTTGTTACAACATTTCTAGATCACATGGAATCAACCTTCTACTTGCTACTATACCATACAGCTTGCCTGCACCGATCAAGCCGGGATGACCTTGGAATCCACAGTTAACATAGGGGACCCAAAGGCATATCGCGCACGACCTTCCTCATAGGACTGTCCGTTTTCCCGCATGTGTGTGGCAGGCCAGAGCTTCTGACGGTCAGAGTAGTACTGGTCATGCAGATTACCTTCGGCGGCACAATTGTACGTTGCATAGATTGCACGGCGATCCTTCGAGCTAACATTGGCGCCACTGCGATGGGCCAGGTACGAGCCAAAAATCAAGATATCACCTACACTTATTAACGAAATTGCGATGAAACTGTTGGGAGATTTTCAGTTTCTTACCTGATTCAAGCTCAGCCGGTGTCCATACATTGCTTTCGACCCAATCCGTTGCAATACAGCGATCGCTACCGAGAGGAATATCCATGCGGTGGCTGCCGTTCACCACTTCCAGACCTCCATTGGCTGCATTCATTCCATCGACTGCCGCAAGAATAGTCAAATGCTTGATGTTTTTAACATGTGTGTAGGCATTGGCATCGATATGAGGATCGAAACCACCTATAAGGTAGATGAGCCATCGAGTCGGGGCTATAAGGTGGACATCACTTACCACTTCCTGCCAACTTGTAGTTAATCTTTTCTTTGAAAAGAAGCATCTCCTCCCCTGCAAGCTGTTCAAGAACACTTGTTGCACGCTGACCTCGGAGGAAACTATCGAATCCGGCATGCGAGTTGGCAAAGTTTTCCGTACGACACAGCACGCGTTTGCCTTCGGAATTCACCTCTTGATAGGGCATCCAGGGCACGTCAGGGGTGCATGGAAGATCGTGAACTTCCTGCGCCCATTCCCGCAACAGCTCCGATTCCTCGGAAGTGAAGAAACTGCGAACCAGCAGGTATCCACACTCCTGGAAACTCTGAAGCTGCTCGGCAGAGAGCGAGTAATGGAAATTATTCATTCTGTTACCGGTAGATTGAAGGAGGTATACACAAAGAAGGCGATCGTGAAACTCTGGAGGGCTTAGAAGCTCGCATTTTGTAGATAGATCGAGAAGTAAGTTACTGTAATGGAATTCCGAAGGTGCCGCACTTCGCACCGAGATGAGTGTTTTTTGAGCAAGACAAATATAGATCCACCGTGCAAAATGCACAAGCACATGAGTAAAAAATAAGCTCTGATAGGCTTAATCATCAGATAATGCCGTATTCAAGAAGACTAAGGCTCTCGGGATACCATGTTCCAACACATGGCTGAAAGACAAGCTCCGATAGGTTTTGCGATCAGATACCCCATTTGACTTCAGGAAAGGAGACTAAGGAGACTATGTGGGGCTTGCCAAGACATGTTTGTTAGGAAACTGCCAGATCCAACCATGGAACTGCCGAAATAGTGGAGCTCTGTCACCCGTACTCATGTACGTAGGTAGACTTTTAAGACAAGCAAGCGGCCCCGGGGAGCTTAGACCTCTATTTAGTACTACGTACCCACAGACACATCTCGCACTTCCCACCGAGTCTATCGTGTCTCTATTCCACGCTATCATTGGTCCTTTTAGGAGTAATCTCTGTGTAGAGCCATTCAAGATAGATTCTATAGATATCAATAAATTCCCTGACATATCCCATTGAACTTTTGTTCAGCATCCTTGTCAATATGGCTACATCTCCCAGTGACTCCGTTATGAAGATGGAAGATCCCAAGGAGCAAGTCTCGCAAACCAACTGGGATATTGAGCAACGGGAACCCGAGAAGAAACGCTCGGGTGTGCTCAATGTAGCTATTTCCGGATTGGCCTTGTTCAGCGATGGATACAACGCTCAAATCAGTACGTGTTGATCTGCATCTTCAAATGTCTTGTTTTTCTCCCTTTCTAACTGCTTAATAGTTGGCTATATGGAGCCTTTATTCTCAGTCCTGTGAGCAGCCCTGTTTCCAGAATATTTCTGGCCAAATTCACTGATGGGTCCAGCTACATGGATGGAATGTCTTCAACTATAAAGTCGCGCCTATCGAACTCGTATCTCATCGGTGAGATATTTGGCATGCTTTTCTTTGGCGTTCTGATTGACCGCATTGGTCGTCGAACTGGTATTGTCGCTGCAACGGTATTTCTTATTATTGGAGTGGTGTTGGCAACTGCCTCTCATGGAAAATCGCAATTAGGGTATGCTTATTCAAACACTGAAAACTTTTGATTGAAATCCATCACTGACGCCGCAATAAGAATGTTTTGGATGATGATTGTTGCACGAGGCATTGCAGGGTTTGGCGCTGGAGGAGAATATCCTGTCTGTGCCACCAGTGCTACCGAGGCTGCCGATGAGACAGCTCACCTCCGGAAGCGACGTGGCTTTTTGGTCGCACTAACCACCGATTTTGCTATTGATCTGGTCAGTGCTAACACAACGTGGACGAGGATCATGCTAACTTTATGATAGGGATTTGTCGCAGCTGGCCTGGTGGCTCTTATTGTTCTCGCGTGCTACAGCCAACAAAACTCTGAAGGAGTCTGGCGCGTTACATTCGGTCTGGGTATTGTGGTAAGTCCCTTGCGTGGTAAAGCTCATTGAGAATTAACAATTCTGACACTGGGATCAGTTACCACTATCAATCTGTTTCTTCCGCGTTCGGATGGTCAACTCTACTCAATACCAAAAACATGCTATCAAATCGAAATATCCCTACGGATTGGTACTGCGACGCTACTGGAAGCCCATGCTTGGAACATGTGAGTCGTTCGGTTTGGTTGAATTGTGCAGTGGTAGTGGCTAATGTGTGATGCTTCTAGCCATGGCCTGGTTCTGCTATGACTTTGTCACATATCCATTTGGTCTATTCTCGTCCACCATAATTGAGCAGCTGAACCCCAACAACACTACAGTTCAGAATATTGGATACGGAGTGAGTCACCATAATCCCATTTCTTAGCTGCTTAAACTGACAGTGGAACTTCCAGACCGTCATCAATAGTTTTTATCTTCCAGGATGCCTGCTTGGTGGTATCCTGATGGATCGAATCGGCCGCAAACAGACCATGACCCTAGGGTTCATGATCTGGGCTATATGGGGATTTATTCTGGGGGCTGCGCTGCAACCTATTCAAAGTGTTTTCCCACTTTTTATAGTCATGTATGGAATCTTCCAAGCACTTGGAGAGATGGGGCCTGGTGTCTCGACGTTCCTCTGTGCTTCGGAGTCATTCCCAACACCTCTGCGCGGTCATTTCCTCGGATTTGCAGCCGCAGTTGGCAAAGCCGGGGCGTCGATCGGGACAGAAGTCTTCACCCCAATCCAGAACTCCTTCGATACCACCGCCAAAGGACAGCAAGCAGTTTTCTTGATCGGTGCGGCCTTCACAGTGGTGGGTGGTCTGGTTGCCTGGTTCCTCATCCCAGATATGTCGCGAGAGCTAGAGACAGAGGATGCCAAGTTCAAAGCATATTTGGAAGAGAATGGGTATGATGTGAGCATGTATGGCGAGGCATTGGTTGTCAACGCCCGCGCTTCGACTTAACTATCCTAGCAAACAAACAAAATTAGAGAGTTTAGAATCGTCACACCAAATTCAGAATGATTTTAAAAGACCCAAGTGAGACCAGCCAGTTTGTTGTATGATATTGATGTCTTTGGTGGGTGGACACTGGTCGTTTATTTTACATTTAGTTTTGGCGGCCTTGTGGGTATAGATAGAGTTCGGCCTGTAGCTGGAATTCAGCCATCTTTCTCTCCCACCTATCATAATTTCCATGATCCAATAAGCCCCCAGGGGTCAGAACTAGTAGGAAACTACAAAGTCATTTTATTCATTTGTTTTTATCATTATACAAAGTACGGAGTGGTTCAGCTTAACTTCGCTGTAGTTCTATTTACAGCGACCCACCTCCCCACTTTTCTAGAAGCTCGGAAGCCGGATAATTCTTAATCTTGTTCTTACATCGAATATTGTTACAAAGATCGCTCAAAAAGGCCTACAGGCAGCTATCATAATTAAAGCTCTATTCTAAGCAGATGAGGTTATGTCAGGAGTATGACCCTTTTGTCACTAAGCGCTATGATGGCTTTTTCAACCAATATCTGTTGTACACATAGCCTATACCACATCTATATAGGATCGACAGATAATCTACGATTGTCTATACTAAATGCATCCGATCTGACTGGTTGTAGATCAAATCTGGGGTAAAACTCAAATGAAAGGTGCAGGTGGACAATGATGTCACAAGGTGGGCATGCTCCAGCCCTTGAAAAAGGATGGTTCTACACAGCTCCCAGGGGCACTACTCTCTTTTCTTTGTATTGCAAATTTGCATCGAAGCATCTCTCTTTCTTACTTGAGTTTTCGCACTTTGCTCACTTACACATTCCCAACTCTCTTAGTCCCTAAGCTACCTAGGAAATAATTCATCTTCTCAGTCATACCTCAGATAATCTACCAAAAGCTCGATCATCTCGCGGCTTTTTGCCTTCCATCTCTACCCATCAGATCTGCAGCTTCCTACTCCTCCGTCATCATGTCCACCCCTGTCCTCCGCCTAGGTATCCTAGGCGCCACAAACGCAGTCCAAGCCACTTACCTACCGGTGCTCCGTTCCCTCAAAACACACTACACTCTCACGGCCATCTACGACTCCAACTTCGAAATCGCAAACCAATGCCAATCCCGCTTCGAAATAACCTACAGCACAACAGCCGTGGAAGATGTCCTACTCCATAAAGAGGTGGACGTCATCCTCAACCTCCTCCCAATGGAGTACCACGAACAATACACCGTGACAGCCCTCGAAGCCGGCAAAGACGTAATGGTCGAAGTGCCCCTCACAATGAGCATCTCAAGCCTGCGCCGGATCCGCGAAGCAATCAAGAAAGGCAAAGCCTACCGCTCCCTCAACGGCACCAACGAAACAGACGGCCCAAAGGTATTCGTCGGATGCGCGCGTCGCTACGCGCCCTGCTTCACAGAAGTCTTCAAGAAAGAACTCGTCACCCTAGGTCGCGTGTACTACGCGCGCTGTCGACACATCGCCGGCCCAATGAACAACATCGTCGCGCCAGCCTCGAAGGACATCACGCCGGCAATGAAAAGCAACAATAACCCAGAGCAGTTCCGCGCGCTACTGGAAGACGTTTTCGGTTCCGAAGATGACCTCACTCGGGACAGAGTCGCTTTCTGTCGTTACCTCGGCATGCTGGGCTGTCATGATCTATCGGTGATGCGCGAGTCGTTGGGGTTCCCGGATGCTGTTGCTAATGTCGCTATCACGGACCCGTTCTACTCTGCCATTTTCCACTATACGAATTCCGCCAAGAATGGCGGTCGTCCCTTCACGCTTCTCTATGAAGCTGGTGTTGATGCCGTGCCACGGTGTGATGCCCATTTGACTGTCTACGGCGCGCACAAGACTCTCAGCGTGGAGTATGACTTCCCGCGACCTGGTGAGAAGATCAGTACTGGTACTTATGTGCGGGTAGTTGTTGAGGAGGCGGATGGGACGGCGGAGACGGATCATGTCAATGGGAATCAGATTAACGAGACTGAGAATGCTGTTCCTCGTCCTCGTGTCAAGCGGACGGAGACTGTCAGTACCTGTGACGAGGCGTATGAGCGTGAATTCTTGGCTCTGCATTCTTATCTGGTTGGTGGGGGGTCGTCGGCGAAAACGACTGCTGACGACGCTGTCATGGATCTGCGGCTGTTGCTTATGATCTTTGACCACTACAACCGCCAATGTGGTACCATTCGGACTCCGTTGGGTTGAGCGTTGACTTCCTAACAGGCGGTATGAAAGGGGGTAGAAGAAGGCGCAGTTTTCGTCTGGTTTTCTGGAGGGGTTTGCTAGTGCCATTTGAGCTGGCTCTATGGGCGTTGTCTAAATCCGGCGAAAGGGATAATCGGAGTCTTCTGGCTTCAAAACAGCTGGCGAGGAATTTATTTTACTGCCCTCTCGGGGTTGAGGCGCCTTTCAATATGTAATACAAGATACATACCTGAGTAAAATGTATCGTAGGTAGCATTCAAGCGATCATCTATCTGTCTGAAATTACACTATCGCTTGCCCTTCTTCTTATTCTTCTTAGCATTAGAGCCACCGCCGCCGCCGCCGGACTTTTGCTGCTGCTGAGCGGGAGACTCTTCCGCCTTCTCATTGACAGGACCACCCTGTGTAAGTGCCGCAGCACGCTGCTTGCCCTTCTTGCCCTTGGGCCTGTAAGAAGAGCGGTCACGCACAGGCAGCCAGCGCTCGGGGTCTGGTTTCTTGGCGGGATCGAAGTCCTTGGGCAGACGGGACTTGCGAACACGCTTGTTAGCGCGGTCGTCGCTAGCTGCGGTGCGCTTACGGGCACCAGCAAAGGCAGCAGCGGCCGCGGCAACTGAGGAGGCGGAGGGAGAAATGCCAGCGGATTCCAAAGCTGAAACGTCAATATCGGCAATCAAATCGCTGACTGCCGGCAGGCGGTCGAGTTCGGACTCAATCTGCGCATAGTCCAGGGTTGCTTGTGAGGCGACATAACCGGCGATGGCGACGCGGTCGTTAGGGTCTTGCTGGTGGAGAGCACGGAATAGATCACCGGCTGTGGCTAGGTCGGTACGGTCTTCAGAGTGCAGGAGGGAGGCGGCTGCTGCGCGGAGCAGGGACGCGGGCGGTTCGGGCTTGGTGCGCCAGTAGGAGGCGGCTTGTGCGAGGGTGGTGCGGATCTGGACCATGCGACCTTCGCGGTGGTAGAGGGAGACGAGGACACTGAGAAGGCCCGGGTTGAAGCGAACGGACTCATTTGACCCCTCCAGGCTTTGAAGGGTTCGCTCCATGGCTGTGATAGCAGAGGTTGTGTTGCCGCTGCTGATGTAGAGCTGTACCACTGTCAGAAGAAGCCCGATGTCTGTGGGCCGTCGCTCCAGCAATGGGACGATCTGTCTAAGGGCCTGCGGGCCGGTTTCGCCTTGGGCGTGTGCTGCGGCGTTGTATACAGAGAGAAGGTTGGTGATGGCGTCGGCGGATGGGCTTGGACGTTTTGACTGTGCCTTGGCTGTGGACCGGATTATGCCATCGTATTTCTGGACAAGGAGGTCTGCGGCGTGCGAGTTGCCGACCAGATCACGGTCCTGGAATTCAAATAACCGATCGTTATTCGTGGCATCTGGGGTGTCGTGAAGGGCCTTGTATAAGGTGTAGGGATTGACGGCAGTCGGACGAGCGAGGACGATGTTGTTGCGGGCAATCTTTTTGGTCGATAACTCGGTGATGCTAGAAAATGATGTAAGTAATGAGTTTCGAGTGGGTATGATTCAACGTACTTGTCTACGGAGATATCTTTGAGAACCGCCTCGGCCTCTTCCAACTTTCCAAGTTGAATAAGGACATAAAGTTGCTGTACTGCAATTGGCAGCAGCTCTGCAGCCTTGTCCTCAGGTGAAAGGTCCTCCGATGTCCGGCAGATATCTATGCAAAACGTCAGTATAAGTCCTAGTCTTGGGTAAGACGGCGGCATGCTGACTTTGAGCTCGATTGAGCAAGACCTCGCTCTGCTTAAATGCTCCCTTTGCAATGTTCAAGCAAGCTGCGTTGTAGGTTGTTTCGAATGATTCCAAATCCTCTCTCGACAATCGGTCGTGGCGCACGAATTCCGTCTCCCCTTTCCATTGAAGCTGGGCATCGGTAGCCCACGAATTGATGTTCAAGTCGTTAATCTCGTGTCCGAAAGATGTTGTATCTTTCGAGAGTTGTTCGTAAAGCTCGGCTGCCCGTCGGAAGTTCTCGGCACGATAGCGCTGTTATGACAAGACAATCAACATTGGTCTTCAAGCGACAGAAGGACAGATGGGGTACCATACCACTTGTGCCTCGAGGTGACTAGCACCACGCCCAGAAGCTGTGCGAGTCAAGGCTTCTGTGGCTTCTTCAAGCTTTCCGCACTTGTATGATGCATAGGCGTATTCCAAGCTTGCACTCTGCTTCAGCGCATCGCCTCCGGCCTGGAATGTCTTGAGAGCTTCCTCATAACGGTCGAGTTTCAATAGAGCAACAACTTTCATGTGTTGCGCTTGCAAATCGGATTTGGACTTGGCGAGGACTGCATTGCACGATTGGAGGACTTCTTCGTGGTCGTCAATCGATGCCCGCTGCAATAGCGAGGCCAGCGATTGCGCAACCATGGTGGGGTTTGGTCGAAACCTTCAAAGGGGTATTAGGGGAGTGAAGAAGACGGTAACTTCAATATCAGATGAAAAATAAAACCACGGGATTTATACAAAGAACACCGTTGCCGATTTCCCCAGATCAACTCAAACTCCAATGTGCGGAACTGGTCTTTCCCCGATGGGGGGTTTCTGCGCTCAACGCCATGTGCCCCACCGTAGCTCACGTGTCCTATTTGATCTTCCTCAAAATATTTGTTCCCGCCGGGTCTCTCATATATAATTGAGGAATAATAAGTCCCAATCGAGATGAAATATGGTGTTTACAGGAGCTATAGCCATTATTCCAAGAGGGGAAGTCATATACCTACGCGGCGGAGTGTCGGTAGTAGATGCATCGACCTAGACTAACCGATAGGAAGTATGGACATGATCGACCAATATTCACTGACATAGCCTGTAACATTCAAGGCCTTATCATTCATGCGTTGTCTATAATAACCAACACACTGCCCAATCTATTGAACTAGCGGGTTAGAGTACAAAAACAGATCAGCGAGGAAGCAATGGCTTGAACAGCCCCGGGTCATGGCGATGAGCTGCCTGTGCCAATCTCAGAGAACAAAAAAATAGTTGGGAATTGCTCGAATCGTATGGCAACAATCACTATAACCACTTTGAAGGACTAGACGGCAAGTGGGCAAGAAATGGCTGCAAAGCCGTTTATTCGCAATGGTTTCTACACTCATCCACGGTACTTGGCCACGCCCACGAATACACGAATACCGATGCATGATTGCCACAAGTGCATGGGCTTGCTCAGTAGGATTGATTGGGTATAAGTTGTGAGCCCCAGGACTTGTTTCGCTGCTTGCATAGTTTATTCATTCGATAGTTATACTTCAACTATCGACAGTGATATGTAATTATATATAGAGTGATATATCTTACAACGATCTCTATGTTGAATAATATACTATAAAATAGTACACTAAACAGCATGTAATAACTGGGATTTAAATCTTTTACAAAGGAATACTTTGTAGTATGAAAAATGAATTGAAAACTGTCTAATCTTCTTAATTGCCCGGGGATGAAGCTATATTTATGGCTTCACCTCCACCCCTATGAGTCCTATCTTCCTTTCTGGCTAGTATACACTATGTGATAAGAAATGTGATGAAGAATCATGAAGAATCGGTTCAATGAGATCTGTCAGTACTGAGTACTGGATTTTGCAAGATCCCGTTGACTGAAAGCAGCCTGAACTAGAATGTAAAACTGAGGCCTCGGGATACTCGAGTTTGTATGGTGGGATATGTGATAGAGGCGTCAAACTGCATCGTTGCCGCTAATCTCGATTCCGTAGGAGCTCTGCGAGTTTTAAGCGACCGAGGGATCTTCGTATGCGTGGAATCAATTAGGGTTTAGCGTTGAACTGGAACTAATTGCATGTTAATTATGATGAATTAACTTGGTTTTTCAACACTCTAATCCTCTGATATGACATTAAGTTATCTCATGGTACTACCCAGTACCTACATACTGTATATGTACATATATATGTATACATAAGTAGAGTTCCTGTTTCACAGCTAGACCTACTTAGGTATGGGCACGTGGTTGTTCTTTCCAAGGTTGTTCCAAGGTTCCAATTGTCTACGAAACCCAGACAACCTTGGGAAGGCACCTGGACATCAATCGTCTGTCAAGCCCTTTCTTCCAAGCTTGTCACTCCAGAGCTTTTCCCTTGATGCTTGAATGAAATCCATAGAGCCTCCGTTATAAACGGCCACATTTCCTCGTTTTTCTCTCTCTTTTTTCTCTTTGCTGATTTCTTTCAATGTTCTTCACACGAGACAAATCTCCAGTTTCGATGCAACACTCGGTGAGCGCGTCTCGCCGTTACACTCGAGGATGTTGTCTGGCACTTTTCGCAATACTATCATTGTTCATCCTTAGCAACGTTTTACACCAAAGGCAAGACTATATGCCGTTTATTTCTTCAATTTCACAGCCTAAGATATAACTCTCTAGGTCTCTTGTTATCCACCCAGGAGATGTCGCTAGTAGGAGCTCACGGGATGTGAGCCCACAAGATGATCAAGCGCCGTTTGCTCATGAGCCGGTTGGGTTTGGAACATTACGCGATGTTCGGTATGGTATCCACTGGTTCTATTTCATAATTCCTCCCCATATGATCATATATCGTGTGTGAATATCTTATTGATATCTCTAATAACTCACACCCTACAGGGAGGAGAAATTTTATCGTGGCGGAACCTTAACAGTGACATCTGAACGGAATGATCATTTCCCTCTGACCCCTGTCATTTATGACCCCTACCCAGATTACAACGATGTGCAGTGGCGCAATGAGTTTGCAGGGAGATTTCACGCATGTGAGGGCCCACGAGGAAAGACTCTGAGCCGCACGAGTGCCCAAGATATGGTGTCCGTTTATCCAGGTCACCAGAAAGGTAACTTTCAGCTCAAGCTCAATTGAAGCCAAGAACATCTTTAACAAGTCTATAGATTTCCCCCTTCCCTTGCTCGGGTCGTATCAGGCAATAGGCGTCGACGGAAATGTCTGCGCCAATCGGTTTTCTCGATTGGGCGTGTACGGGTACGAGAGTAATACCACCCACGCTGCCTCTGCCTCTAGAGGTAATTGGAACGAGACCAACTGGGGGGAACTCCAGTCACAGTGCTTTGAAAGGAACGTCGGAAGATATTCGCCAAGCGAGACCAATTCTGCCCCAATCAGACTCACCCTACCAGTCCACTCTCGTTCTGCTGCACGCAACCTCCCTCGCGAACAACGAACCTCTTCGCCACATAGCTTGCAGTACAAACCACGATCAGCCATTATCCTACGTGCGTGGCATGACATTGAATGGACCAAGAATCTCAAACAGAATGTCCGGTGTCTTGTCATGGAGCTTTCGTTACACTCCGGTGGCGAGTATGAGGTCTTCCTCTTGGTTCATGTGAAAAACGAGAGCATCCCTATCTATACAGATGATGCCGAGGTTATGAAGCAGATCAAGGCTCAGTTTATCCCATCTGAGTTCCGGGACATGGCCGTTCTCTTCAATGAGAAGACGTTGGAGTCATGGTATCCTAAAGTCGAGGAACATAGGTATAGTACCTTTCCAATTCCACGGGTATTGAATTTTGGCAGGTCTCCTAACAATCCCGCAGCATGAATTTTCAGTACTGGCAACCGGTTCAAATATTTTCTCAAATGTTTCAGGACTTTGAGTATTATTGGCAATTGGAAATGGATTCCAGGTTCACCGGTCACTCCTACCATTTTCTTGAAAAGTCCGCGGAGTTTGCAAAACGACAGCCACGGAAATATCTTTGGGAGCGCAATGCCTACTTCTATATTCCAGGGACACATGGAATCTGGCAGAACTTCGTCAACATGGTTGGCTCCTCTATGCAGGGCCGAAAAAGTGTTTGGGGGCCGATGGGCATCCCTCAGATAACCCCAATTGGCCCCAAGCCTCCGGTTGCCTTCCCAGAAGACGATGAGTATGAATGGGGCGTTGGCGAAGAGGCAGATCTCATCACTTTTATACCGATCTTCGATCCTACTGACACGCAGTGGCTGTTCAAGAATATGCTATGGGGACTTCCAGAAGATGTTCCAAGGCGAACATCCCCTGTGGCCATGGGGCGCGTGTCGAGAAAATTATTGCGCCAGATGCATATCATACAGATCCAACGAGGAATGGGTTTAGTTTCTGAAATGACGCCTCCCTCGCTTGCTCTCTGGCATGGGCTGAAAGCCGTCCACGTACCCCAACCTCTTTATCTTGACGGTAAATGGACCTCGAAGGAGATCGGACGAATCATGAACCCGGGTGAACCTGATAAGGTCAATGGTGGACCTGACAGCTTGTGGAACTGGGATCACCTATGGGATCACATACTCTATCGGTTGACGTACATGTTTACAACACAAACTGCGGAGGATTTCTATCGGAGATGGCTTGGCTACCCAATCGACCCTAATCAATATACTGATGGCACCTATGTGAGTCTAGAATAACTGATTGAACCTTGTTTCCGCGCTAATCTATTGTCCTATATTTAGCACCAAGATGGCACAGGTCGAAATTGGTTTGAAACCGGCGACTTGGTAAGTTTAAAAATTCCCCTAACTCTGAGAAAAGGAGGTCATTTGCACTGACAGCCATCTGTTTTTTAGCGGGAGGACTTGTATGGGCCACTCTGCTTTCCATCTATGTTACTTCATACTGTCAAAAACACAGAGGAGAGGAAGGGAACTGCCATGGTAGTCCCTGTTTAGCATTCTTTCACGATACATGTATTTGTTAATCTCGATGATATCCATTTCTGTATGAAATACATTTAACTTGAATTCACACTACTTGTGAAACAAATTCTTGATTAACAGAAATAGAAGACCTAGGGATGGGGAGATGGGGACGTTGAAAGGATAATTGAAGGTCCAGACCCCGTGGGATCCGCCGTTCGCCGGTCTACAACGTAGTATGCCTCGACGCAAGCCACCACCCACGCATCTTGAGCATAATTCGGATGATGAAATCCGGAAAGGAACCAAAATTTTTTTCACACAATAATGCACAAGATGGATAGGCTTTCTTCTGCGAGTTGAGCTCTAGTAAGCCCGATTAGCATTGGCATTGGGGGCGGCTAGGTCGGCTCCACACCATACGATGAAATGTCTGAGAATGTCCACGGGTTCTCGTAAGAAAAGAGTAAGAGTCTTAAAACACGATGGATCTTCAAGACAGTGGGGCCGAGGGCGTAGTAACGGTGAACCATGTACCAGGGAGGCTCCAAACTATCATATCAAATGCCAACTGTAATCGAGTACAACAACGGCTGTCCGGATATTATTCCATTGACCTCCATTGCAGTGCTTCCCTAGGGCGATGTGGCGTCTTGGCCGTCAAAGCCAACTGGTCGGAGTTACACACGGGTAGAGGACGCGCGGATGTGGGGACCGGAGATGATCAGAGACGAGTCAGAAGATTGGGATTGTCGCTGGATTGGTCTTGGCATTGGCAGGGTTGTACCGAAGTACTCGGTATGGAATACTTTGTACACTGCTTTGGGATTTAGAAAAAATCAGATTGTTAACTGGTATTGAAGTAAAGAAATTACACTAAAACTATGCTGTTTCTTTAATGATATCCCTTCATTAGCTCATGCAGCTCGTACCTGAATATCATGTCCAACCAGGTACGGAGTGCAGTGGGAACCGAGTCCTGCATCTGTATACGAGGGCACGTGACTTCCGCCAAATGGATCCCCACAACGTCATCGATCGTCTCTCAGGCCCCTTGAGGAATTGGCCCTGGCCATTTCCCATGGAACCCTGATCGTCCCTTAACCTGAGTCGTTCCGTTTCAATCTCTTCTCTCTTTCTCTTCTTTCTTTCTCGTCCTCATCCTCATCTTCTTCTTTTAACCTCTCCAACCCATCTGGGCATATTTATACGACACTTTCATCCGGCTACCGTCGGCCCTTGATTGTGTTCTAGACCAAATTCTTATCTCCGCAATGCGGTAGAACCCAACACAATCTCACAACACAAAATATGATATTAGGCGCTCGGGATAGCTCCGTTCCGGGGGCATCATGGGCCTGGAAAAAGGTGCTCCGGTTTGGAGTTGTCTTTTTATTCGTGGTAGGGTTTGCCGCCGTACTATGGCCCTCCGTCGACCCAGTGAAGCTGCCCCTGCAAACAGCTGCCAATATCACCCTCGCCCCCGCTGTCTCGTGCGATCTCGATTACGACAAATTGGCATCTTTAAATGTTCTCAAAGTCGCCCAATACACACGTCGAGAGATCATACTCGACATGACGGACGAACCAGTACCCTACACGCAGTGGCTTGAACAGCCGTTCTTGGAAGAGCCAAGGGGAACTGGCGGAGCGGCGGACGGGTGCTCAATTCCCATACCAGTATCCTTGCGAGTTCCTCAGCCACCGAAATTGGCGGACGCAGCACACATCGATTTTGGAGTCGCGACCAGTCTCGAAAGATTGAATGATTCTTTGGATGCGTTCGCTCACTGGGCTGGATACACGCGCACTCGTATTTTCGCACTCATCGAAACGGATCACTCGGAAAACGGAATCCGGGATGTCAATGCCAAGGCTGACGCTCTGGGGATTAACCTCCACATCACAGAGTCGGACGATGACTATCTCAATCGATACTTCGCACTTATCCCTCTTTTGAAGGAAAATGCTCGGGAAACAACCCAATGGGGCTGTATCATCGACGACGACACATTCTTCTTGTCGATGTCCAGACTAGTGGATGCGCTCGCCAAGTACGACCACACCACCTCCATGTATATTGGCGGATTGTCAGAGTCTCTCCCGCAGATCGCGGCGTTCGGAATAATTGGATTTGGAGGCGCGGGCGTCTTCTTATCGAAACCCCTCTTGACGGAAATTACCAACGTGTACGACAAGTGCTCTGCGATGGATTACACAGGCGACCGCCGCATCGCCATGTGTGTCTACCGCTACACCCAGACCCAACTGACGGTAGACCACCGTCTACGTCAGCTGGATCTAGTGAACGACGCCTCTGGATTCTTCGAGTCCGGTCGTGAGCCTCCGCTCACAGTGCACCACTGGAAGTCCTGGTTCCACACCGACATGCCGAAGCTAGCGGTGGTTTCCGAGCTATGCGGCGACAGCTGCCTCCTCCGCAAATGGCACTTTGGCGACGGCTGGATCCTAACGAACGGATTCTCAGTCATCAAGTATTACGCCGACCCGGACCAGGACGATCTCGCCATGGAGCAGACTTGGTCACCCCACAACGGCGCCAGTGAGGAATCTTACCTACACGAATTGGGTCCCCTCCGCCGCAAGGATGAGCACAAACAATCTTTCCAGTTGCAGGATGCCGTCCACGAGCAGAACGACCGTATCACTCAGTGGTATATTATGCGCGACGAGAGGAACGGTGATCAAATTTTGGAGCTGTCATGGCGCAAGAGATAAGTTTTCAATTTGTTATGCCTTGTACATGTACGGAATGTGTACGGGCTCCTTTACATTGGTCTGCGGGCCCTGGCGGTCTGCTGGCTCAGTGAGCCCACTTTTAGGTGCAGGTAAAGGAATGCCACTTTGCATGGAGTGGAGTTTTATTGTTTATAGATGATGGATACACCTTCTGTGTACTCTAATGAGTTGAATAATGTGATATGGATGTTTTGGATTACCTCTCATGCTGCCAAATTATAGCTTGGTTGAGATATAGTTCCGTGGAACGATCTTCTCAAGTACAAAGTACTCAGGACTAACATAGGTTGCTTGCTCCTAGTAGGTCTCGTGGCTGTTCTAATGGTACGGGTAACGGCTGTGTCGTTCGCATTTACATTAAACTGCTCAAGCCTTTTCAATATAGAACTGGGCACAGATTTCTGCAAAGCAAGGCTTTAAACATCTGTAGATGTGCAGATAAAGAACAGAGTAAGGAAGAGAAAAGGGAACAGGTGGGTAAGACCCGCCTGTCTACCATGGCAAGCAAGGCTGCCAAACCCCTGGAGGCCATAGCTCACCGATAGACATTATTCCGTACCATGGAACCGATTAATATCCCGGTCCCTTGCATATGCCCATGTGGATATGCCCGATATTTGATCTTTTGTGCCTGATCTACTCCGTATACTTAGGTAGATAGTTATGTAGGTGTCAAACATGTGGTTTACTGTTCCATGTACGGGAGTATTCTTTACGCAACTATTCGAAAAATATATATTTTCAAGAACCTACTCCCAAACCTTAATCAGCTGGATAAATGATTGAACACCAGAACTATAATATTAAAATTAAACCAATCAAACATAAATTTTGTCTTATGTATATGCGTGTACATATATGGCAGCCGAGAGCTATAAAATTGAGAAGGGAATAAACCCCTCTCGCGGATGTACATAGCCCCACGAACACACGGTGTACTATCTGGCCACCATCTATCGGAGGAAATAACGGCCTGCAGTAAAATTTCGCACGGAGTACGGAGTACTCCGTACATCGTAGGGGAATACCGTGACCTAGCGAAGATCCTATGGAACCCCTGAAGATCGATCGGCGTTAATGTCGATCAAGAATATTATGCACAATATAATGGATTTGAGACCAAGTGGAGCGAGGAGTAAGCAGTAAGCAGTAAGCAGTTAGTACCAGTATATATGATCCAAACCTAGTTGTTATTTTGGGAGAGTGAGAGATGGAGACCACCTAACGACAATGACCAACCATCTGGATCAAGTTTCATCAAACAGAACCAGATGCGCAATTTTGAGTCATCAGAAGGCAGTCGGGACTAGAATAAGAGATGGAGATTTAAAGCTGTGCTGTTTCAGTCTACATCCCCTGTATCCATCCACAGCAACATATAACATCTTTCCTTTATTCCGAGTCGCTCCCGTAGAGCATGGGGCATAGTGTAACGCAATGCTTCAGGGTTATCTGCATTAGCTTCTACGCCACGTGTTTTGTACGGAGTATATTTGAGTGTTGCCAGGGATATTAGCATTCTGCAGTTGGACTCACGCAGCAAGATGAGACGAGCTAGTGTTGAATTATCTGTGACTATTTACCTTGGTGTGATGAGTTAGGCATATCAGTGGGCCAGTGCTCAATTTCCCCAGGAGGAGTGTGACATCACAGTGGAATCTGCGACAGGAGAGACAGAAAAATGGGCCTTTTTGGTCATAGCGTCAGCGGCTGTTCCTGGATTTTGTGGATATTCGTTTTTCCATTTCCTTTTTATTCTCGGTACATGTACGGAGTATACCTGGTCTGGATATGCATGTTGTATGCCGTACAATCAAATAGGGCGTGTCTGATCTTCCATGGCCAATATGCATAGAGCCATAAGAGTCACCCTATAGGGGCCCGGGGAGGGAAAATTTCACCTAATTTGTCAGAGACCAACCTTGCAGCCATAAAACATAAAACACACCCAAAACTGATCTGTACAGGACATGCTCCATCCTAGGGGCAGTTTACAGGCTGAAGGGAAATGTTCTACTAATAGAAATATGGAGACTAGCGTGGACCTGATACACCAAGACACGTCTCAGCCACAACCATGTGGGAATCGCCCCGTGTCGAGCCATCCAATGTGCGTCGGCCTGACCCGCCTTGGTTCGATTTTCTGTTTTATTGGCGATTTCGCAAAATCAAGGAAAATGTTAATGGTGAACTATAATAAATCAGCTTGCCAGTCATTGGTTCATCAAATCCCTAACAATGCCAGCGTCTTAATTATTCGGCTTTACACGGAT